AACACTTTAACCACTAGGCTACCCCACCACCCCTATACCCCAGGAGTGTGAACTGGAGACACTATATGCAGGAACGGCTTGAATATTGCTTGACATAGCCACTGGAGACTTGAAAGCGTTCTTCCTGTCATACATGTGCAGACTTGAAGATATTTGTGTCGCACCTAGATTAGTGTTGATACATGAACATGCTATGCAGACTGAATAGTAGAGATTCTGCTTTAGACAGAGATTTCTTATCATTCTTAGAGAATGTTTGTTTAGTTGAAAGTAGCAGTATCCTGGTTTGCACATGTTAGAACACGCTGTCTTTATCTGATTTAATGGAGTGTGTTAGTATTTCGACAAAACTATTCAAAGTACTATCAAGGACTATACTTTCTCCTCGTCACTATATGCCTGAAATACAGCTGATGCGACGTAAAATCTCTCTCTCTCTCTGTTCGGAATAATGGAATCAAATACATTACCGTCGGTAGCGGATTGGTTTGGAAGTCGAATCTAATTATGTTTTTTGGACACTCTATATAATTGACCGTAGTTTCACATCCTAATCCAAACAGTTCCCCTTTTAGTCACGAGCAGACTACCACTAAACCTCTTTCTACAGTTATAAGGTATATATATCCGATTCCGACTATATCGTGAAGTGTTTGGGAGACATCTTTTCTTTTTGTATTAGAAATACTTGAAACTACCTAAGTGGACAGCATCGCTGATTCTGCCCTTGGTGTGAATCAGGTATACACAGGTGACACACGGGGACACGTGAACGTGTAGGGAGGAATTGAAACGAATTGACATTCAATATGTTAATGTTAAGCTGAGCTATATTTCCTTCTGTTTTGGGCCTAACGCGATACATTGCGCCATGGATACAGTGTGCGAAATAGCCAGTGGCCCGCTAGACCGTGGCTAGTAAACATCCATTCGGGCCAGTACTGGCCTGGCTGGCTAGTGAATTTTCATGGGGTCATTTTGTAAATATATCACACTCTCCGACTTGTTGAGTTATAATACACTTTTAAATCATTTAAAGTAGTGGCCTGATAAAAATGTTCATCATATTAGCAGCTTAATGATGAAACCCGTGTCTACATTCAAATTTCGGACTAGTGAGCTAGTCTGTGGGCTAGTAACTTTCAGGCATAGCTAGACCGATTGGCTAGCCAAATTTGGAAACTATTACGCACACTGCATTGGTATATCGATCAATACGTCTTTGCAAATCAAAACATGTTTTAATGTAAAAATACACGCACGCACGCACGTGCACGCACACACACACATATCCTTGTCCATGTTTTGTCAGTGCCATAGTAGTTGACATTGCTCACACGCCATGCCCATGATATATATTAATTACTGTTTAAAGTGACGTCAGACCTCACTCACTCATTGTCTGACGCCGCGCTTCTGAGTATTCCAAGTATAAGACGGCGTCTATATGTAATCGAGTCTTGGCCAGATAGTGATTGACAAATTGACGATCGATCCACGCAGATGACATGCATCGACCAACTTAGTGCACCCGTACCGTTAGTCGCCTCTTACGACAAGCTTTGGTTGCTGAAGACCATTACGGAACAACATTCATCTGCCAGGTTGACGTCAGTTTCGCCTGATGCGACTAGAGCTGGTCGTCAAACTTAAATATACCGCATAAATTATTACGTAACTACATTTTTCATCTTTCTTTGTGGCCATTTCAGCGTCTCGCGTCTCACTTCACAAAAAACACCATGTCTATAATTATGACGTCATAGTTTTATAATGACGCATTCATATTGTCAATCTCGCCTTCGTGATTTACAGATACAATTCACAATAAAATTGTAATGCATTGTTCATGACGTCAGAAACTGATCACATGACACCAGTGGAACAATATCCTGGCTTCGGTGAAGTCCCAGGTTTGACTGTTTATCGTGCGCGTTTTCCTTCAATGCATGCGCAATATAGACAATTCCCCTTCTCGAATATTAAGGAGTATCTGTCCCTCGTGAACGAGATCTGTAACCCTGTCACCAAGTATCGGAAATGATGCCATATGTTTTGGACATGTGCAGATAATTAGACATTTCAACAGCGTGACCTTCAGCATGTTAAATATCATATGTCAGGAATGCAAATTGTATTATGCTACCAAACAATGGTAATTATGTCATTCTATGATGTCATTCTTTAGAAATTACAATGTTTGGGTGAACCGCGCCTCTTATCATTCGAAATGATTTACAACCAACTTTGTCTACAGAACAACCTTCATATGTTGAATTCCGTATCTAAACTTATTGGGTACATAAAATACTAATTTATTGATCATTAAGACTTTGCATCGACACTTGGAGCTTAAAACTAGTTGATGGCATGTGACCTTATTTACATATTTATCATCTTCGAACCAACTTTATCTGATCAATTTATTCCGACAGTATCCTTTATATAATAAAACAGGTTAGTCTTTATATCTCTATGTTTTTTCTGTCATTATTTCTTTAAAACGAAATGCAATGTCAGAAATATGAACGAACGTTTATCGTTAGCATGACGTACCAATTCCCTTCTCGTGTGCAGCAGAGTCAAATCAAATTGGGTAATCAAAAGAATCCCTGCGAACATATCAATCAAGCATTACTGACTTTAACAAGTCGCCTCATTTTCATACTATCTAATCTGGAAAATGTAAATTGTGTCACACATGTCATAACAGATGTTGTAACATTATGTAACACAATGTATTAGCAACAACCACGTGACCTGCCGTGTAACATATGTCACCTGGAGACTTACTGGCTTCTGTGTCCAGTTCGACAACCGAGGTATATGTATGTAGACGTTTGAAGGCACACACGGGCGGATACGGCTTTTTGAGAAAGTGGGGTTGGGGTGCACAGTCCATTTTCACCCGTTTTCTCAAGAGTTTCAATGGTCATTTGATAAACTTACAGGACAAAAGGGGTGAGGGGGTGTTCAGTTCGAATACATTGTTCTCACCACACGAGAGAAATAAGCTATGTTATCCCGTACTATATTTTAAATAATATCTATTCTGACACCATGCCATATGTAAGATTTAACAAGACCCCACCCGCATACCACCAGCCTATCCGCTATGCTAAATGACCAGTCCCAAAGTACAATCTATGTCCAAATTTATAGACGCGAGAAGATCCGGGTTAGAATCGGTCTTCAGTAACCCATGCTTGTCGTAAGAGGCAACTAACGGGATCGGGTGGTCAGGCACGCTGACCTGGTTGACACATGTCATCGTACCCCAATTGCGTAGATCGATGCTCATGCTGTTGATCACTGGATTGTCTGGTCCAGACACGATTATTTACAAACTGCCGCCACACAACTGGAATATTGCTGAGTGCGGCGTAAAACTCAACTCATTCACTCCAAATTTGTAAATACTATTTGAAGAGATAGGACTGTGTTATATTTCTCTCCCTTATCTCAACCCCTTCCACCCTTCCCCAGTCTGGTAGATGATCAGCGTCAGTACCCCAGGCACACCAACTCACTTCCCTACGCACCAACCAACCCCATCCCATCACTCACTTACTGGTCGATACCGAACAAACAAGAATAAAGGATTTGTAACGCATACCTATGGCCAACTCAATTTTCAATGTGCAGTTTGATTATTTCTTGTTTTTAACGTCGCAACGAGTAATATCCTAACTATATGATGGCGGTCTATAACCAATCCAGACGATCCAGTGACTGACATCATGAGCATCAACCAACTCAGTTCAGATACGGTTACAAACAATCAACAAAGTCCAAAGGACTCTGCTATTAGTACAGACTTCTTACGATTGCGGAAATTATATTCAATAGTTTTAGGCAATATGTAATAACCATTATACTATAGCTAGGGTGAGGTTGCATTGCATGCATATAGAAGCTTTAATATCAAAATCAGCACCACTGCTACATCAGTATTCGGTTATGCTTTGTTATTTATTTCTTAATTCATTTATTTGATTTATATATTTTGGGGGGTGTTCTATGTATTGTTCCCCCAAACATTGACAAGTTTGGTATAATCATTGCCACGTTCGTGCTTGCATGAAATGATATATTATCTAACTAAACCTATCCCATTTGTAAACCAATATTTATACTGGACAATAACACATCATCTAACGGTACAATAACAACGTCGGAGCAAGCCCCCGATGTTACTGAATTTTAAAGTGCACAGTTATCGTGGATTTTCGAAGAGAAATAATGTGGGGAAAAAGAGTACTAACAAGGAAAGAAGAAATGCGCCTGATGAGGGAGTAAGCATACACTCCGAAACGTCGTGTTATTCACAATAAAGAAGTTGACATCCATAAATCTTGCTTTTCTTATGCATTCCACTTCTAAATGACCTTCAAAGATTTACTAACAAGGACTTAAATATATAGCCCTGACTCCTAACCGACTCGTGAAAGTTTCTGAAACGTGTCCATTTCCAAGCATAGGCCCTCGAGCCTTTGCGAGGACTAAAGTTGTTAAGAAAAATATGAAAAATTGTGATGACCCCCGACTCGAAATGCTTCACAGTACAATCATATACTGTGTAGCATTTCGAGTAGGGGGTCATCTAAAACAGTATGTTGTTTAAATCTTTAATCTTTGCAGACACGAGGGCCTGTGTTTCCAAGTGGTACTGAATTCTAGGAGTGAAGGTGTCCCGAAATGGGATAATCTAGGAAAGACATTTTACATAAATTATGCTGAATGACGCAGGTTTATCAAACAAAAAACTGTATCAACTGAATAACGCCAATTAAAGACAATAGTCATTCGGGGAAATGCTGCTAGAATTCGATTGAGTAGGAATGTCCGAAGAGACAAATATATTGAATACATGTACGTATGTGGAGGAAATGGTTGCTGTTTCTCAACATGATTGGGCTTCGATCCATGGTCGTCTGCGAGAAGGGTACGCTGGTCGTGTGCAATTAGATCCGGAAGAGTTAGCTCCCTTCAATCTCGCGTGAGTTGAATCCATGGAGATAACAACATGGCGGACGGTGTAAATAATCAAACCCAGTGGAACACGATTGGAATAATGACAGTGTAAAGGTGCACGCTGGTATATTTATTTTTTCATTGTATTATTTGGTTTGTAATAGTGTCATTCGTGAAAATGCAAATCTGCTATAAAATATAGATTTTCTAAATCGTCCATGACATATCCCCTGTTTACCAACTTGTCAATGCAGCACGAGCAATGACAACATTAAAAGTAATCAGCTGATTCCTGCTCAGCTATGTTATTTTTGTTGTTTATCGTCACTTGTAGTTGTGTGCTAGAACGTAAAAAAGCATAACCTAATCGGAAAACCAGAAATGATAGACCTTTTGAATAATTAAATTGATTATTAACCCACAGTTACACATAGCATACAAGTTCCGTTGCTGAAGTGAAGTGAGTATTGGATCAGCTCAAAGTAGATCTAGGCAACCATTCTAGACAAGTTATTGTCATGTTCGTAAAGATTTCTTCACTGAGCAATAAGTATTTATTTGTTTAATTAGGTTTTTATGCATTTACAGGGACAGAAAATATATGACCAAGACTGTTTTTTAGCTCAAAAAGTGATGACAACAGCAGTACCCAATCCCATCACGCTTTCCTCTTGCCCTGAATTTTGTGAGATTCTACTAGCCCTTACGATATTTTTAACATTAAGTAATCGGTCAGTGCAATTTCTAGCCCAGATTTACACTTATACATCCTCAATTTGTTTGCGTTTTCATATGGCTTAATATGATTGAATGTAAAAATTGACTATCAATGTAATACATATAAATAATTAATTGGACCTCAACAAAGAACCTTGAGTCAAAAATAGAAGATTCATAATCGTTTGCGACAACCTCATGAGTGACATCAGTCGGGGACATATTTCATCAGTCCTGTTCATTTAATTACCAATTTATAGTTATTATGATAACATTTGTTTTGTGTCATTGTGTACTGGACAAGCGCCATTAACCCATGTTAAACTAGCAAGACATCCCAAAAAGAAGCTAAGCAACCATTGATCATCGAATACTGAGGAAGGGTCTTGTTGAACGTTTTCCTTACCAATTTGGCAGGGGGAATTAATTATTTTATATTTTAGCTCTTGACTTATGGAAGAAGAGTATATTTTGACTGGATGTCTGGTTTCAACCACATGTTATTTATCATTATATCAAACGAGCCCTAAAGTGTAACCAGTCTGCAATTTTAACCACTAGTATGAGGCCCAAGTCTAATAAATTTTCTTCGGTCTTTCACTAGTTTCAAAGCTGTTTCTTTTGAAATCATGAAATATTAAAAATAAATATCTGATAATTTTGAAGTTTCCATGAAACATGACAATTGATTCAATGTTGCCTAATGTCAAGTGTCTTGCAGGGTATATGTATATGATAGGCTTGTGCTTTGCACAGACTTCTATTTGCACACTTAAAACATATGGCTAATAAACATCAATATTTGATGTAAATGGTTTTCTCCTGCAATTTCAACAAAGTTCTTTACATTTTAGCCACTACTTTTGGTTTGGAGTTAGCTCCAACCATTGACATAATGATGGAGGTCCACAAACTGAGAAACACCACCATGAACCCCCACGATCTGACGGCTGGGAGTGATGATCAAGGTGATACAAAAGACATCTCAGCACTTGAAATTCTTGTTCAGCGTCGCAATGCAGAGGAAAGGAGAAAAGCTCGACATCACTGGACACTGTTGAGGAATTCTATCAAGCACACTGTAGAGGCAGTTGCTAATGCTGACATTCGTGATATTGTCATTTCACATGGAATTCATCATGAGCGGAAGTTAAACCACACACAACTTCTTCAAAATGTCATCTTTGTAAGCCCCAGGAAGGTCAGATATTGCCAGATTTTATTTTCATGCAATATAGGATTTTAGTTTTCATGTCTGAGAAAAAAAACACAAACAAATGTTTCATTCAGACACCCTCGATTATAATAAAAAAATATATAAATAGTCCTTATCAGTGTTTACTGTTGAAAGTCTTTTAAAGTATTGTCTTACTGGCAGACCTTTGTTTGATTGTTAATTTGTTGAATTGGTTTCTGTAAATGTGGGGCGTTGGGGTAACCTAGTGGTTAAAGTGTTCGCTCTTCACACCAAAGACCCGGGTTTGATGCCCTACATGGCTACAATGTCTGAAGCCCATTTCTGATGTCCCAAGCAACAATGTTGCTGAAATATTGCTAAAAGTGTCGTAAAACTAAACTCACTCACTTCTATCACTTCTAGTATTAATGTAATACTTTAGTTTTTGATCTTGTAACCAGTATGAAAAGAGGCTGACATAAACAAGATCACCAACTTCAGCTACATATTCTGCTTTATACAACCACTATTATTGGTTTAAACATGTTAAAGACAACGAGTTTGTGAATAGTTGTGTATCCAGAAAATTACATGTAGTAGATGAGTTCCAGTGCTTTATTCAAATTATTGGGATAAATGTACTGATGCACAAACATTGGGATTGGCTTTGTCTTGCCTTTTCTTCTATGACAATACGTTGATACATTGGCACTTTGCTTCACCTTTCCATTTTCTCTCATGGCAGTACAAGTTATATCCAGATAAAGTACTGGCAAAAGTTCTCTATCATTCTCAGAGCAAAGGCAAATATTTGCATTCCGCGACATATATATTGCAGGTTGCACAAATATCTCACTCACATTCAATGTTTTGTGAAACCAAGTGTATGTATTTTTTAACTTATTGTACTGAAAAGTACAGGTTTCACAAAGCATGAGAGTTTCATTAATCTATACTGTATGCTTTACAGTACTTTATCAGCATATAGAGTAGTGCTAGAGCGACTGATTGAATAATCGGTCATTCGATCGGTCTCACTTGTGTCAGCAATTTATCGATTGGCTAGGGAGATTAATAGATATTCATATAGAATGAAACATCAAATTGAACTTTCAGAAGTTCATTTCTTAGGCCGGACTAATTTTATTTCTTGTTTTACGGATCCTTCAGTCATATTTTTTCAAGAATAAAAAATAAATAAATAAATTTTCCCCGCTCAAAAAATAAAATCCTAATGTTTTATCGGCCAAAATTGTAAACTTACCCCCAATTTCTTTTCTTTTTTTTTCTTCCTCTTATACACACTTCATAAATTGCCCAAAGTAAAACTCTTCTAGTATTTAAAAGGAATATTACTTTGACTGGTGATTTTTATTTATATTTTTTTCCCTCCTGCCTTTAGGTTTTCTGAGGATAAAATCCGAAAAACAAGAAATATTGGTCTGGCCTTGTTATTAAATTTGTTATATCAAGACATAAACAACTGATACAGTTAACTGCAATGTAAGCAACATACTCGCATGCTTATCTCAACAGGAAGTATCCTTGATTGGGCCAAATACAAATATGTGTGCTTACGGTTTCCCGACTGACCCCATCACAAACTTCCCGACCCTAAATTTTTTTATTTATTTTTTAAAAGATGGCGAAACATTTTGCTATTTCAACAGTATGTACTCCCCAATGTTGGGGGCAACCATATGTGACCTGTGCTCACTTAATCTTGTTTTTCATAAATGTTGAATTTAGAAAGTGTTGTTGCTTCAGTTATTAAAATTTTAAACTGGTTTCCCCTCTTTTCTTTCGAAACTGGTGCCTAAAATAAATATGTGATTTTATGAAAAATATGCGAGTGCATTTAAAAAAAAATGTAAGAAAAAAAGATCAACCCTACCTACCGACCCTGTTTTATAATTTCATGTTACCCTAAACACACATATTTATTTTTTTTGGCCTTGTCTTGATTGTAATATTAATCGGTGTCTGTTCCGTTTGCAGAAGGTTACGATTGTGTCCTGTTATCGCCCACATGAATTCTGTGGTGGGGTTTACGATTACAATCGATTATTGATCAATTACTGAACTATGATATTCAGTCTACATAGCCAGCACTAATATAAATGTACTCCACCTGACCAAACCACAGTGTCGTGAACACCCACTGGAGAAAATATTTGCCTGCAATCTAAAAAAAATCTATTATCATGTGTTAATGTAAAAACTGCAAGTTTATAGAAGTTGATGTATGATCAATCAGTCACATTAATGATTATTATGATTATGATGCTTAGCCTTCCAAGTTTAATGGCTGTCTTTCTGAACACAGGAATACCTGACAACAGATGGGAAAATATTTAACATTTTTATGGAGGATGGACGAAAGAAGACAACAGTTACCCCTGAGGAGCCAATGAACAGAGTGGTCTACTCCACGCATACTGACCAGTACGTGGGCTGGCTGCATGATGACCAGATGCTCTATGTAAGTGAGATGACCATCAAATCAGTCAACTAACTTCTACAAGGAGATATCTCTAGGGATATACAACTTCTCTATTACAATGTCTGAGATGTGTCAGTGTAGATACTAACACTGTTTGCAAGCAAGTAGTATCTACACCAAATGTCACATTCATTGTAATGAAGAAGCTGTCTATCCACAGAATTATCTCCCTTGTAAATTATTCCCCTCTTCATCATTTTCCCATAAATGGAGTGCTAGAGAAAAATGATTACATATGTTCAGAGAAGTATTAAAACTAGAGGGAGGCATAAACTTTCAGAGACATTAGTATTTTTATCATTACTTGACATCGCACTGTGTTTCACACATTTTCTTGTCTAACAAAACAGTTATATGTGAAAGAGAAAGCCTGATATGCAGAATTTCTGCTTAATTATTCTGTTGAAAAGGTATAACATTTATTTTTCACTGGAATGAATGAATAAAATTAGTTTTGAAGTGTTTACCTAATCCACATCCATAACAAAACCTCTGATTATTTGCGTTCAACCTGAACAGCATAACATAGCCCTAATTACTTCTATATTAGAATGACAGCAGATATCTTTCTTGTCTTCCTTGTTTGTACAATGCTTGTGGCATCATCTGTGGAGGATGTTTGAGGATTATTTCAAGACAAAATTGCAAGTGAATAATCTGTGTCTTTTTCAGCTGCTTGACATGGACTTTGAGATAATATCCCAGGCCCGATGCCCTGGGAACATCCTGCTGGGAACCTACAACCAGAACACAGGAGAGATGGTGACACTGGGGTCCCACTTTCTGCAGGTCAGTCACCCGAGCCGGTAGGCGAGGCATGACACTGCTACAAAAAGCCGTACATCAGACCGTATTACCCGAGGGAGAAGCATACAACATATTTATCTTACCGCCATGTTAAATGTACAAAACATCATATTATTTTATGTTAAAGATCGCGACGGACTATATGACATGTAAACAAAATGGCGTCTGCCTCTCGACTGGATTTTTAAAATCAGTGAAAGATATTCTGACAAGCTTAAAACTGCTATAAAAATGGTTAATTTTGTTCAAGTTGAGTGTGCAAACCACTCAATGTATAAAATAGCTTAAATAAAGCAGTGAAAGTCGGTAAAATAAATCTGTACAAAGTGAACACAAAAACAGCTGATCGAACGGTTCTGGAACTCTGGGCACGGCATGCGTCATATCATGACGTCATACGATTGTTAGCACTTCAGCTTCATGGCGGAGAGCTTGGTGGTTACCATGGCAGCGGGTAATATTTTTCCCAGTTGTCACCCTCCTGGGAGGGGTGACACGGAAACTTGTTAAAGCGTCATTGACCAATGAAATTAAAGTATTTTACATGAAGGTAAGATAAACTTAGTTAAACATAGCTTTACACGATCACACACAGTGATACAGTCACACAGCTTTACATGGTCAAACACAGTCAAACAGTCAAACACAACCAAGCACAGTCACAAACAATGACACATACTCATGCACACACTGATTATACAGTCACATACACTTGTACACAGCCAGACACTTGGTCACATATGGTAACATCATCATTTGCATCCTGTACGTACAGAGCTGGTCATTCCGATACGGAGCCCGGCATCTGATCCCCCCGATTGACGACCAGGACAGACTTTGGGGATGATAACATGTTTTCTATGATTGTCTTGGAGGAAACAGCCAGTCACACTCAGAGAGCTTTCCTTTCCTGTGGACTAGGTGTTGTGGTCAGTATTGGCTTATCATACATTCATTTAGCTTCCACTCTCTTGTATTATGAAAGATAACCAATAGATTTCAATGAGCTTTGGTTGTGTTTGAATTAATTGTTTCAGTGATTTTAGTATATTTTTGTGAGTTTATACATGGAATTTAATTTTTTCTTAAAGATGTTCAAATTAAAGTTCAATGGTAAAGTCGGAATCATATTTATATTGATTTAAAAAATAGAATATATTGTTCAAAGTCATATCCACATGGTTATTAAAATCAAGGGTTAGAATAATTCCCTCAAAGCCTTTGAATATTGTATGAGCAATTGAATGGATCAAGTGGTGAGACTTCGTGATACCCTACCATACCTTGTCATACCCTGCCCTACTCTGTCACACCCTGCCATACCTTGTCATACCCTGCCCTACTCTGTCACACCCAGCCATACCTTGTCATACCCTGTCACCATGCCCTACCTTGTCACACCCTGCCATACCTTGTCATACCCTGCCCTACTGTCATACCATGCCCTATCCTGTCGCACCCTGCCCTATCCTGTCGCACCGTGCCATACTTTGTCATACCCTGCCCTACCCTGTCATACCATTGCATACCCTGCAGTACTCTTACCTATCCTTGCCCTACCCTTCCATACCCTGCCCTTTCCTGTCATACCCTACCATACACTTCCATACCCTGCCATACCCTGCATTACCCTTCCATATCCTGCCCTCTCTGCCCTACCCTGTCATACCCTGCCCTAACTTACCCTACCCTGCCATACCCTTCCCAGTCATACCCTGTCATACCCTTCCATACCCTGCCCTACCCTGCCCTATCCTGCCCTTCCCTGCAGTTCTTGTAACTTGTTAGCATTGATAAAACTCCCAGAGCTGATGAAACTATCCGTCATCTTCCACCTCCTCAGGTGTACAACTTATATGAGGGCAAGATGCTGGAACATCGCAAGGAACTCCACAGACGGACCATCACTGCCATGACTTTCTTCAATCCTCTCAAGTATTTGGTCACTGGAGCACAGGATGGTTCAAGTAAGACTGTGCTATTTTGGACACTTTACCATGTTACAACTTTCACTCTCAATTTGTTGCATTTGACATGACAGCATGAATATCACATCCATTATGTATTGGTATGTATGTAATTGGAACAGGACTGTATCAGTACTAAACCCTAAATACTAAATAATGTTCAGTTACAAATAATTATTTTTCCTTATCCTGACTCATGATCTTTTCCTTATCTCCCTTTTCTTTTCGAATGGTAGTGGAAACACTTGAATCCCTTGAACTTCCCGAAGCAGACGTAAAAATACACTCACCCACGAGTTACCTCCCTTTTGCCCTTTTCCCGTGCAAACAGTCATTCGACCAGCCTTACTTGTCACTCTCTCCCTTTTCACCCAAGTGGATGGTTGGGCGAGCACTGGTGTCCCATATACGGCATTATATCCTTTTTATTTAGATCCTATTCTTCAAAATTACGCTGTGTATGGACTTGGCAATAACTACTTTGTATTATATGTAAAAAAAATTGTAAAAATTATTTGTATTTGTGTCATAATTTCATCGTTATGTAACTTTGTTTACATTTCATGAAATCTTGCAGTGTTTGCAGGCACAGGTTATCCTTGGCTGATTCTCACCCCCAATGCCCTCATGCATAAAGCAATGTTCTTCCAGCTTGTGCTGTACTTATTGTGTTGATTTATCAAATCTACAATTTAATCAATATTTGTCTTATATCTATACACGTGCCATGGTCGGGTGAGGAAGTCATCTAAAGTCACGGCTGATAAAATGGGAGATCAGCCTGCAAACCGTATGTTGATTGCTACTGCGGAGATTCATAATACTGGTGCTATGTTGAGTACGTTGCAGGGGCAGTCTGCAGGTACGGGGGCTAAGAAAAGATAGGCTACAACGCAGTTGTCTCCGACTCAAGCTAAGAAAAAGACGTCATCCTCTTCTACATCACAGAAGAAAGCATCTGTTACCAGATCAGAGGGTAAATCTACGCGGGCTAGTAAGTCAACGCATCAGAAATCCTTCAATGAAGAGATATTACCTCCACATGAAGTAGACGTTTTTGATGATCCACCACTACTTCTAGCCAAAGTGCCTACGAGATCAGCGACTCAATCGACGTCCACAACTTTTATATCGTCTCCTGCAACGCACACAGCAGGACAGCTGTTTGACGACCTACCACCTACTTCTCAACGCAGTGAAGTCGAGGCACACAACTCATCAGCGTTCGCGAACGCTTCGTCTTCACCGCAGCAGCTTCAACCAATGCAGAACTTTGTGAGACAATTCACCAACCAGATGATGACCATGATGGAACGCAGGTTTGAGGAAGAAGCGAAGGCTCTGTGAAGCCTCTCATCTACCGACACCGTGCTCAAACCTAAGGACCTGCGCAAACCTACTGACCTGCGCGAACCTACTCCTCAGAGAACTACGTCTCAAGACTATGTTGGCAAACGCATACACCTTTACGAAGGTCTCCACAGTCGGACGACTCTGTCATCTTGGAGGAGGATAGAAGACATGAGATGCCTACTCATCATTCTACATCTGCAAACCCTCAACGTTCGAGAACATCAAAGGATCCATCTCCTACACCTAGCCGCTCTAGATCAAGATCTCACAGACGTTCGCGAAGTCACTCATCACGAGACAGAGGTTCGTGAAAAGAAGGCTCACATCAAAGACGTTCGCGAAGGGATACATCTAGAGACAGACGTCCGCGAAGAGAAAGCTCACATCACAGAGGTTCGCGAAGAGATGAATCTAAAGATAGAGATTCGCGAAGAGAGGACTCTCAAGATAGACGTTCGCGTAGGGAGGAATCTGCAGACAGAGGTTCACGAAAGGATGATGAAGGTTCAACAATAGATACAGGTTCGCAGATGGATGATACGCGGAGGCCTAGCTCTAATAATCAGGAGACACTGGATGAGCAAGCGGACTTCGTCTTCCCAGACGCAGAGGTTACAGCTTGGATTGCCAACGGGATGAACTTTGAGTCTCCTTCTAAGGATAAAGATGAAGTCTACACTTATATGATGCGTAACGACGACTTTGACTCCGTCACTATCCCTCCGATTGAACCTATATCCAGGGTACCCTCCAACATTTGCACAGCTTTTGCGAAAGCATCCAAGTATCAGAGTCAGCATCTGCCATCATTTAATGTTAAGAGATTCCCTCTACATCATATGGATCCATTTACAAAGGCGCCTGAATGGGATGATAACATAAAGTTATTCAACGACTCCCGGAACAAGATATATAAAGTAGAAGATAAAAAGTTATCTCAACTTGATACTGCTACAAGGAGATCTTTCTTCGGGTTGGCCAGGTCCAGAGCTATCAATGAAGCATTGATCAATAAATTCCAGAACTCTAGTTCGGAAGAGGACAGAATGATATATTCCGTGCTCATAACTCAGAAGAAGGACGAATACTTTTTATCGGACCATCTGGCATCTATATCTGCAGGTCTCACTTTACTACGCAGACAAGGGCTACTTGCATCCTGTTCATGGAGTGACAGATTCACCCAACTGCTACTGAGAGCTCCATGGGAGGCGCCTACTATCTTTGGAGGACAAATAGACAATGCAGCTAAGGAAGCTACGCACGACTAGAGAAGTGATGATGATAAAATCCATAGATACTCTGGCCAACGTCATCCGTCATACTTCACAAAAGTATAACAGCAAGTCCAGATATTCCGGCATACAGAAGGCAAAGGAGAAGAAGTACTCCAGCTTCAGAGGTGGCAAAGGATCTTTTTGTCGCCCATATAGAAATTACAGAGTAAACTCAGGGAGAAGCCACAATCCCAGAGGATCCAGAGGAACTAGACGTTAATATGAGGGTTCGGAATGACTGGAGTCTTCCACCCCCCCAGCCATTCCTGTAAAACCATCGACAATGGGTGGACGTCTACAAAGGTACTGGAATAATTGGGGAATACTAGAGGATGACTACTTCTCCCAAGTACTACGAGAAGGATACAGAGTACATCTCAAGGCCACACCTCCACTAACCCTCAGCCCAACAGTCTTCGACTATGCAGAGGAGAAGGCAGACAAACTACAAGAAGCCATCAACTCACTACTGATGAAGGGGGCTGTAGAGATAATAGAACAGGATCATCTCACTCCAGGCTTCTATTCCCCAATTTTTCTAGTACCCAAGAAGAACTCCAAGGAGAAGTTCAGACTGATTTACAACATGCGCAAATTCAACAAAGACTATCTACTGAAACCAGACAGGTTCAGAATGATCCACGTACCTCAACGCAGACTACTCGTCCGTCCAGCAGATTACATGGCCAACATAGACCTGCAGGATGCGTACCTACACATCCCCATACATCCGGAATCAAGAAAGTATCTACGATTCCTATTCAGAGGGCAGCACTTCTAATGGAACATCCTACCGTTTGGAATATCTTCAGCTCCGTGGCTATTCACACGAGTAACCAAGCCTATAGTCGCATACCTTCATCATCGAGGTCTACACAATGCCTTCTACTTGGACGATGGAATTCAGGTTCACCATTCAGTCAACTCAGACTACAGCTGAACTTCACGATCAAGTTGCTCACTCAACTAGGATGGCTGGTGAACCTAATGAAGTCAGAGTTGGAACCAAAACAAGATCTGCAAGTTTTGGGGATAAGGTTTATCACAACACAGAATCGTATTGTCGTCCCAGAAGATTGTTGGGTCAAGATACAAACCATGATCCCGCCAGCAGTCGTCTCTCCGTTAACACTACGATCATGGCAAGTTCTACTCGGTCTACTAACCTCGGCGCAGGACTTGACTCGCACAGGAAGGTTACAACTAAGAGCACTGCAACGGTTCCTGATAAAACATCTAGACAGCGTCGACCCTATCTTGCTGCCGGAAAACCTCAAGAGGTATCTACTGTGGTGGACACGCAGGTCAAACGTTTGCGGAGGGACCTATTTACAAGAGCCGGCCTTCGACACACATCTCTACACACATGCTTCGATACAAGGCTGGGGTGCGCATCTCAACGATCAAGTGGCGTCGGGAAAGTGGTCAAAAACGGAACAGCAGCTTCACATCAATCTGCTAGAGATGAAAGCAGTGATCAACGCCTTACAACTATGGTCGAGCTTACTGAACAACAAGATGCTGATGATCCACACGGACAACTCCACAGTGGCGTTCTCCATAAACCGGCAAGGATCCACAAGGTCTCCAAGCCTGTTGCAGCTCACATTCCAGTTGTTCCAGATCACGCAGGCAGCAAACATCTGGATAAAGGCGTGTCACATACCGGGAGCCAAGAACGTACTGGCAGACGCTCTCTCAAGACCACTACACCCGTCACCTACGGAATGGATGCTCCATCCAGAAGCGTTTTGGAACATAAGGGAGATAGGATCCCCTTGCATAGACCTGTTTGCCACGAGGTTCAACAAACAACTACAGACGCTTGTCTCGCCGGTTCCAGATCCTCAAGCCTGGGCAACAGATGGACTGAGCATGTCGTGGGAAGGATTAAACGGCTACGCTTTTCCCCCCCCGATACTACTGCCAAAAGTACTGTTCAAGATCAAACAGACTAAGACGCTACAACTGACTTTGGTCGCGCCCTATTGGCCAGCGAGAGCATGGTTCCCAGACCTAATAGAAGATCTCGGAAACCCAGTAATCAAGTTACCAGATTGGCCGAACCTACTAATACATCCGCACACCAAGCAAGTCCACGGAAACCCAACAGTGTTCCAGTTACACGTGTGGACCGTATCAAAACGTGCTTGAAGAAAAGAGGATACTCTGCCAGGGCAGCCAAAGCAGTAACACTAGCGTTAGGCAGATCGACTCGTAACCTATACGACGACAAATGGCTGAAGTTTGAGACTTATGCAAGGCGGAAAGGCTTCACAGCGATGATAGCCACTCATACTAAAGTGGCGGAATATCTGTGTCATCTTAGACAGACCAGACATCTGAAGGGTTCGACACTATCTACATACCTCGCTGTAATCAGTACAGTGATTACCATGAAAACAGGCATCAAGTTGACGAAAGTACCAGAATTACTTGCTCTGCTGAGATCTTTTAAGCTGGAAGACCAGCAAAACAAATTCAGAGCTCCAGCCTGGGGTCTAAATGTAATTCGGCGTCATCTTACCAGTGATGTCTACGAACCACTAGATCAGATTACGATCGAGCTGCTAACACAGAAGATGCTGTTCCTGCTAGCGTTAGCCACTGCAGCTCGCATATTGGAAATACATGCGCTGGACTATGGTCGAACCACATTCGACAGAGGGCAACATAATTCAGTTCATCTAGGACTTAGATGGGACTTTATTGCCAAGAACCAGCTACCTGGTCAACCAGATAGACAGTTCCACGTACCAGCGCTGTCTACAGTCCTCAGCCCACAGGATATAGAGGACTTATCCTTGTGCCCAGTCAGAGCCCTGAAGATATATCTTCAAAAGACTGAGACGAGGAGATGAAAATTCAAGCGCCTATTCATCCCATTATCAACGGAGACTTCAGCAGAAGTCTCAAGAACGACCATATCATTCTGGATGAGAGCCGTTATATTGAGAGCCTATAAAGCAGCAGGACTAGAACCTCCTAGAACTTCCAACCCACATGAAGTCAGAGCACTGGCGTCAACACTAGCTCTGCACGGTAATTGCTCTATACCGACAATTATGGAGGGCTGCTTTTGGAAGTTGGACACTGTGTTTGCCAACCACTACCTCCGAGACATAGCCACTGAAGATGTCTCAGGCATTCACCAATTTGGGCCTCTCGTTGTAGCACAGCAACTAACAGTTCCTCAAAGGCGCTGAGTTGGAAAATCTCACCCTTTATCATGCTGTCTTGTTGATAACTTTTACTAAGGAAAAGTATTAGTTTGAAAGTCCATGCGCACAGTCTAAGACAGGCTAGCATGAGTGATTAAAGATCCTGTACGGGTAAAGATCTTACCTGTACGTGAAGGGGTCGCAACTCATTTATGATAAAGATCTTATCATAATCTATGGGTTGTTATAAGATATCTAGTAATAGGAAAATACTAGTTTATCTGTAGCCACATGAATCAACATGATTCAACTTGTCTGAGGTTGAAGTAAGGCAAGAAGTGGTCCCCCCCGAGTTATAACGGAAGTTTGAAGAATAGGATCACGGAAATGCCGTTTCGCAGTTCCCATGGGGGGGATACAGGACGTATCTAAGGACAACTGTTGAATCCAGTGGCTTGACCCACCACCTATCCGTTGGATTCTATAAGCAAAAGATCATGAGTCAGGATAAGGAAAAATATGTAATTTTTTAAGTAAAATTGATATTTTATACTTATCCTGACTCATGACAAACAAGCCCTCCCAACCTCCCCGTTGAAGACACTTGAGATTTCACAGCAGATCCAAGTGCAAGGGCGGAAAATAAGGAGAGAGTGACAAGTAAGGGACGTCACATGACTGGTTTGCGCGGGAAAGGGCAAAGGGAGGTAACTCGTGGCTGAGTGTATTTATACGTCCGCTTCGGGAACTTCAAGGGATTCAAGTGTTCCACTACCATTTGAAAGGGAAATGGAGATAGCAAAAGATCATTTGTCAGGATAAGTATAAAATATCAATTTTACTTAAAAAATTACATTTTTTGAATGATAAAATGGAATCTTACCCAAGTGTCTACTAATATCGAATATATGAACACTTGTTGGTGAAAGTATTAGTGAGTGAGTGAGTGAGTTATTTTTTCCGCAGCTTTTAGCAATATTCCAGCAATGTCACAGCGGGGGACACCAGAAATGGGCTTCACACATTGTACCCATTTGGGGAATCGAACTCAGATCTTCAGCATGACGGGCAAACGCTTTAACCACTAGGCTACCCTACTGCCCGGTGAAAGTATTAAGCACTGAGACAAGCTGTTGAATGTGTTGATGTTCACTTTGTTTCAGTCAAAATCTGGGACAATGACTGGCATGTTGTGATGGTGTTTGTGGGCCACCGGCGGCGCCTGGTGAACCAACTTACTGTGTACCCCCATGGACCCTCCATCATCTCCGCCAGCTTGGACTGCACCATCAGGGTGTGGAACATGGAGACCTGTGATGAAGTAGACAGGTGCGTGGTAGCATCACACATGAAGCACTGACTCCATCAGTGGACCACTGTATTCTTATAAGTAGCTCCCTGTAGAGAGTCTGAACTGGAATAGGTCCATGGCATCCTATGCTTGTAAGAGGCGACATAATGATTTGGGCTTGATTGACTGACAGCATGTCAGCATCAACAATGTGGATTGTTGGTCCTGATATCAATCCCAGTAGTATCTACTATACTCAATGACAGTTGCCAACATTAGCTATAATATTACTAGGTCTGCCACAGCTAAAAGAAGGAAAGGATCTTATCCATAAACTAAAATTCAAAACAGTCATATCAGTCAAGACAGGATCGACTTCTTTACTTCTTTGTTATTTTTGATGTTATTATAGATTTTCTAGTACCATACTTTACCATGTTAGACGTACATATACTTGACTGTTATAATCCAGGGCCCTGTTCCATGAAATGATCTCAGCGTTAAGATTATCATAAGTATATGTTAAGAATGGGAGTTACGATCATCTCAGCGCTACGGTCGCTTTGTGGAACGTGCCCAGAGGACAATCTTCAGCCATATTTTGGTACAGTGGTTATACAATCAATTGGTCCATGTTATAACTGAGCCTCGTGTTCCAGAATTGCCATGAGTGAGCCAGCAGAGGGACTGGGGACAAGCATGCAATATGACATTTTCCATACATTCGCTGGAAAGAAGGTCGACCTGTGGAGGATTCAACATCTGTATCAGATGCACACAGCTGTCGGGTAAATCATTTATCATACAATAAATGTACAAGGCTGGCAAGCAAACCACACTTTCTACATCAGCTGCACATGCCTGTTGGACAAATCACACATCCTATATCAGATGCATAGTTGTTGGATAAATTGCACATCCATTATCAGATGCACATGGCTGGCTGACAAATCACCCATCGTACATCAGATGGACACAGTTGTCATGTAAACCACACATTCTATATCAGATGGAAACAGGTAAATAACACATCCTACATAAAGATGGACACAGTTGTCAGGTAAATCCCACATCAGATGGACACAGGTAAATAACACATCCTACATCAGGATGGACACAGTTGTCAGGTAAATGACACATCCCACATCAGATGGACACAGGTAAATAATACATCCTACATCAGGATGGACACAGTTGTCAGGTAAATCCCACATCAGATGGACACAGGTAAATAACACATCCTACATCAGGATGGACACAGTTGTCAGGTAAATGACACATCCCATATCAGATGGACACAGGTAAATAACACATCCTACATCAGGATGGACACAGTTGTCAGGTAAATGACACATCCAACATCAGATGGACACAGGTAAATAACACATCCTACATCAGGATGGACACAGTTGTCAGGTAAATGACACATCCCACATCAGATGGACACAGGTAAATAACACATCCTACATCAGGATGGACACAGTTGTCAGGTAAATGACACATCCCACATCAGATGGACACAGGTAAATAACACATCCCACATCAGAATGGACACAGTTGTCAGGTAAATCCCTCATCCCACATCAGACGGACACAGGTAAATCCCACATCCTACATCAGATGGACACAGGTAAATCCCACATCCTACATCAGGTGGACACAGGTAAATAACACATCCTACATCAGGATGGACACAGTTTTCAGGTATATCACACATCCTGTATCTAATAGACACAGTTGTCAGGTAAATGGCTGTCTGCCATGCTTCAAAGTGCATCATTTTTCCCCAGTCACCGAGTGATGAACATCAAGATGACCACACATCCCAACTTTGTTATGCGAGCTGTGCTGATGTGTCGAGACTCCAGTATCCGTATCGTGTCGCCACCTACTGGCAACGTCATCACCACCATGCTGATGGATCCTGGCAAGAACATCATGGACTCTGCTTATGCCATAGAACAAGGTGAACATTACAACACTGGAACATTGCAGTGTTTAGTTTTGTTGTTTGGGGCTTCTTTTTTCATGGAATTTATGTTTTAATAAACAACTTTCACTGACCACCATCTCAAAGTTACTGATAACTATATTAGGACTTTTTCTAATCTGTTGTCTTTTTTCAACCTTTAATGCGATGATTACTTCAGATTGTCCTGTTGTATTAAACTATAAGAGGACAAAATTGCCTCATGTTTTGAGAGTGATTTTGAGTCGACTTACGTCAGTCTGTAACACACTTCATGAACTGTTTTGGAATTTGACACTGTGACAGATTACAAACGGAAAAAATGTTCTTCAGGCAATGCATTGTGGGTAAATACTGCAGGTGGAAGGCTTTTATTGATTATTTTGTTTATTCTCCCGAACAAGAATGTAACCAAATTAACAGTTGCACAGAATCAATCTGGGTAACGGCTTTCCAATGTAAATGTAGATCCTGTTGAGTAGAATTTTGATAGATTAATCTCTTCTCATCAAATTTGATGCACCTAGGTATCTCACTAAATAGGAACACCAAGATTTGTTGTATTGTAAATGACAACTCAACATGGCATGTCAACAAATACCTGCTGATGTATACATATCATACTATGAGTGTTCTTTTGCATTTGGGGCGGTGGGGTAGCATAATGGTTAAAGCGTTGGCTCGTCACGCCAAAGACCCGGGTTCGAATCCCCACATGGGCACAATGTGTGAAGCCCATTTCTGGTGTCCCCCCGCCGTGATGTTGCTGGAATATTGCTAAAAGTGGCGTAAAACCAAACTCAGTCAGTCCTTTTGCATTTGGACTTACTATTTCAATCCATTACATGAATTCAAAATTTCGTCCAATATTGCTTACATTAAATTTGGTGAAATTGTGTGAAAATGTCAGCAGATGACACAAACTCCAATTATCACCATGCTCTTGATGCCTTGAAATGAACATTAGTCATTAGAGATACAACATCTTCCTGTCATTGTATTGAAAATTCTTCTCAGTCATGATATTAGAAGTTATTAAAACTGAATCACCGAATGGTTGTGCACAGCTGATAGCTATTTCTGGCATATGTAACAAAACATTGTCACCCTTGAAATTGAACCTGTGCATATTAGACAATGTTTAGAAGACAGTGAAAATTTCTGCTGAAATTGTCCATCATGTATTCGATCAAGTTCAAGCTTTATTGCAAGTTCCACATTTTCACTGACCAGCTTTGTGAATGACATAACAAGCACTCAAACTCCAACCATCACCATGCAAATAGCAATACACATAAAAACTCTGCATACGGAAAGGGAGGTAACTGCATAATTTAGTGGATCATGTCATTCAAAGTATTGCAGCATTTCAGGGTCTTGTGTTCAAAGCCTGGAATATTAACAGATTGTTTTTTTCAGAGGAAATTTAAATGAAATTTGTTGGAATATGTATGGATGATTCGTAAGTGGAGAACCCAAACCTTTTTCCAGCCTAATAGCACGATAGAGTGAGTGAGTGTTTAGTTTTACCCCACACTCAGCAATGTACTATATGGCAGCGGTCTGTAAATAATCAAGTCTGGACCAGACAATCCAGTGATCAACAGCATGAGCATCGATCTGCGCAATTGGGAACCGATGACATGTGTCAACCAAGCCAGCGAGCCTGACCACCCGATCCCGTTAGTCGCCTCTTACGACAAGTATTGGTTACTGAAGGTTCATTCTAGCCCGGACCTTCACGGGTCATAGCACGATAGAACCATACTGGCCTCCTTTCCTGGCTCTCTCTCTCCCCACTCTCCCAATCAATCAATTACTCTGTAGTTACTGAATGTTATTATTAGACATCTGTTACAGAGATGCTGTTCACGGTCCTTGGTAATGGCGACATCATCAAGTGCCGCACCAACACCAACCCCTGCAGCCTGGTCGCGCGATGGAAATGTCAGAATCCTAACGGTGAGGCTCGGCACGACGCTGCTGCAATGCAGTTACCTGCACACTCACAGACATGTACAGAGGGTGGAATGACCTGTCCATGAGTTAAACATAGACAGACACCTCTAAAGTAGTGCCAACTCCAAGCGTACTTGCCTTTTTATACTTTTATTACCTATGAAGGCGAAAATATCGGGGTTCATATTTTTCATACGATGCCCTGGGGCAAAATATCACTTTGTCATGGTGACGTGACGTCCTGAACAATGATATGACATCATGTTTCTTCTGTGACATTGCGTTCTACATGCGGCGATGGCGGGTAGCCACCTGTTTCAAAGTAGATTTGGGTTTGTTTTCCTCAATTTGACAACTTTGGTAATAAACAGAATATTATATTCGTGCCCATATCATACTATGTTTACGATACTCGTGCCTAAATATCGGTATATCCCTCGCTCTCGCTCGGGAAATACCAACATCTAGGCACCCGTGTCATAAAGAGAGTATGACATGGGCACTCATATAATATCCTCGATTTAATTTGAATTTACACAAAATGTTTGGTTTAATAGTATTTGAGTAACCAAGTCCAACTTCCCGTGTTAGCATTTTACAGAGATACATCTGTGTCACTAACAGAAACTGTTTTATACCTTATAATATCATTATAATATCATCAGTACCAATACTGACCTCCTTAACTACTGGATGATGATATTAAAGGCTCTACTCAGGTTTTCATGTCTGTTCTATTGAACATGTACAAATCATTACACCCTCTGAAGGTTTGTATGTTGCCAGATATATCACAAATATATGTTTTGTGTTTGTAATGTAAGGAGGCATACTGGCTGATCTTTCAAAAATTCTGTTTTTCTAAGTTCAATTTTGCAATTTCTGTGAAATATATAGAAATAAATGTATACAGTAAGACCTGTTAGAGCATCAGCTCGATTCCTTTCACAAAGTGAAAAAGAAAAATGGTGAAATTGTGATGTTTTTGAAGATGAAAGTAGTAATACTTTATAAGGTCAAAGTAAATATTAGACATGACTATTAAAGCCAGTAAGATCCTAATTTGCTGATGATTGTGTTTGTTAACCAGTAATAACGTGTGTTGTTGCATGACGTTTGAACATAACCATGATGTTTTCACTAAGTGATGATGTTTGCGGTGGGAGTTACGTTGCACCACTTCATGGCGTCCAGACACCGTGCTAGTTGAGGTTCACATACGTGTACACCAGGGGGCAGTCATGTGTGCCTGGAGGCGTGTATAGGAATCTAGCCAATCAGGGTCCGTCTCATGTCTCACTCACAAAACTCTGTATTGCATTTGGTAGTTTGAATGGCAGTTTGGAGGCGTTGCTTTGTATTACATAATTTGTATGAATAATGTAGCAAATTATTCTTTTTTTAATTTTACGACTTATATTAACTATTAAGACCCCTTTTTTCATTGAGCATTGTATCAAATCGAGGATGTGGGGTGTGAAATGGTTCCTGGGTATTATGTTGGAAAAGAAATATGACATCAGGAATAATTAAAATGATTTTCCAAAAATTTCAAAACTTCATCAAGCTCCCTTCCATATATTTATGGCTGCCAACACAGTCATGGACACTCACCCAACCCCAGACCCCTAAACCCAATAGCCGATAGAGTATTTTGAACAAATATATACATATAAATATCCAATTCCAAAATTGACTTGGCAGAGCATGTATGTTAACATGTAAGGTGTGGGAAACAAGGAGGGGTGCACACCCGTGTAGCTAGTGTTGAAAACTCCCAAAATTCCAAGCCAGACAGCCGGACTGGTAACTTTAAAAAATTACCAGTACGGATACAAACTTGCCTGTCCGGTTTTCAACAATAAGAAAACAAAATAAAATCAAGTTTCTGAATACTTTACTGCATGTATTGTAACGTTAAGGCTAAGGTACATGGCCTGGTTTATAAACTAGAAATCTGTTGCATTTTCTGCCTCACAATCAAGACCAGAAAAATATCTACCAAACCACCGGACAGGCAACTTTTGAAATTGGACCGTCCGAGATAAAAATAGACCATTCCGGACGGTCGGGCAGGCGGGAATTTTAAACGCTGGTGTAGCCCCACTCGATCTGCCTACCAGACCCCCCAACCCCACGTTGTATTGTTTGACGTCTCCAACCCTTCCCAGTGACTCTGACCACCCATGTATAAATGACCAGTCAGCATGATGGTTTGATTTGTAGTTGTCTCTTGTCATCATCCAACAGCCATGCCACTTCTGTATCCAATGCAATGAGTTATTTCTGAGTTTTGTAACTGAGACAGGTGTTGAGACGATCCAGTCACTGTCCTATTGACGAGGTGCAAGCAGTAGAAGCTAGATGTACAGGGACTAGTTTGGTACTAGACTGTAGCTAGAGATATGTCAGTAGCACATGCGTGATTTAAGTACACTGCTTGTACAGACATTGGGATTTAACTAGGCCATTTGTGAGGAGTCCCAATAGGAGTCTCAGAAGGAAACCTCTGTGCCAACTAGTGATGTTCCGATTAATTGAAATAATCGAAGATTGGTCGCAGTGACCAAACGACCAAGCAATTGATCACATTTTCTCATAATCGAACACAAACGATTTTGGAACTGCTGTTTTAGTGTTTGAAACACTTGACGATGGAACATATCTTCGAAGGTGTCAGGGCCTGAAAACTTGTTTAATTCGTAGAAAACTCACTTCACTAACTGAAAAGTCATGACTGAATATTTCTTGAAGACTCCAGAAAGTTTATGTTCATGATATATTACTCATCACTTTAAAGTAGCAAGTTGCATCATGTTATACATATCTACAATAACAACCTTGGTAGGAAAATCTAAAACATGACGCTAACCAATTTTTTTCAATGATTGTTCATTGGTAATGCAGCAATCATCAATTGTGAGAATTCAACCAATTCCCAACACTAGTGCCAACAACAACAAAACAATAATGTACCATATTCAACATAATAAACTCAAATAAGTGAGCAGCTAGCAAGACCAATCTCTAAATAATCTTTGTAAGCATGCCTTACTTTGACCCCGACAATAACTTGTCAGTCTGTGTGTATAATATTATAGACATGGAAAATTGTATAAAATAAACTTAGGGAAAGCGAGAAAGTAAAATGTATTGTATGCATCCTGTGATGGCTGAATTAGAATTGGTTATAATGATTCAAACATATCTACTATTGTGCATCCCTTGGAATTAGTAATTCAGTGCATCTTGTTTTCTGGTTTTATGAGTAAAGGCTGCTGTGTATATCAAACAGAGTTAGTATAGTAACCATGAAAATTAAGCCTATTCCTGAAGACTAGAATCGATCATTATTTGATTATTTGTTTTTAAGGTATTTTGTGAGTTCAGATGGGCATGGTTTTGCAGTGTACAAGGAAAGATCATAAGTAATATTAATATATGTGGCAATGCCACTGAAGTATGGTGGGAGTTACCCGCCCCTTGGATCCCTATAAGTTTGATCAACCTTGGTATATCTATAGAATTTGAAGTGCAAAAATATCGAGTGCAGAGAAAATTAATGAGAAACAAGGGACAAATATTTCCTTACCATTTTTTAGCTTTGAAACAAACCAAGGGTTTCCTGGACAGACCAGGTAATCCTTGGAACAATGATCCGTCTAACGAAATGGGACTTTTGTAAGACTTGATTCCCTCATTATCTTTAATGTTGATTGTTAGTCATGGTATTAACTATTGGTTTGTCAGATCCAGGTTTGCACCTTTGGACCGCCATAATACAGCTGTATGTTTGTGCCTATGATGACAGATAACATCGTGTTACTCACCCCACTAAGCATGTCCACAGCTAACACCCAAACACCAGCCCTTATAATATCACCCATACCCCTGCAAAGTTGTGAATAAGTACTCATTATACAGTGTGCTGTTTGTGTTTATTTGCTGTGCAGTACTTGTATCTGTAGAGTTGAAGATTGCTTGTAGAGGTATTTGTCTTTTCCTCATTCATGTCCATATTTGTGTTCCGTGTCCTTATTCCCATTATTATAGGACAACGAAGGAGCAGATCAAACAGTTGTTGTTTCAGTTTAAAATGCCTGGGAAAGATGTCAGGTTTCAATGAAGTTATTACTGTAAATTCAGGTCACATGACAGTTCTGTTACAGAGCTCCGGTTTTGGATGACCTTCATGTGTTGACCCATCCTCACCAGTCGAGGGACACTGTGTCCTGTGCTCAGACATATCCCTGGAAAACACTTGTGACAGTCACAATTATACCATTGAAACAAAGATTGAATTGTAATGAAATCACACAAACCTACAATACTGATAGAAAGTATGTATGTGTCAGTTCCATAATTGTGTAGTCCATTGATTAACTGGACTGACTGACTGAGTTTGGTTTTACGCCGCCTTTAGCAATATTCCAGCAACATAACGGCGGGGGACACCAGAAATGGGCTTCACACATTGTACCCATGTGGGGATTCGAACCCGGGTCTTCGGCGTGACGAGCCAACGCTTTAACCACTAGGCTACCCCACCGCCCCTTGATTAACAGGAGTAGGTAGTGCATGGTCATGCTTATTGTGGGGGCATAGATGGCTACAATATGGAAGTCACTTCTTGGTGGTGTGTGGTCCTGTGTATAGCGCTCAGGTCACAATCAGTTGAAGTTAAGCAACATTGGACTCGGAGAGTCCTTGTATGGGTGACTGTGTGTGGTAGCCTCCTGAGAGTTTCTAGGGCTTCAGTGCTGCCCCACAACGAAACACATGTGATACATGTGGTTTCACCTTAGGCAAGTGAGTTTGTTTGTTTGTCTGTTCACCCAGCAGAAAATGGGTACCCGGTGAAATAAGTTGTGAAACTATTAACCTTTCAGCGCCTAGCAGGCAGCTTGGGTTATCCAGGGTGATAATGATCAGATTGTGGGCTTTGAGCAGGATATCTAGCCTGGAAAAGGTGCGTTATGAATATTCTCATGATCATTATTATTATTATTATTATTATTGTCACTGGGATGCGTCAGTTGAACTGATCATAGGTTTGAAGCCCAGATTCAAACTGACTTGGTTTGCCAGCCCTGTTGTACTGAAGTGGTAACTGTCTACAAACTCTTTGGCCTTTTCTTCAAAGATAAGCTGACATGTTGTTACTTTAAAACTCATCTCACACACGTGAGATGGACCAGACAATCCAGTGATCAACAGCATGGGCATCAATCTATGCAACTGGTATACAATGACATGTGTCAACCAAGTCAGCAAGCTTGACCACCCAATCCCAGTAGTTGGCTCTTATGACAAGCATGGGTTGCTGAAGATCGATTCTAACCCGCATCATCACAGGGTCCGGGTAGAGGGTAGATGGAGGAGGTATATGTGACATGACACAGTCAAGGTAGATCTAAGATACTTAATAGAATGTCTGTAGTTTTCCAGGGATATGAAACTGCTGAGCACACAGTAGCCCCAGATTGTATCATATGGACATATTTGCACCTTATTGATTTAAATATCAAATCCACAGACAAACTAGTCAGGATGTGTCAGTAGTTAAAAGACGTGCATAAGATAACAAGTGAATTGTGGACTGAAATTAGTACATACAGTCCCTCTGCAATCATTTGCTGGACCTCAGTTCAACCAAACAATCCAGTATTAGCATTCTGACTAAGATCTAACCCTCCATACTCCATTGTTCACTGATATGATGGCTTTTGGCTTATGAATTCATTTTGGGATCTCATGGTGGGGAGAGGGGAAGAAGTGAAATAAAAGACGTTGGTGATGTTGTCTTTTTCTATCGTAAAATGTGTTCAGAATGCCATGTAAGTATTGTAGGTTTAACTGACTTATAGCTTTCCTGTATTGTGTGGTGGTGAACATTGTGGGAAATATCAAGTCAATATTTTTATCCTTTTATCATATGAGTATTTGTATGTAGATCTCTACACCCTTTAGCCCACTTTTGCTTTAGTTGTAAAGAAGTCTATCTGTTGATACTGAGTCCTGTGTTGTGATGGTCTGCAGATATGTGTAACTATCTGCTGGTGTATGAGTATGTGGTGGACTCCACGGCTAGACATGATATCTGGGCGCTCATGAAGAAGGGCGTGGCCACTCGTAGCATAGCAAACCTAGCCCCTGCCAAGCAGAGCCGGAACCGGACCCTCCTGCTGGGAGGGCGGAAGGATGGCTACATCTGTGTGTTCAACTGGGAGACTGGAGCGGTCGACTTCAAGGTGGAAGTGAGTCTGATTTGTGTCTTGTGTAACACACATATATCTCTCATGTCATCTTCTTTATGTTTACAGCCTGGAAGAAGGACATGGTTGTGATGTATTACTTTCATTTCTTCTGGCCAGACCATTGTTTGTCAGTTTTGTGTTTGTGTTTAATTTTGTTATGATATACTATTCACCTTTTGATAGGAAAGTCATTTTTATTTATGTCTGAAAGCCCTATCAAAAAGAGAGGAGTGTATTTAATTCAAAACTGTCACTAATTTTGGTCATTTCAGCATACTGATCATGAAAAATATTGAAAAGATGCAAAATAGGTCAGACCATGTTTTCTTGGATACATTTGATGTATTTAGCACCTGCAACAACTCACTCACCCTTGTGTCTTCAGAGTGTTAGCCACATATCACATGTCACTATGTTCCATTGTTCCTGGAGCAGTCCAGCATCATCTTCTGGCCACATACAACTCAGCAATCATCGGCAAATACATTTCTAGACTACTCTTACTAATAAATTTATTTAAATTGTTATTTTTCTTAAAATTATTGTCCCTCACCAATATTAGTATTTTTCTGATTTTTATCTTGATTAATTACAAATTGCATGTCCCACAACCCATTCATGGTGTCTCAGCAGGGTGGTAGATACATCAAATATGGTTATGTGAACCTGATACTTTCCTGCACTAACACAGTGAGATGATGACAATACAGTGTGGGACATGTTTCTGTGACAGGCACATGGCAGCAAGGGTGTCCTCAACATGATCGCTAACTCCAGGGCCGACCAGGTCATATCAGCAGGCATGGGTAGGTGCACAGGTCAACCTGAGCTGGCAGTTTAAATCTCATTGAAGTTGCATTTGGTACTCTGATACATGTCTGTGTGCAGATCTGACAACACCTCAGTAGAATGTCACATCTGGTGAAATTTGTAATTAACACCTTTCAGCTTCAAGGATTCTAAATTCTTGTTGTGAGTGAGCAAAACATTCCAACCAGCATATCTAATTTCTGTATCCCCAAAATAAGCTAAACTGCCAGGTCTGAGTGTAAATAAAAAGGGTTACACTGTTATTATGTTGTGGATAGTGTAGAAGTGCATGGTTATTCAGAGTACCATGATGTTTATATATCAAAATGGAATTCCATCAGAGGATGTTTAATTAATGTGTTTTCTTTTGTCAAAATTCTCTGTCTGTCCGTAATCATTTTCTTTCCAGACATTCTCAAAAAACAGTTCAATATTTGTCAACTAAAGTTGGTAGAAATATATCAAACAGAACCTTAAAAGTGGTGCCTTTTGCTATTTACAGATTTTTGTCATTTTTATTTCTCTTGGTTTCCATGGAAACGTTTTGAACATAGTCTCAAAAGGGAGGGGTGGGCTTCGTTTCTGGAGCACAACTTGAAAACCGTTCAATATTTTTCTACATGACTTGGCAGATATATCAAACAGATTCTTGAAATGGTGCCTTTTGCTATTTGCAGATTTTGGCATATATATTTTTCATGATTTCCATGGAAACGATTTGGACTTAGACTAAAAAATGAAGTTGGACTTTAAGTAACCATCAGATGATTTGTTCTTTCAAATTAGTGGGGGCTGTCAGATGATTTGTTCTTTCAAATTTGTGGGGGCTGGTGGGATTTGTCATCTTCTGATGACTCTTGTTTACATTTGAGTTATGTGAATGGGTCCACAACCTCATGCTAATTCCTACACTGTTCAGGGCTGATGTGTTTTGTTAAACCACATTACTCCTGGGTTGCAGATAACGTGATCAAGGTGTGGCGACTGTACCCATTTGCCCAGGAAGGCTGACCCCCCTCATGTCCTTCTACTGCGCCCACACACCGTCCTTCATGACCACCATCAAGACCCGGCTGTGTGTGGCCTTCCAGGACCCCTCCACCGCCACCTTCAGCACGGTCCTCTATAACCTTAAAGATAAAGGTAGGGTCTTCACCAGAATACATACCCTGAGAACACTGCAGTGTATGTAGGTACACAGCTTAACCCTGTTATTGTGGAGCTCCAGGCTTTTACCCAACCTTGTCACTCTGGAACACTTAGGTTTGCCTCCTCCTTGTATTTCTGCAACCTCCAAGACTCCACCCTGTTATTTTGGATTTTGTTAGTTAGGATCTTGTTAATGTGAGCCTCATTGTCTCTTTAAGTCATTTATTGTGGATCTCATTAATAAGGCCTTCATTAATGTAATCTTTCCTTCAAAAGCTTTGTTGCTCTTAAAATTTATCTCTTGAGTGAAACTATGTATTTTATGCCAATTTATGTATATGAATTTTAGATTGATTTGTGGACGTCTTGAATGGAAGTCTTGTTCATCTCTCTACTCCATGTTATGGAAATCTCCTTGCAGAGATTCTGTTATTGTTGTAAATATGCAATGTTTCAGTCTCCTCATGATGTCCCAGTATTTTAACATTGATCATGCTGGAATTATTTAGAAATTTAGATTAGAAGGTTTCACTGTATAAAGTATGCTATATCTTAGTGATAATATCTGATACCGATAACTGCAGACTGCATACCACTCTGGTAAGAATATCAATCCTTTCATTATCATTTGCCACTGGTTTGCTTACTCTAAGTTCATCATTGTTTGTACATCACCATGCTTTGAGCCTTCATCACCCTCGTCATGGAGACCATATTGTCATCACTTCATGTTTTGTTGCCACTATTTTACCTTTTAATGATAATCAAGACTGGATATTCGCTGACCTTTGACTATTGATGTTACCTCTGCATGAAACCAGCAACAGAACGTGTTCAGGACAAATTTCTGAGAAAAATTGTCATCGCCTCCTTTATTGCTGCAATGATTCACCCAGACCTTGATTTGATTCGAATTCCGATATTGTACACCTCAATTCATTCATATTTTCTATTCGATTCTTCATACAAGTAAAATCATCAGATGTCAGTTAACTCTCAAAGTCGGCTTTTAGCTGAAATTCATTGTCAACGCAGTGATGTCTACTAACAACAAGTCTCATTAGATAATTAGCCCAACGCGGACATCCAGACATGTTTCACCTTATTTCAGCCGAAATGCTCGAAGCTAAGTCAAAATTATGTTCTGTCTGTGTGGAAATAATTTAAATAGGTATTCAAATATCGAATCGAAATAGTGATAATGGTTATTGAAAATCGAAACTAAGGTGTCAGATTCGATTTCGATGAATCGAACAGAATCGCTTGCAGCTCTAGCCTCCTACAACCCTTCTTATTCTTTGATCTGGTCTGTACAATGTACCGTACATGTAGTACATTTGTACATCTTGCACACATAATTATATAAATTAGCCACACAGAAAATGTTATCATGATTTTTTTGTCTTCTTTTCTCTATTTTCCTGATTTCCTTACATAATACCATTTATTATGTTCCCTCTAGTTTTGCATCAACCGAGTTCGGACAAAATGGATGCTTTCAGTGAGGAATTGTTTGATAACTAACAGAGTGATATTTGTCCTTTAACATATTTGATGTGCACACATGATCATGAGTTGAGATGCAATGTCTAACTAATCCTGTTGTTGATTTGACCTGATGAGCACTTACCTCAAATCTGACAGTCAGACCCAGGCATCATGACTAGTCTCTGGGATAATCCTGGCGAATATATAATCATACATTCTCTATCGACATTCATTATTGCTGTATATTGTAGCTGCATACGATGACAATGTCTGGTTAATGCCTGTTCATCTTTGACTTGTTGCTGGTGTGTGCCACTATTTTGCCAGAAGTTGGATCAAATGTATTTCTTTTACCAAAGTCAGAAAGGATAAAGAATGGTATACAAAAACTGAATAATGTCTACTTGATTCTACACAATCTAAAGACTTTTGAATATGTCAGTTTTCCTCTTGGAGTAGAACAGATTTAGTTTTGCTAAGACTTTATGTGAGGAATGGAAAAAGACAGAACACCAGATCTGGTGTCTTTCTTTACAAGTAACAAACTGACATTCCTGAAATTCCTGTCCAAATATGTCATGGCCTTTCCCAGTTTCAAAAGTAATTTGTTATGACAAAACAATACTTTGTTTCAGAGTAATTGTTGTTATTCCTTCACCCAGTAGATTTGTTCATATAATCCTCCAATATGACTTTCACCATTGCAGACAGCAAAATTCAAACACTCACTCACTCATTCACCATTCACTCACTGTTCACTGACTCAGCTCAGTTGCTGGATTGTGCACTTTCACTCACTGATCATTGAATATGATGTGGACTCAGTAGCAGAAACTAAAGTATTTCTTGTTTACAGGAAACAATGTTCTCACCATGTTCACCATGTTTTCAGCACATTCTCCCTTGAGGGATCTTCTCTAACAGTAGTTACCCAAACACTGCCTTTACTTAATAAACCTTTCTCTTGCAACTGGTATTACATGTATTTGAGAATATTGTGCCCCTTTTCAAACTTAGGACGTCATGAACTATTATTAACAATCCGTATATCATGTACTTGTATCAGCAGTAAGTATAGTATTGTATCAAAATAAGGACACTAAGTATAGTAATATGTCCATATATCACATCAAGTGTCGTATGGTGTCCTTTGTATCAACAGTAAGTATAGTATTGTATCAATATCAGGACACTAAGTATAGCAATATGTCCATATATCACACCAAGTGTCATATGGTGTCCTTGTATCAACAGTAAGTATAGTATTGTATCAATATAAGGACACTAAGTATAGTAATATGTCCATATATCACATCAAGTGTCGTATGGTGTACTTGTATCAACAGTAAGTATAGTATTGTATCAATATAAGGACACTAAGTATAGTAATATGTCCATATATCACATCAAGTGTCGTATGGTGTACTTGTATTAACAGTAAGTATAGTATTGTATCAATATAAGGACACTAAGTATAGCAATATGTCCATATATCACATCAAGTGTCGTATGGTGTACTTTGTATTAACAGTAAGTATAGTATTGTATCAATATAAGGACACTAAGTATAGTAATATGTCCATATATCACATCAAGTGTCGTATGGTGTACTTGTATCAACAGTAAGTATAGTATTGTATCAATATAAGGACACTAAGTATAGTAATATGTCCATATATCACACCAAGTGTCGTATGGTGTACTTGTATCAACAGTAAGTATAGTATTGTATCAATATAAGGACACTAAGTATAGTAATATGTCCATATATCACACCAAGTGTCGTATGGTGTCCTTGTATCAACTGTGAGTAAGTATAGTATTGTATCAATACAAGGACACTAAGTATAGTAATATGTCCATATATCACATCAAGTGTCGTATGGTGTCCTTGTATCAACATTAAGCATGGCATTATGTTCCTGTATCAAGACTAAATATGGTATTGTGGACCCTAGATCAACACCACTAAGCTAATTGTGAAGATCCGGTTAGAATTGGTCCTCAGCAACCCATGTTGTCGTGAAGAGGAAACTAACGATTGGGCGGGTCAAGCTTGCAACTTGGTAATGACACATGTCAGCGTATCACAATTGCATAGATCGATGCTCATGATGTTGATCACTGGATCACCGCCATATAGCTGGAATTTTGCTGAGGGGGCGTAAAGTCAACAAACAAAACAAAGGAACAACACAAAAGCATGGTATAATGTTCTCATTTAACACTAAGTATGGTAATGTATCTCTGTATCAACAGAGTTTGGTATTGTGTTCTATATAACAAACACTTAGTACCCTGTCCTTGTATCAACACTAATCATGGTATGTCAGGGCCCCTATAACATCACTGTTCTTGCCTTTATTTAGATCGGTTTGACCACAAGCCAGACGATGACCACCTTTGACCTGATCACAGGGATGACCTCCTGTCCCCGGATGAAACTGTTCGCTACCAGCAGCATGGATGGCACCGTCCGGATCTGAATGAAACCAATACTCTCACCAGGTGAGAAGTCAAAACTCTCACCAGGTTAGGTTTAAGGTGACATCAAAACTCTCACCAGGTTAGGTTTAGGGGGTGATGTCAAACTATCACCAGTTTAGGTTTAAGGTGACGCCAAAACTCTCACCAGGTTAGGTTTAGGATGAGGTCAAAGCCTCACCAAGGTTAGGTTTAGGGTGACATCAAAACTCCTCACCAGGTTAGGTTTAGGGTGACGTCAAAGGCTCCTCACCAGGTTAGGTTTAGGGGTGAGGTCAAAACTCTTTGGTGAAGGTCAAGGGAGAGGTAAAAACTCTCACAGGGAAAGGTCAAGGGGAGATCAAACTCTCACAGGAAAGGTCAAGGGGAGATCAAACTCTCACCAGGTTAGGGTTTAGGATGAGGTCAAAACTCTCACCCGGTAAGGTCAAAACTCTCTCACCCTAGGTGAGGTCAAAACTCTCACCCGGTGAGGTCAGGTCCTCACCTGGTGAGGTCAAAAACTCTCACCAGGTTGGGTAAGGGTGAGGTCAAAACTCCTCACCAGGTTAGGTTTAGGATGAGGTCAAAACTCTCTCAGGAGTTAGGTTTAGGATGAGGTCAAACTCTCACCATGTTTGGTTTAGGTTTGAGGTAAAAAACTCGCACTACCAGGTTAGGATTAGGGTGAGGTCAAAACTCTTTGGTGAAGGTCAAGGGAGAGGTAAAACTCTCACAGGGAAAGGTCAAGGGGAGATCAAACTTTCATCAGGTAAGGTTAAGGGGAGGTAAAACCCATATCAGGAGGTGAAATCAAAACTTTGATCATGTGAGGTCACAACGCCCATCAGCAGGTGAGATCAGGGGCAACAACTGTCTCTCATTCCTTTCCATACATGTGTATTATGCTACTAAAAGAAGTAAAAGGTGTAAAATAACGCTCAATTTCTTCACTGGATTACAGCCAGTCTCTCATAGCAGATTATCTGTAGTTTATATAGAAAATTGTTTAACTTCTTTGAGTGATGTAACAATGGGGCAAGTTCTATGAAATATACAACTTCTTTAGTATAATGAAAGCAACATTTTTGTGTTGCTGATAACACCGCCATGAAGCCGAGTGATGTACAATACTGCAGGAAACACATTATATACACAGGAGTCAAGTCAAGGAGAGGAATAATAGCTACCTCAAGCCAGGCTTGCCAAAAAATATCTGCTCCACACTAGAAAATTGTTTGTTCCAATAACTTCTTTTAAGCAGTATGTTTTAAGCGATTTCCTTCACTAAATTTACCATGTTTAAGAGTTACAGTTTCATTCCACAGGTTGTTGCGAGGCTGAACACAACACCGCTGAGTATCAGGGTTCCTGCAGCCATAAGGGAGACCTATTGCTTGGAACAGGGGATCATCTCTTCAAAATCACCACATGAGAGATGTAAAGTCAGCTATGTCCAGGGAGGACGGCTACGTTAAGCATGTCAGCGGCCCTCAGTTTACCTTTAACCATATTGTTTGGTAAAGTTGTTTTAATGAAAGAACAGCTTGACTATCACTTCTTATATGCCATCATGAAAGTAAGCCAGAATTTGTACTCCCAGATTTGTTGAATATACACTGTACTGATTCATAATTATATCATAATGGCTTGGCTGCATTCTTGCATCATCATCTTCATGTGAACAGAATTCTATAAAGATGAGCAAAGACAACACCCATAGATGTTTTCTGAAGATCGTGCTTGATTATATGAATATAATTTGACTGTTTTAATAATCATGTGTTTTAAGTTCTACCACGAGCGTACAAGTTCCGCATGGTGTCGATGAAGTTCGAGGTGGAGCCGAATGAGGAGCCGATCCCCTATGATGACAACCTCCTGAACATGCTCAGCAAACAGGATGTCAAGAGACTGAAAAACTCCAAATCTTCCTTCAAGTAGGTCACTGTTATGGTTGTTCTTGCTGTTCATTGTTGGGATTAGATTGTGGTCTTGAGGCCCTAGGACACTCATTCTGTGTTATTGCACTTGCTGCTGACTTGCACATTTCTCCTGTCTATAGTGGGTGGAGGTTGGTATGGTCAGTGAATGTTCTCCCTTGTTTAATCATTTGAGTGCAGTCTTGTTCAAGGGAAACAACTCTTTCAGGTTAAATGGCAGGTTGTCTTTTATAACCATGGCAACCCAACAATTCATTTCAAATTTTCATCTCTTTCTTTGGGGCAATGGGGTAGCCCAGTGGTTATATCGTTACCGACTCATTATGCTAAAGGTTCGGTTTTGATGTGTGAAGCCCATTTCTGGCATCCCTGCCTAAGTGATATTGCTGGAATATTGCTTGAATATTGCTGAAGAAAAGCGTTATGTAAAACCAACTCACTCCACTCATCACTTTGCTTTCAAAACAAAGGATGACAAATTTCTTTACCTCTTCCTTTTTGGCTAGTTTCCTGATGTTTTGTAAAATGGGACTTTACCGACTGATTAACAGGGGGTTCCAGGGGAGAATCGGTACCATAGGTTTTTCCCGGTACACCATTTGACTGTAAGTGACTACTCAGATGGGCAGTGGCAGGTTAACAAAGCCCATTGCACAGTTGTTTGTACACCATGCAATCAACCACCAGGCCATTGTGCAGACTCGTGAAAATTACAGTGCCACTGTTGTTTTAGTTTACCACAGCGAGCACAAGCAGGCCTGTCACATTCATTCAGTCTCCAGTGGAAAAGGATGCTCTCATACGTTTCAGATTTGAGCATTTTGTTGACCTTCTGTCAGCGGAGGAAGAACAGGAAGTGGTGAAGGAGAACCCGGTGAAGAAGGAGGTTTTGTGTCACACCTAGATTTCATAATGGATGATAACACCGATCTGGGGATGGAGTAAACCCTAGTGGGTAATGCATTCAGGATTATTATCGCTATGATTACCAACATGGATGAATGTTTGAAACAGCTCATTTCTATCCCCAGCACTGATTTTGCTGGAACGATTTGACAAGGGCAGAAGATAATCCATACACACATGTATACATACTAATTTTACATCCAAACAAGATGTTGCCATCTAAAGCAACATTAATCAATTGACAAAATTGCTGGATGATTCTGATGAGGAATCAGTACCACTTAGATAGGCAGGGGTTTCACAAAAGGTGAAACACTTTCAACCTTGTTGTCATGAGTATCATCATGTCAAATCGTCATCATCATCATCATCATCATCATCATCATCATCATCATCATCATCATCATCCAATACTGTCACATTGTCACTAACACCATGAATGTTGTTTCACCCGTGCACCAAAGCGGTTTTCCACGGAGTTGAGGCTCGTGAAGGAGTTGCTGCGTATCCGTGATGGTGAGGCTGAAGGAAAAGATGGAAATAATAACCACCAAAGGAAATTGGAAATCAGACCTTCCTCAACTACATGAAGAGATGTTTCTATGACCAACCCAAGATCAAGGTCCAGTGATGCCCAGTTGCACCTTCTAAAGAACTTCAGTATTGCATGAGTTCGTTCACTCCTGTTGTCTTTGTTCCCAAGAAAGCGTTCAAATCAGCTTGTCAGGAACCAAAGGGAAATCGTGTAATCAAATACAAATATGCGCATTGTTTGAAATTAACACAGTACAAAAGCCCTCCAGCCAGAACAGCGACGGTTGGGTAGCACATTGTGGTGAAGGCATTCACTAATTTTTGCCCTGGGGTCTGGTTTCAATTCCCCACGTATTGTGATGCACATATATTTTTGGCTGCTATGAAATGCGTGGATTATTGCTGAATGTGGACCTTAACTCTGTTATCTGTCACTGAAAATCATATGGACTGCCCGTTGTCATTCGGTTATGAGGCGATGACCAGCCCTTCCCAGAGGACCACGGTCATCGGAGACTAGGATGGGACCAGATGGACCTTCACAGAAGGTATTGAGGCGAGCTATAGCAGTGCTTAAGCAGTGCAGGGAGGAGCTAGGCAGTAGGAAAATAATGCAGTTCAGGGATTATGAGGACAGACATGTTGACGGCTTGTCATCACTTTAACATCAGGGATTGTTTTTGATAATATCAATGACATAATGATCTTGTTCAGACTGTCATGGACATACCACTAATGTATACATGTATAATGTGAATGTATGTGTGTGTGTGTTATTATTATTATTATTAGCGATGCGAATGCGTGCATGCGTGCAGTGCTAAACAATAAACAAAGACCAAAGGCGACAACATTCAGCTCAGACAGTCCTGTTTGTCTTTCCACAGAGGATTACCAGAAGAGTGTAGAGCCGGGCCAGCTGGAGTTTTCCTGCTCGTCCCCAACACCAGCCAAGGGCCTCAGAGCCAGCCCTACCCATCAACCCGCAGTGGCTTCATCCCCAACTTCGGTGATGGTGAAGCACCATTTAATGGCCGCCACGTCTCCGGTTAAACTGGAAGACAGGGCACATATGCACCCCTCTCTCACAGCCGGGCAGCTTGATTGAGAGATCAACAAGTTGAAGAAGGTGGGTGTCCTTAATGGCGCAGCAGTTTACTACCTGTGTTGTACATGTGAAGACCAGGTTTACTTGCATCTTAAATATACTAGCAACTATACAATCTATCAATGTTGAATAAAATAAAAAAATTATAATCTATAAAGTCAACGCACTGTCTTTAAAGGTATTTGCATATATGTGTGGCATTATATAAAGGTTTACTGGGGTCAGCGAGTGGTCATCTAAGACACTGCTACTCACTGGAAGAATTGCATCCATTAGGCATGCCAGAACTCCTGTGATCTTGATTTCAATTAGATTTGTTAAACCACGATAATGTTTGATCAATATTCACTGGAACAAATTGCATCCATTGGGCGTACCCAGAACCCTGTGATCTTGTGTTCAAATCATGGGGTTTCAACCCGATAATGTTTGTTCAATATTCACTGGAACAATTGCATCCATTGAAGCATGCCAGAACCCTGTACTGTATCTTGAGTTCCAATCATGGTTCAACCCGATAATCATTTGTTCAATATTCACTGGAACAATTGCATCCATTAGGCATGCCAGAACCCTGTGATCTTAGAGTTTCCAATCATGGTTTCAACACCGATAATGTGTGTGTTCAATATTCACGCGGAACAAGTGCATCCATTAGGCATGCCAGAACCCTGTGATCTTGGTTTCCAATCGTGGTTCAACCCGATAATGTTTGTTCAATATTCACTGGAACAATTGCATCCATTGAGAGCCTGTCATGAACCCTGTGATCTTGAGTTCAATCATGGATTCAACCCGATGATGTTTGTTGTTCAATATTCACTGGAATTGCATCCATTGAGCCTGTCTGAACCCTGTGATCTTGAGTTCAAATCATGGGATTTCCAAAGCCGATAATGTTTGTTCGAATATTCACTGGAACAATTGCATCCATTGGTATGCATGCCAGAACCCTGTGATCTTGAGGTTCAAATCATGGTTCAACCGATAATCATTTACCGTTCAATATTCCTCTAACGCAATTTGCATCCATTGAGCCTATCTGAACCCTGTGATCTTGAGTTCCAATCATGGTTCAACCCGATAATGTTTGTTCAATATTCACTGGAACAATTGCATCCATTGAGCAATGCCCAGAACCCTGTGATCTTGAGTTCAAATCATGGTTTCAACCGATAATGTTTTGTTCAAATATTCAAGCTCTAACAATTGCATCCATTGAGAGCTTCATCTGAACCCTGCTGATCTTGGGTTTTAATCATGGTTCAACCGATAATGTTTGTTCAATATTCACTGGAACAATTGCATCCATTGAGCCTGTCACACGAACCTGTGATCGAGTTCCAATCGTAAGTTCAACCCATTAATCATTTTGTTCAATATTCCACTGGAACAATTGCATCCATGGGAGCATGTCACGAACCCTGTGATCTTGAGAGTTCAAATCATTTGGCGTTCAAGCGATAATGTTGTTCAATATTCACTTTCGGAACCAATTGCATCCATTGAGCCTATCTGAACCCTGTGATCTTTGAGTTCAAATCATGGTTCAACCCGATATCGTTGTGTTCAATATTCCGCTGGAACAATTGAGGTATAAATTGAGTACATCTGAACCCCCTTGATCTTGAGTTCAAATCATGGTTCAAAACCGATAATGTTTGCACGTTCAATATTCCTGGAACAATTGCATCCATAGAGCATGTCTGAACCCTGTGATCTTGAGTTCAAATCATGGTTCAACCCGATAATTAATTTGTTCAATATTCACTGGAACAGTTGCATCCATTGAGAGCCTGTCTGAACCCTGCTTTCTGATCTTGAGTTTCCAATCAATGGTTTTCAACCCGATAATGTTTGTTTCAATATTCACTGCGGAACAATTGCATCCATTAGAGCGTAATCTGAACCCTGTGATCTTGAGTTCAAATCAATGGTTCAACCCGGATAATGTTTGTTCAATATTCACTGGAACAATTGCATCCATTGGGCATGTCTGAACCCTGTGATCTTGAGTTTCGATCGATCACGGTTCCAGCCAATAATGTTGTAGGTCTGTCAACACCATACCCACCCTACAGTGGGTTTCACGAGAAATAGCTAAAATCTGAGACTTGCAGTTCTTTGGCTTTTCTCCCACATTAAACAGACATGCGGTGATGTAAACCTACCCATGTAGTACTGTTCAAAGTTGCTGCCGGATTAAAGAGCCAAAGTTATTCATTGCTTTAAGCTGTAGTAATCATGGAAAGAAGTAGCATGCCAGCGCACAACCGTTGCATGGATGGGATAGGAAGTCAACCTTGACTGGCACTTTACATCCCTGATCCCTGCTTGGTGAAATAATTGGGACTGTTATATATTCTGAATGAAAGAATGTCTTCAGGGCGTATCAAACAAACTTTGTAAACTTAGAGTCAGGAACCACTGAAATATATATATCTAGACTCATTCTCTTCCCACAGGGTTACCATTGTCATATCTTCCTTCCAGACCTCTGTTCTAATCACGGCCATATTTCCCGTTCTACGTAAAATCCCTAAGCGGCAAAAGATGCAGCACGAATTATCTCCCTCTTTCTATCCAATCAGAACCGTGTTACATCGAGCTTAGATTCAACTTGACCCTCGCACAAGCAAATGTGGGGGCCACAAATATCCCCATCTGCGGGGACTTGTGTTGATGTTACACACAAAGACGTTTTAATGGCTTCAAGCTTTGTCGTTGTCAGCTTGAGGGAGATGGAGACGAGCCATAACATGACTGAGTTCTGTCTAGAAGAAGCGTTTGCGCATTCCCCCAACGGGGAAAGGAAACGTTAGTTTTCGAAGTATCTGAGAATTACGAGACGGGCTTTACTTGAATGATCACTTTTGGAAACAGCGTCGCTGATTGCACAACTAAATCTGATTGCCTCCAAACTCTGCGAGTCTTGAGAGCGCTCTAAAACATTTTAACTGTGATTATACAGTTTACTGCTCAACCAATTGTAGACGAATAAGCCTTAGTCTGTGACATAGCATTAGATTGTGATGTGTTATCATCACAACAACATGTGTACCTATTGAGACTGACATATCCTGAGTAGAATTTAAATTTTAAGTCTACCCCTACAGAGCTGACATATCTATTGCAACTTCGCATCACAGTATCTGAGATGTGATAATGAATGAATCATTCGTGTCACCAGGACAACAGACCGTCCTCGGGAGCTATGAGGTCAGTCACATTTGCTACTGGTGAAGATGGCGATACTGTGAGAGTGTTTGACTGGGGTGATGATGATGATGAAGATGAGGATGGACTGAAAACGCCGACCAGTCCTCAACCAGGCGAGGCAGGTTCCCGTCGTACATCGGTCAAGTCTCCAGAGATACCCAAACTGGTTGAGGGCAAGTCATCATCTCTCATGTCAAAGATGAAGAACATCATGGCACGGCCACCAACCCCAGAGGTATGTTATACACACCTTGTTGCCATGGTTTCCACGATAAAACTGATGAATGAAATGCATGTTTCTGGCAGTTTGCAGGTTGTTTTTGTATAAGTGTCAGGTGTAAGTAGGTGAAAAGGTCACATGTTTACTGTTGTCAAGGGCTATGTTATTTTGACTCACAGATGTTATAAACATTTAAGGTGGTAAGAGTGCGATGTGAAGAAAGTTGCAGTAAATTTGATTATGTGTAATAAAAAGTATAATCACCTCTGAACTGGGAATGATGTATTTTCTGTCCAGTCTAAGTAAACTTAGGCTCAGTTTTATTCGTTACACTGCTATACTGAGTCTAACAAAACGTTGTAGAAGGTCGCGTCAGCAAACCTTTGAGCGACCTATGACCGTCCAATCAAACACGAGACGGCTGAACGGATTTAACCAATCAGACAACGACTACTTGTTAGGGTTCGGCGGGACTTACAAAACTTTTTTTGGATTTTCTCTTCCCTGGTCTGTGACAATGATTTATCAACAAACGAAAATCCGCAGAAAACACAGATATTTGACCTGCAGTATATACGCTTAGGAGTTTCTGATGACATGGTTACTATTAGCTTATATTTCCGCAAGATGACATCCTTGAATATTGACAAAACCGCTATTTTCAGAGACTGTTCACTCATTGCGTGTATCACTCGGAAGCGATTGTGTGGTGAATAGCATTCGGAATCATTCGAGTGTTTGAGGTAAAGGTTCAAACGGTATGCGCGAATGTTAACTTTCACGATTTGGTAAGCTGTGTTCTGATTGGTCAGTCCAAAAGGTTAGCTGATGCGACCTTCTACTAGGTTTTGTTAGACTCAGTATATCAGTGTAACGAATAATACTGAGCCTAAGTTTACTTAGACTGTTTTCTGTCCAACAGGAATTAATGACCTAGACTCCTAGATCTATGATGCTTATGTAGGACATTAGTTCCCTTGAGGAAGATAAACTATAATTCTTCATAGCCATCAGGGGGCGGTGGGGTAACCTAGTGGTTAAAGCGTTCCCTCATCACACAGAAGACCCAGGTTTGATTCCCCACATGGGTACAATGTGTGAAACCCATTTCTGGTGTTCCCCGCCATGATATTGCTGGAATATTGCTAAAAGCGGCGTAAAACCAAACTCACTCACTCACTCTTAGCCCATCAGTTATTTCCATCGTCAGTGAGATTAGAGTACCACACTTGCTGTTTGTCAGCTACAAGCTCACATCAGTATAAGGCTGTTAGGGTTGTTTGAAGGATAAGGAAACAATAATACATCTTTGGTATTGACTTCTGTGGAATTAACTTTAAATAGGTTTATTACATTTGCATTATTTTCATTGGTCATAATCGAACATGACTGAATAAGATAAACTCTTCTGAACTAAGGCTCAAATGTCATCTGACATTTTCCAAATCGAATTCCAATTGAAATTTCCTGTAACAGTAAGCACATGTCTACATTAAATACCTCACACTTTTATTGACATCGGAGTACTTTTTTCAGTGTCAGGTACACTAAGACTTCCTGCTTGTGCCGTGGCATTTTTAGAACCTTTCAACTAGGGCAGAAGACAATTTCCTGTCATGATCACACATGGTACAATGTGTTTTCATATTGCAAACATACTTCAGAAATTGCTCATAGTTTATAATTGTTCTCATATAATTCTAAATACACAAACTGTTACAATATTCCCAGTTGAGTCACACCTGAATTGATCACTGATCCTGATAAAGATTATTTGTGAAGTGTCTAGGTACTTATGAGGGGCGATAAAAAAAGTATATAGAATCACCAAGAAAACGATACAAATGCAGTTATTTTTATGTTTGATTTTTTTACATATTATCTGTCAAGCTCAAGCAATTTGGGTTTGCTATGTTCCAGTCTCATGATCCCCATTTTGTTTGACCTTTTATCTTGGTACCCTCAAAAAATGCAAAATCTATAATAAATGCATCAAAACCTTCAGGAAACAAAATGTGCAAGAAATATTTTGTGTGATTGAGATTGATAGAAGTCCCCTAGAATCACACTTAGATATTAAAGTTCATCAAAAAGCAATTTGAAATTACAATCGCTTGTTAAAGTGACTCCCCCCTTCATGTTGACTGAAAGAGCTTGTTTTGGAGACACTACTCATTCAGATGATGTAATCATAAGGGCATAGCTTATTCTAATGTTTTCACTTATTCATACATGATGCCAAGGGTTCAAACGAAATACTGATTGGTCACACAAGTGTCAGCTCACAATATATTGTAAACAGTACCAGCTTGAATATCTGGACACAATGTTTTTGAAAGATTAAATTGGGGGTGTCCTTAAAAATATAAATCAGGCAATCCAAATCTTTGACTATTGATCATGATGGGAAGTCATCCAATACTATACTGAACATATTTTATATGACATTATCTGAGGGCATACCATTATCCATGAGGTACCAAAAGACAAATCGTTTTTCATATTCTGCAAGTTTGTTAGAAATATTATACCCCAATGTGTTGTGATGACAAATATCTGGTTAACCACATTACCCACACATGTGAAATTTTGGATATCCGTTTGCTAACGATTCCTTCAAAATAGATGGAAGCTTTTCAAACATTGGACATCAAGAATATAGTTAGACTACATACTTTTGATCGACCCTCGTGGCATCATCATTATGCTAAGTTACTTCTGCAAAAACAAACATGAATGTCCGACTGTCAATACTTTCATTGTTTAACTGATGACATCTTGTCTACTGTCTACTTTTGGATATTCCAGAGTGAGTGAGTGAGTGAGTTTAGTCTTACACCACAGCAATATTACAGCTATTCGGCGGCGGTCCTTAAATAATTGAGTCTAGACCAGACAATCGAGTGATCAGCAACATTCAGCAAATAATCATCATCATTATTTTGGGGCAAGTAATTCCCCAATAAACTACTTTTTGAAATAGTGAGTGAGTGAGTTTAGTTTTATGCCGCTTTTAGCAATATTCCAGCAATATCACTGCGGGTGACACCAGAAATGAGTTTCACACATTGTGCCCATGTGGAGAATTGAACCCAGGTCTTCGGCCACTAGGCTACCCCACCACCCTGTTTTTGAAATAAAACAATAAGAATGATTCTACAAATTACTTCCTTTGTTTTTGATAAACTTGGTTGGGCAAAACTTTAGACTTAATATATTTAGAGTGTGGTTATATTCAACCAACATTCTTGTATTTGTTGCTAGGAGGAAGAGGAAGTCTTCACCCCGAAGGTGTTGTCTCAGAAGTCAGCATCACCTTACCAGGACCGGGAGAGTCCGGAGTCCGCTGGTCAGCCAACATCACCTCCACTTCCGACTCCACCCAAGAGAGAACTCAAACCTCTCCAGCCAATCAGGAAGCTGGTGTCGAGGCCCAGAGTGCCGTTACCCTCACCGTCTCCGTCCCCAGAAATCCCCACCCCTACTCCACCACCCCCACCTACACCACTGCCAAACTTCATCAAACAGTTCATCGGTACAGAGTGGTTCGAGAAGTACTTTCCCAACTGTAACGAGAAAGTAAGTATTGGGCTGTTGGGGTCAAGGCCAGTGTTTCAGATATTTAACCAAGGTACCTTTCTGTTTACACCAGTGGACCATAGCATGGTGTTTTCGGGTCAGGACAATTCTCCTTTTTACAGTGACTTTATACCGCTATTTTGAACCTTATGTTATGATTTGGATTTATGTACTGAAGGAAACCATTAGATATCAAGAATCCCTTAAGGGCTATTTTTTTGGGTAGTGAAGACTAAGCTTATAATTTTGAAAGAAAATCTATAAAAGTATTTGTGATTCTTTACTACTTTTGTTTGGTATATGTTCAGCTTATATTGTAAACTGTGATGGTATACATGTTCTGGAGTCCTCCCATGTCTATAAGAATGATTTCAGGCTGGGTAGTAAGGAGGATGGGGTGGGTGCTGCAGACTTGAGTCAATGTCAGTTTAAATCAAGCGTATAGGAATTGTTGTTATATATATAGGAATTGGACCACAAATTGTGTCCATTTTAGCTATGCAGAATTATGTCCCCTTGTCCCTCTGAATTCAACGTGATGTCATGTTCCATGGTGTGTAAAACAAGTTGGTGCTCCCTATTTACCTCCTACCCGTGAAGGTCCGGGTCAGTAACCCATGCTTGTCGCAAGAGCGACTAATGGGATCGGGTGGTCAGGCTTGCTGGCTTGGTTGACACATGTCATCGGTTCCCAATTCTGCAGGTTGATGCTCATGCTGTTGATCACTGGATTGTCTGGTCCAGACTCGATTATTTACAGACCACCGCCATATAGCTGGAATATTGCTGAGTGCAGTGTAAAACTAAACTCACTCACTCACCCTATTTACCTCCAAAATACATATCAATCAGGCATGTTATCTTGAGCATATCGATATGATGAATCTGATGGCTGATTTGATTAAAATGTTGTTGAAAGTGTAACTCTAAACTACTCCTTCAGTCAGACAGATTTACTTCTCACAATGCTACCAGCTTTACCGTAAGGTGCTAAAAGAACAAATCTGATCATTCTGATGTGTATCCAACAGACTATGCCCAAACCATGGACCTCGGATACTCTGGCGAACATGGTTTTGAAGCTGATCCGGATAGCCGAGACCCAGCACAAGACAGCAGTGGTGGAGGCCCTGACCCTTCTGTTCACCCAGGAGAGTCTGACAGGGGCTGTCACGGTGCAGGTCCAGAAGGCCATCTACTCCGCCCTGAACCACCACAGCAAGCCTCCCACCTGTGCTGTGGAGGACGAGAAGGCCTTCATCCTCAGCAGTATCAGGTGTCTGCAGGTTCTGGCAGTCAAGGACATCGACTTTGTGGTGGAGATGATGGTGCAGTTCCTAGATGGAGACCGTGACGCCAGGTAAGTCTAGATGTGAGATGGAGTTGGGTTAGGGTGGATGTTTGTGTGAAGCAGAAAAACACTGCTTGATCGTATACATCTGTATTATTTATAGGCTGCTGTGGGTTCATTTCCATATTGATTTAGCATGGTCAGTTTACAGGATACCCAGCTCTACATTGAAAGCGTAGTGGCTTTACCTCCCAGTTGTGTCAGTGTTACTTGTTGAAATGCATATAAGGTGGCCAGTGAACTCTTGGGCTCCATCCCACAAAGTGATCTAAGTGCCATGATGATCGTAAGTCTTTGTTATAGTATGGGATTTACAATCACCTTAGGCTAAAATCACTTCGTGTGATGGGGTCCTGACTCAGTATCAACAGCAGTGTGACGTCATCATCAATTCCCATTACCCACTGTCCACTGTCCAGTACTTGAGTGAGTGAGTGACTGGTCACGTCTACATGGACTACGTTACAGGTCCAGCATCATGGACACCCTGTTTGGATGTGGTCTGCAGGACCCTCATCGCAACTTCCAGAAGGAGCTGGACTCTTGGGACATCTGGAACCTGGACGACAGTGACCGCAAGATGGAGCTCACCACTTCTGAGAATGTGTCAGCAGTGGCTCAACAGGTGGGTGACCGTTACCACTTGACATAACCAGCAGTGGTGTCTTGTACAATGTATGTTGTAATTCTATTTCTAAGCCCCACAAAGTATTCATTAATCTTTAAGAAAAGAACACATAAAACATATAGAACATGTCAAAACGGGTTGAATTTTTGCTCATGATGTTGATTACTCATTGGTGGATTTTCTGGTCCAGACTCGATTATTTACGGGCAGGCTCCCATTGCTGGAATGTTGATGAATATGAAAAAGATGCAAGCATGCATGCACTCATGCAGATACTGACACACCCATGCACACACTCACAAGCGCTGACACACACTCTTCTCGGGCTGTCACACACACTCACAAGCGCTGACACACACACACTTCTCGGCTGTCACACACTCGCCGCCTGACACACACACTTCGCTGTCACACACACTCACAAGCGCTGACACACACACTTCTCGGGCTGTCACACACACTCACAAGCACTGGCACACTTCTCGGGCTGTCACTCACACTTTCTAGAGCTGCCATGTGAAGGTTTCCCTGTATTCAGGTGGATGACCTCCTACAAGCTTCACATCGAGGATACAATCGACCGGATGAAGAAGGGCCAGAATGTCCATGGGAAAATGACACGGGGTCAGATACAGAAACAGCAGGGGAAACTCGGATCCAGTGCTGTAAGTACATTGTATTGTATTTTACCACCACCAGCAATATATCCCTTTGTACCACATACCTATGTTTCACTCATGGTTTAGTGTGTCCACCCTCCACAGAGTTATATCCCTTCCATGTACCACATACCTATGTATATCACTCAATGGTTTTATGTGTCCACCCTCCACAGAGTTATATCCCTTCCATGTACCACATACCTATGTATATCACTCATGGTTTAGTGTGTCCACCCTCTACAGAGAAATTAGGAGATAAACATCATGTGTTGGGCAATTCCAGGTGTTATCGAGTATTTGAAGCACAGGATTTCATTTGGAACCGACAGCATTAGCCGTGCTTCAAATACTCAATAATACCCAAAAATTGGCCAACACATGATGTTTATCGACATTGAAAACACAAAAGTAAACCAAAAGGCCCACATGGGTTTTACTATCTGCACTCATTGACATCGAGTACGGGTACAGCAGTGAAGTGTCATCATTTCGGCTGTCTCCCATGGTAGCATCTGGAACTGCTCATTTGTGACATCATTCCAACTTTACGTCACAATATGATTTGAATTACGTCACCACTGATGATGACGCAACAATACAATTGTATGCGATATTTGTATGTGTCAATATGCAGTGATAGTCTTGCAATTTATGGGAATCAAATACCATTCGATCATGTTTTTCAACCAATCAGATTAAAGAACACGATGACTTTTGGTTTACAATATCCCTTCAATGAACCACAATTATGTTTCCACAATTGCTTATTTCCATCCTACAACAGGTATATAGGTGATGGACATGTATTAAACAATTCAGTCACCAAGGTCAGTGTACCGACTACTAATACCATCATATCTATCATTTTCTGGAGAAGTTACCATTTACAGTTTACGTCATGTATGCGTTTGTGTTGCAAGTGGATGCAGCTATGATGTTACACCGGTATATATTGACAGGGTGGCGATGTATCGGATGACCAGACCACGCTCACGACACTTCCAGACGGGGTACAGTTTGTGCCCACAGCATCACGCAGTATGACAAGTAAGTTGAGTGTTAGATTGACTGATTTGTTGTTTAACGCTGCACCCAGCAATATTCCAGCTGTATGGCGGAGAGTGTTAGATGATAGGAGCCAAATGATACACTATCACTACAAATGATGTGATGATTATCATACATCAGTGAGTATGTGTATTTGACTCAGAGTTTATCAAGTAATCTCAGTGTCATATTTTCAAGGCCAATGTTTGACACAACAAATCTTGAAGAGTCGGTACTGAACCTTATAGAAAGTTAACATTAGCTGTGAATGTCGGTACAGATTTTAAGGTGATTTTCATCAAAAGGTTGAACAGGATACTCTGATTTGTCTTCAAGGTTAAAATGTGAACATTTTAAAAGTTTGCATATTTTTGGTGATCATGATATTGTTGACTGAACATTTGGGACTCAAAATATGGCTCGCATGCATGACTCTCAAAATTATGCTCATGATATGCTCTGAGTCAAGAAATTACATTACAGGCCACATAAAACCCATTTATATTCATGATAGAATAAATTTCATATATTTGGTTTCTTTTTCTATTTATGTGTGAAGCCCATTTCTGCTGTCCCCCTGCCGTGATATTTCTGGAATATTGCTAAAAGTGGCATAAAACTAAAACTCACTCATTCACCTTTTCTATTTAACCTGGATGGTGCCTATGTGAGATTGATATTGTTTGTGAATTGTCAAACTCTAAAATATATTCTTGTATGTAAATTTAAGATTTACTTTAAATATATTTTTGAAAGTAGTACGTAGGTATGTATTTCATAACTCATGTTTGGTGACTACATCAGGATCTGCACAACGAGCTATGTTTCTTTATGTGAGTGTCCTTGCTCCATTATTGTCCTGGCTTAATGTGTTTCCCCTATTGGGACAGTGGGTTTGGACAGCAATCGGCCACCACCAGCCTTTGCTGGTTGTAAGACGTGAACACATGAATTGGGTGGTCAGCCTCAGTGTCACTGGATTGTCTGGTCAAGACAGGCCGCCGCTGTATAGCTGGATCATTGCTGAGTGTGACAACAACAAGTAAACAAAGTGTATGTTTCAGTAACCTATGACAAGATGCCAGACCAGGCCGTGGTGGAGGCAGTCACGTTACCTCGACGCTGTCGGCTACTTCTGTGAGATGATGGTGGAGAAGGAGATCGAGGCGCTGAAGAAAGGAAGGTCTCGCCCACAAGGTCCCCAGCAAGATAAACCTGGGCCTCCCAAAAACACAGTGCTGGTACTGCCAAAACTACCACAGTAAGTCTCATGATGACAATCCGTGTTTATTCACATGAAATCTTTCATTCATGCTGAATGAGTCTTTGGTTTATTCTCAGCAAACCCGTTATTCATCTTCTTGAGCTTCTTTGTTCATGAGGGGCGGTGGGGTAGCATAGTGGTTAAAGTGTTGGCTCGTCACACCAGAGACCGGGTTCGATTCCCCACATGGGTACAATGTGTGAAGCCCATTTCTGGTGTCCCCTGCCGTGATATTGCTGGAATATTGCTAAAAGTGGCGTAAAACCATACACACTCACTCTTTGTTCATTAGCATGCAGTCCTCGGTTATACTGAGGACTAATTTGGACAGTTAGAGGAAACCTGAGTTTGTCCTCATTAGACATTGATTCATCACGACAGAGTCCTCTGTCCTGTTTTCATCATCAAGTGTCTCTAAGTGATCGTATTAGGAGTTCCTAGTTTCTGTTGAGTCATAATCAGTGTGTCCTTATACTATCAATAGTCTGTGGTCCAGTAGAAATTTGGTCATCCTCACTAGTCCTTGGTTCATCCTCAGGAGTCTCTAGTTCATTATGGGGGCGGTGGGGTAGCCTAGTGGTTAAAGCGTTTGCTTGTCACGCCGAAGACCCGGGTTCGATTCCCCACATGGGTAAAATGTGTGAAGCCCACATCTGGTGTCCCACGCGGCGTAAAACCATACTCACTCACTCACTGGTTCATTATGAAGTGGTCCCATGTTCTTCTTACTCAGCAAGTCCATAGGTTGTCCTCCGGAGACTTTATTGCATTATCAGGGGTCAGGGGTCACTTTCAGAAGTTTTCCAAACTTAGATCATTAACACTGTGCAATAGAGATAATGACACAAAGGCTAAAGTGTGGTATACACCACATTATCGCTCAGGATAGAGATGTGTTTCCCTGGCAGTGTCTATACCAGGGAGAGTCATAAATTTGATCATGTTAAAATAGCACCTTCCACACATAGCTACAGGTGATGATAAATGAATGTTTCTGACAGTCCTACATGTGCTCTGCCCACAGTAAAGCAGCGCTGGTCCGCCTCGGGGAGACACACACCAGTGTGTGTAGGAGGAGCAGAGATAAACCCCTCACCATTGGTATGTGGCCCACATTTACATTCTACTTTACTTATATACCAAACTGCCTACATCTTTCTGTCTGGATGTCTGTCTGTCTGTCTGTCAGTCTGGATGTCTGTCTGTCTGGATGTCTGTCTGTCTGTCAGTCTGTCAGTCTGTCTGTCTGTCTGTCAGTCTGGATGTATGTATGTGGCTTTGTATGTGATTGTGGCTGGCTGGCTGGCTGGATGGATGGATGGATGGACCAATGGATATATGAATGGACGGATGTTGTAGATGCATAGACATTAATAACTGTCAAACATTCCATGGATTCTTCCATTTCAATACATATCACAAAACTTGAATCACATTAATGGCACCATTTTGCTTGAATGTCTCTTGTTATGTGAAGTACCAGGGTATCTTTGTGGTAATATGTTTGGAGTATTGATTCAAGCAGCACAGAACAGTCATATCTTTTGTGTTATGGATTAATAATTTTTGCATTTCTGTTTTCATCAACTGAAAATCTTGATCAAGCCATCCAGCAGAAGACTGTTTTCTGTGTGTGTGAAGTTTTTACTGCTGGCTTATTTATTTATGAGAATTGACCTCAACATATTTGAACGTGAAAAATGGTGTGCACACTTTCCGTAAATACACACCAGTTATGAGGGGTTATACCTCCATAAACACGAAAAAGGTTTGAAGTTATTTCTTAAACATGAATAATTTAACCACCTGCTTATAGTGACACATCATTAACTGTGCATGACCTGAAACAACTTGCTATGCACAATCTTCAGATTTCCACTGCCCCCCTCTTGGTGGCCGCAGTCGACCACTGGTGACAGGGGAGATAACTACGTTTGTGCCGAGTATCAACCTGCCAATGAAGACCTTGTACATGAACCCATTCCCAAACAGACTGGACGAGTTCGATGCCCGCTTCCAGGAACCAGTGCTCATCACCCTCAAGTCCTCCCAGAAATTCTTTGTTCCAACTCAGTCATACATTCCAATGGAACAAGTAGTGGCTCCGAGTAGCTGAATTGGTGTAGAACTCGCCAGAGTCCAAAGACAATAACAGAAAGATATAATTCACACATTTTGTACTTCAGGTACTTGAAGTCAAATATTTTATACATAGAAATTAATATTCATATTTGAAGATGTCAATGGCATTAAGGTGAAATTATTAGGAAACTGCTGATAATGAAATCCTCAGGAAATACACATATTTGAGAATATTCCCAAATTGCATGGTCTAGTCCATGCATATTGTCAATGTGTAACTAAAACTGATATAGAGATTGGAACCAGGAGCATACGTTTCTTGTCAAAACATTCACTCAGCTGTGCAGTGGGACTTTTAAACCATGGTATTGTTATAAATCATCTCAAATATGTTAACTATCTTCATATCAGGAACACGTTTTAAGTCGTTTTTATATAAAACTAACTTGTATGTAGGAGTAGAATTAACTTTATTACTTGAAATTCTTGCTGGATGACACCAAAACTGGCTCTATACAGATATGTCCACAGTGGTCATTGTTAAGTTAAAACACATTGTTTGGTTCATTCATAAACCATTTTAATTGGGGGACCACCTTGTCAAAATCTATGTGATTAAGGTTAAGAGAAAACATTCAGGAATTGTATACCTGCTCGAAAGTCTAATTTTTAAATCAAGTAACATTTATTTCCTTTTAATTACAATGTCTACAAATACTGTGTTTATCATAATTACAGATAGCTGAAATCGTATAAGCGAATTGTTTGGGGTGATTTGATTCAGGTAGCTTTTGATCTGAATTTTTGTAAATATAAATTGTACATATTTATGGGTAGTATGGAAAGCATCTTGATAGACTGATAATTAGTTTTATGTTTAAACACCATATGCATTGTCATGTACAACGTATAAGTGTAGTAGAACCTTGTTAGAGGGACCATGGATAGTAGACTGGAACAAGCAATATCAAACACCAGTTCTAGGAAGCATTTGACCACCTCAAAGTGATTCCTTAACTGTACCATGATAAACTGGATTGGCACATTTCTGGACAAAGGAATTCTTCTCGATTGTATATATATTAATTCTTTTCTATTGTATATATTTACAACGGAAAAGATGTCATAGAATACCTGATTCCTTCATGCTACTATATTTGATCTGTCATAACATTAGAGATTATCAAAAATATTAAAGAATTATGTGTTTTCTAACTTCTTTTGGGAAGTATATGCAGACACTTCTGATAGAATCACCTCGAAATGGGTTCCAGAGTAATGAGAATTGACTGTATGAAGAAGTTTTCTCTGAACATGTGTTTATTACATCATTAATAATGTTTTGGGAATCCGTTTTGGCAGATTACCAGGTCTGGGAAACTATCTGCCATTGACATTTTATGTTTCCTGAAATAAGAGTTTTATATCTACGTGAGGTGTCAAGGTTATGCCAAATATTTTTATAATTCTGTATATTTCTTCACTATTCAAAGATTACCAAAATATATCACAGTTGCATATTCCATCTCGTCATATATACTTCTGATACGTTCAATGTAAAGGTCCTATTGTGTAAGCTGCCATGAACTTACTATTGATATTCATGTAAAGGTTTCCTCATCATGACCTTGTAATCATCATCATATTCATGCCAGATGCTGAGATGTGACATACTGTGTATACTCCTTACAGCTGTCAGCTTGTAGTATTCTGTTTTGGGTCATGTTAAGGTTAAGGAAGTAATTTTTTCTGTAAATATTTTTATAAGTGGAACTGATGTCCCCAAAATGAACCAAATTACAACAATGTTGTAATGTTTGGTGTGTTTGTGTATATAGATATATTTTGTTATCAGGCCGTCCACCTATGTTATCATACTGCTAATTACTGACTGTGATAATGTCAACTGCTTATATCGGAGTGTGATTAAATGTTCTTTACCTTATATATTGTTGTGTTTGCTCTCAAGATGGTTTTTTGTGAGTATTCCATTGGCTACATTAACAGGTATTTAGGATACACAAAAGATACCAGTGAAGGTTGACCCCTGATTCTTAAACTATACCTTGGTCATAACCAGAGCTTGAAACACTTGCTTGTCCATTATGACAGTCATATCAGAGTGAGTGAATATGGTATTATGGCACTTTTAGCAATATTTTAGCAATATCACGGCAGGGGACACCAGAAATGGGTTTCACACATCGTGCCGTGTGGGGAATCCAACCAAGTGGACAGGCTAGCGTTTATGACAACACGTACACTATGCTTGATTGTGGCACTATGCTTGATTGTCAGTAACCTACACTATGCTTGATTGTGGCCTGCAGGGGAAAATATTCGCAAAACACCAGATGTGAACTTTCTTTGTACGTCAGTTTATGACACAGATACAATCCCAGACCGTCAGTAACCTACACTGGCGTCAGCTATAATGTGATAATTGCACACGGTCATACTCAAACATGTATTAAATGTCTACCATGACTACGGTATCAGACGACGACTCACATTTCTTTGTTTTTCTTGTGTATTGAGAGTCCCGGGAACGCTAAATTCAGTGTTCACTGTAGCTTGACAGTTCCTGCGAAACCGACACCTAAATCCAGGAGGTTTTGTCCAGATTTCGCTTTCCCGGGCCATAACCAATGACTACACGGTTCTGATGAAATGGTGACCAATCGGCGGCATCCGCTATGAACACATGCCAAGGCAAATCAATTGTTCACCAGCAGAACACAAGAACACACATGACACATGTCAAACTTGGGAATTGTATGGGACTGCGTTGTTTTAATTCAATCCTTTACTAAAAAATCAGAAATGGTGTTTCCTCATTGGCCAGCTACGGTCACGTGGTCATTATCTTCGCCGGTAACTTTAACATTATACCGTGTTCCTAAGTTGAGTAAATTCTTCTCAGCCTATTTCAGTCTGAGTAAGATATATTTAATCCAAACGTTCATCGACACAATTATTCTTTGTGTATCTACCCGTGAAGACCCGGGTTAGAATTGGTCTACAGTAACCCATGCTTGTCGTAAGAGGCGACTAACAGGATCGGGTGGTCAGGCTCGCTGATTTGGTTGGCACGTGTCATCATCGGTTCCCAACTGCGCAGGTCGATGCTCATGCTGTTGATCACTGGATTGTCTGGTCCAGGCTCGATTATTTACATACCGCCGTCATATAGCTGGAATACTGCCGACTGCGGCTTAAAACTAAACTCACTCACTCTTTGTGTACCCATTAGGACTGCTGGGCTTTTTCACTGCATATACTAAGACGTGAGTTAATCTTATTCAGGCTTTATCTTCATGATTTAAAATTGACAACAAACTACCTGTGTGTCTTGGTTCGAAAACAGTTTGTAAGTCATTATAATCCCTGGTTTGTCAACAAATCTATCTATTGTTTTACCAATGGTAAATTTGGTTTTCTCCAGAAGTAACCCGACGTACACTACATGATGAAACACAAATGCTGCTGAAGGTGGACTAAAACCCAATCACTCACTCATACGTTGAGCCTGTGTTGTAGTTGTAATTGAACAAGAAGATTAACCTCAATATAGCATGATTGTCGATTTGACATGTCAGTATAGGTGTACAGGCATAAGTACTATACCACCAAACATGGATGACAACATTGGAGTTGTAATCGTTGTAGTGTACGCAATAAGTTGTCTAAAAACTGAAGGATTGAAGAGAAGTCATTGTTGCACAAATAATATGTACACACAGTTTCTGAGTACTAAAGTAAATAGCTGAATGTACATATTTAGTATTAAGTAGGATTTCAATTAGAGCAATGGTAAATTGATTTCGTTTTCGGCTTTACTAGATCACATGTATTTTTTTAATAGTATAAGTCAGTTGACATGAACATGAAGTATTACATGGCATGTTTCAAAATCAAGGCACAAAAAACAAAATGGGATTCAAAAATCAATCTCTGCCATTATACCACCCATACATTAGAAATCCGGAAACGGAAAATCAACTGCTGGAATAATGTATTACAATCAGTCTAGAACCATCAGGTACATGTATATTTTCAAATAACACTATCTAAAGGCATCCACCGTTCTTAGGGTTGAAGAAATCAATTAACATGCGCTCTTCGGTATGCGTATAAACATTGAATCAAGGTTATGTCAAGGAATATTGCAAAAGCGGCGTAAAACTGAATTCACTCACTCACTCAATAGCAGCTCATTAGACATTGGTTCCACGTGGCAGGTTTGTGGGTCTGTTGTATTGTTACATTACCGTCTCCGTCTTGACGACCACAAGCTTAAAGAAAATGACTCACCCAAATTCACATCACTTTCCATGTCTAGTTGAGGCAGGATGTTTCGCTTCAGTTCTTTTGTAATGTCAATACATTAACAACAGCATATTACTACAAAACTCAGGATGGTCCCATCTTCTATTGATGACCATGGCCCTTTCACACCTCTTACCCTCCAGCGATTGGCAAACTTCCTTGTTGGAAGTGCAAATACATCTTTTCAAATATGGTTTACTTTACATAGGTCTACTCCGAGAAAACATCAGGGAAAGGGATGTCTATACTCCATGACATGCACCCAGTGGTAGCTGCTTTCTGGTGGATGGATGCAAACGGGATGTACCTGACACTTTTAATAAAATATACATACACACATACACACATACACACCACATATACATGCATGCACGCACGTGCACGCGCGCGCGCGCACGCACGCACGCACACACACACACACACACACACACACATTTCAGAAAGGATTTCGAGACATGAATCAGGGAAATGCTTCAAGAGCTGATAGTGAATGTTATCAGCTCCTGTTGCTGTACCATGAACTTGCTCAAGGGCAGTATGGAGCTCATGTAACGAAAATAATTCGTTATAATCGCCATTACCCGATTTATAATGTATTCTTTTCTTCTCCTGTTGTTTCTGATACTTGTTAAACTCAGGGACATAATTTGACGACGGCGAATGCTTGGCGTGGGTTTCACTAAGTTGATTCGCACTGTCAGCTTTATCAGTTAGAAAATTGTCACTGTCTTTAAAATGGTGAACAGTAGATTTAGAAACTTTGCCTTTTATTCTTTGAACCATGTTCCACACCTTTGAAATCGGTGCACGGGAATTTGATTTGGAAACATAGTTCCTTTAAGTTATGGACTGTGGGATGTCGGCGAAAATATTTTTCAGCTTTCTTCCTACTCTCTCTGGCCTGTTTACAGAAAATCATGGTTTATGAATATGTGGAATTGCAGAGGATGTAGGGTCTAGTTTGGTCAGCAATGTCATTGAGTATATCTGAAAACAACTGTATAGGATCTTCGCTTTCTGCTAAAACATAATGTTTTAAGTGTGCAGTACATAGTATCTTATATTATGACCAATCAGCCCTGGCGAAGCTGCTCCTTGATAAAGGTGGATCATCAACAGGATTGATTGTTTTGAGAATGGTGGGGAAGTGGTCACTCCCACATAGGTCATCATGGACCATCCATTCACATTCATTATACAAGATGGAGTCGGCGAGTGACAGATAAAGGGAAGTATGTTCTCGTAGCTGGATGTAAATAAGTGGCTGAAAATACATAAAGTATTATGGGAAAAGAATTCATCAAAAATCTTGCCTTTAGTATTAGTATGACCACTTCCACAAAGCGGGTTGTGACCGTTCAGTTCGCCCATGATGAGGCATTGCTTCGGAAGCTGATCACACTGAGTCTTAAGATTCGACTGTTGAATATCAGAAGAGGGAGGGATATATAAGCTGCATAGTGTCAATGCAATGTGCAGGGTGGTACAGTTTGAATATTTGTATTAATATGGACAGGGCTATGTATTATACCCTGCCGTACCAAAATGGAAGCACCTCATGTCACTTTATCTCCTGGGGGAGAAAATGAGTGATATTCACTGTACTGTCTCAAACTAAAGTTATCAGTATTTTTCAGTCTCTTGAAGACATAATGCTGACGGTTTAAGATCTTGTATTAAAAGTTATTTTTCAGTCCTCTGCAATTCCATTGCATTAAAATAGACAACTGAGTCGTGTAGTCTCAATTGGTGATCTCTCTCGTGAATGTGTGGAGGAACTATTCCTCCGCCTGTCCTGTGAGGACGCAGAGACCTCCATATCTGGAGGTGGGGTTCTTTAAACCACGTCGGGGCTTCTCTAGTGGAACCTCTGAAGGGGCAGGAGGGCGAAGGGACGCTAGCTGAACAGTGTCAGGCTGTTGGTTGGACGTCTGTGATGGTGTCTCCGGCTGATGGTCAGTCTGAGATCGAGATGTAGACTGTGCGACACGGGATTCCTATGGTACGACTGAAGCTGAAGTAATGGGTTTGTCTGACTTGACCCATGTCGAGTCAGTCTGGCATGTAACGGAGGATGTTGTCACGGAGCGGATGACTGCAGCTGAGTAAATATTTAGTGGAGTTGATGTTTCATTGGCAAATAGCCTTTTGGCTTCAAAGTAAGATATATTCTTTTCACACTTTAGTTTCAATATGTTTGATTCCTTTTGCCACACAGGGCAGCATTTGTGGGACCGAGACAATGAGCACATATACATTCTTTGTCGCAGTCCGTGTTCTTGTGGCTCTCACCACAACGATGGCATACCGCAGAGCCACAGCAAGAGTTTGACCCATGTCATTTATAACGTCGCAGTGGACTGGGGATATACACGTTCACCCCGATGTTAAAATACCCTGCCCTGATTGATGCTGGTATGGATGTACGGTCAAACGTTAACAAATAGTATTTGTTTTTACAATGGTACCCTACCTTTTAACGGTGAAACGTTTCACAGCAGTAACACCCTGATCGTGAAGCTCTGCAGCAATATCGTCTGCCGACATGTCGGACAGACAGCGAGCTATGTCACGGATAATGCCACGACAGGAATTTAAACTTCTGTGCACGGACATTGGCAAATGTTTTGATGGATAACAGACATTGCTGTCTTCGTGTACATTCACCCGAAGTGAACCGCTACGGAGACGGGTGGCCTTTTTACTTCCCCACAAATCCCATATACTGCCTTGGAAAGAGCAACAGGGTTTAATTTGATAGGAAGAAAATAAACAACCTCAACTTCCAGGAAACGAGCCCAGGAATCAGCATTGGAATAAAAAAGTTCTGGAAGATCCATCAACATTTTCTATGCGCCTCTTCTTGTCATTTCTAGATGAACCAGGTGATTGGGGATTTATAATGTAAGACAAAATGGTTAAGTATCCCTGCTGCATCGGGTCTCCAGAATGCAAACACCAGGGATACAGGGATGTTATACTCAAGCAAAATTAACTTGAATAGCTGTATTTGTTTACTAAATTTATTGTCAGGCTGGTCCTGCCCATAACAACAATTAAGAAACATACAGTATTCAACGGTCAGCATCACTAGATTGGTCAATGAGCCACCGCCTTCTGGCTTAGGACTCAAGGCAATGTATTTGAATTATTTAATTAAATCATTCATTCAAAAAGGTCTAAATTGCACAATAATTTTCACACTAGTATCAAGAGAGTGCAACAATATTTACCGTGAACAGAAATGGCATGACCAGCCGATTGATAGAACCGGCCAATTCTACCACCCGTCTAGGTGAAGTCAGGGTCGAAGTGGTGTGTTGGACAAATGGAACACGGTTCCAGGTTCCTTTGCCCCAACCACCAGAATCCCTTCCTCCACCGACACACGGGCACAACCCACGGCAGACAGGTTGACCAATGTGGTCCCCTCTTAAGACCAGCAATGGGATGATGTGGACACATTCTACCCCGGGTTCACACGAGTGACCTGACCAAATGTCATCTCGACCAGCGTCAGTTACATCTCTATCATGGCACATCAGCTCTAGGACCAACGCAGCTACACTTCTATCATGGCACATCATCTCTAGGACCAGCGTCAGCTACACGTCTGTCATGGCACATCATCTCTAGGACCTGCGTCAGATACATGGGCACATCATCTCTAGGACCCGCGTCAGCTACATCTCTATCATGGCACAACATCTCTAGGACCAGCGTCAGCTACACGTCTGTCATCATGGCACATCATCTCTAGGACCTGCGTCAGCTACATCTCTATCATGGCACATCATCTGTAGGACCAGCGTCAGCTACATCTCTATCATGGCACATCATCTCTAGGACCAGCGCAGCTACATCTCTATCATGGCACAACATCTCTAGGACCAGCGTCAGCTACATCTCTATCATGGCACATCATCTCTAGGACCAGCGCAGCTACATCTCTATCATGGCACAACATTTCTAGGACAAGCGTCAGCTACATCTCTATCATGGCACATCATCTGTAGGACCAGCGTCAGCTACATCTCTAGGACCAGGTACTTCCGGAAATTTATTGATTTAACTCTGACACTAGAGGCTCCCACTCAGGTGGTAAATCACCTAGCTAAACATCTAAGGTACTAGTAACTAATATTTTTGAACTGTGTACATTAGGGTAGCATAGTCAGCAATACTGCCAAACATTACAAAGTCAAATCTCTTATCAGTAGCATAACCTTATACATTTCTTGAGGAGCAACAGTGGCAACACACTCATCGGGTACATTGTCGTTTCTTCCGGGATACTTAATAATAATAATAATAATAATAATAATAATAAAAATGTGAACTTATAATGCGCCTTTTCCATGCACAAGGCCCATGCTCAAAGCGCTAACAAAGTGAGTGGATAATATACATATATACAATAAGGGACTAGTTGCTAGTCATAATGCAGTGAAAACAGATGAGTCTTGAGAAGTCGTTTGAAGGAATAAAAGTCAACTGCTGATTTAATGGTGATAGGAGAGAGTTCCAGAGTAGAGGGGCAGAGCAGACAAAGGATTTCCTTCCAAAAGTTTGCAGTTTGAACCGAGGCACAGAGAGTAGGTTCAGATTCTGAGAACGGAGCTGTCTTTCTGGAGTGTACGGGGTAAGAAGTTCTTCAAGTATTCTGGGCCTATGCCATTGAGGCATTTGTAGACAAAACACAATATTTTAAAGTCAATTCTTGATTTAACAGGCAGCCAGTGGAGGTTTTCATGACAGGTGTTATGTGTGAGCGCTTTGAAGTTCTGCTTTCTGATTATTTTGACATGACAAAGTTGTATCTTCTTATGATATCCTGTTGTTAGCACAACAAGGCTCGTATCACTGACGTTGTTATCAATAACATATGGCCCATGGTACCTTGCACGTAATAGTTGACCAGGGAGGGTAAAATGGCCAATGGTACCTTGCACGTAATAGTTGACCAGGGATTGGCAAAATGCTAACACTTTATTGCCAGGACGAATATTTTACTCTGAAGACTTCTTGTCATAATGTACTGCAATATTACCTTGGAATTCTTGCATATAATTTTCGCTTTAGCTTTAATGGTTCACGAACAGATTGGACTGAAACCTGAGGACTCCTGAACGCATAGCAAACAGCAACAGATGAGCATTCATTCTTATCCTTCTCAGTCTCAAGAACGTAAGTCCTTTCTACAGCTAGACTTAACCTGGGTTATGCCTACTGGAAGCTCAGCAAGCTCAAATACATCCGAGATAAAATTGAAGCCATGGTCTGTCTGAAAGGTCTTAGGAAATCCAAACATAGTGTACCAGTGTACCACCAAACATTTGACAATGATCGGAGTTTAAATTTTCTGAAAGGAATAGCCTCTAGAAACCTTGTGGAATGACATATAATAGTAAGACTGTACTGATTGCCTAGTAAAGCACCAACAGAATTAGTGATGCTCCTGCTGAGAGGTGTTTCTGTTGCAGATATTCTATTATTAGAGTCCCGTTCAAAAGAGTTGAAATAAAAACATGAAATAATAAACGAAATATTAATAATTACGTAAAGGGCTCTTCAAAAGCTGGAATAGGTCCCATTGGGTTTCCGATGTGACGCACATGTCCCCTGAGGAAATTTTGTCACAGGTTTTGTTCACATCCAAAGGGCCTGCCAAAGGAGTTTCATGTGTCATGCCAGATCACACAACTATAACCCTAAGAAAAATAGCGATGGCGGAACAAGGTCGGATCACACAATCCTAGCTGCTAAGAAACACAGGCAGGGAGGGCGGAACCACGTCGGATCACACAATCCTAGCTGCTAAGAAACACAGGCAGGGCAGGCGGAACCAGGGCTCGGATCACACAATCCTAGCTGCTAAGAAACACAGGCAGGAGGGCGGAACAGGGTCGGATCACACAATCCTAGCTGCTAAGAAACACACAGGCAGGAGGGCGGAACAGGGTCGGATCACACAATCCTAGCTGCTAAGAAACACAGGCAGGGAGGGGCGGAACAGGGTCGGATCACACAATCCCTAGCTGCTAAGAAACACAGGCAGGGAGGGCGGGAACGTCGGATCACACAATCCCTAGCTGCTAAGAAACACAGGCAGGGGAGGGCGGAACAGGGTCGGATCACACAATCCTAGCTGCTAAGTAACACAGGCAGGGAGGGGGCGGAACAGGGTCAGGATCACACAATCCTAGCTGCTAAGTTACAGGGCAAGGGGCACACAACTTCGGATCACACAATCCCTGGCAGGGCAGGGAGGGAACAAGGTCGGATCACACAATCCTAGCTGCTGCTAAGAAAAACACAGGCAGGGAGGGCGGAACAAGGTCGGATCACACAATCCTAGCTGCTAAGAAACACAGGCAGGGGAGGGCGGAACAGGGTCAGGATCACACAATCCTAGCTGCTAAAAGTAACACAGGCAGGGGAGGGCGCAACAGGGTCGGATCACACAATCCCAGCTGCTAAGAAACACAGGCAGGAGGGCGGAACAGGGTTGGATCACACAATCCTAGCTGCTAAGAAACACAGGAAGGGTAGAACCAAGACAGATCCGCAATCCTAACTGCCAGGAAAAAGCCAGAATTGCCCAATCATGTCATACGAATTTGACTATAGATGTTTCAGAAGTTGAAAGTGTACTACCATACCCGCATGCGAGCGGCCGAATATAACAGTTGGATGATCTAAACAATCACATATCTTCAATTAGGTACAAGATGTAATGCCCTGGCAACCCCATGAAAACAATGCTTCAGATGTCTGGGCGCATCACTAAGACAATATTTCCATACAACAGGAAAAGTGATCACAACAAAAATAATGTTCTGTTTTATCTGTCATAATTACCAAGACAACTGGATATTGATATATATTTTGTCTCTGCTGGTGTTGGTTGGCTCAACCATAAACTAGCACTGCCTGTTTCACTTTCGAACAGAAGTTGTTAGATATATTCTGTATGCAGGGTGTTGGTGCTACTAGGTGGAAGGAGGGAGTAAATGGTCTTGGAGCGTCACTCTTCATCTGTGTATGTTGCCGTCCCGATTGTACTTGAGTCTCTGTAGTCATGTTTCCCGAAACAAATAAGAAGGCAATGTTTCATAATGTTATTTTATTCGACATTCCTTGACATTTAGTGACCTGTAAGTTTGGCAGCTACATTCTTGATCTGGGTGAAGAGAGATCCGAGTTGAGCCTGGAATGGCTGGAAGAACTTGACGGCCTCAGCAGCGACCTGTGCAGTGGCCTGTCCAGCGCGGGACAGGAACTGGACAGACACCGGGTGTTACATACGTATCACAGTGTGCAGTTACATTAGACCAAGCACCTCGTCATGCCTTTTTTAAGATATGTCAAAAGATAGTAATTAACATTTACATGACAATCACAATATTTGTATGCTGTAAAATTAAGATATGATGTTGTATATGACATTGACATTCAGGTTTCTGACTAATTGTCAGAGAAATTCTTTAATTAATTCCATTCCAGATTCCATTTTCGCAAAACAAGGATTTTATGGTAGGTTATTGACCCTGGTTACCTTATTGCCGGGGTGTGGCCTAACGAAAAGTGGAACTTGGAGGATGTTAACACTTATTAATAATGTTTTATTTACGTACAAGATGTAATGGCCTGGAAACCCCCTGAATATAACGCTTCCAGGACACCCACTGTCTGAACCATTCAGTACAACATGGTATCCAGTAAGGAACGGATTGTGAGTGAGACAGTGAACACAGTACTTCAGAGGAATGACTGAATACAATGTTTCTATACAACGTTCTGTCTGGCCCTGATTACAAAGATTGTACAGAACTTACTGTCTTGGAAAGAGCCTTTAGGTTACCCAATTCAGAGCTCAGAGATTGCGCTGCAGCTGACTCAATGTTTCTGAGGAATGTTGTACTAAGAACGTCACCCAGAGTGTCCTTCAATCCGTTGATAATATCGCCGAGAAGGTAACGACGGCTGTGCTTGGAGAAGAGCTGAAAACATACAGAACTGTCATGAATATCCCCAATGCGATGTCAATATTGAAGCTGGAAGCTGCATCTCATGTGTAACTATGTTCACTATCATGAAACGTAAAACCCAATGAGAGTGATTTAGATTAAACACTGCTTCATGTGTAAATATATGAATAAATATAACGTCATTGAGTGGAATCCTACTAAGGCTTCATTGGAATCCATTATGATATTAACCTTTGCAACAGCGTTGGGGACAATATTCTTGATCAGCGCATCAATATCAACGTCAAATGTGCCTTTGTCTGAAACAATGAAGAAAACAGAGTTGTCGGGTATGGTCTTAGCTACAGTGTGACAAGAGAATGTTCACATCTTGTCATGTTCTCTGTAAAGGATATATATCCCAGTGGGGTTATACATGTGAATGCAACATACGTTAGTATCGCACTATTCAAACACTGACACATGTATGGAACATAATCTAGTTATAAGTTCGTATTCACATGTACTAAAGTAAGAGTCGTGTCTGCCTATGCACGCACCCATCATTGACTTGACATCCGCCTCCAGGGTAGACAGCACCATCTGGGCGAGGGCTTTGATATCCTGGCCACTGATCAGACCCTGGGCAGCTGTCTTCAAATTGCTCTCAAGGTTCGTGGCGATCTTAACGCGGAAACATGAGACCGTTTGTGACTTAATTGCATTTATAGAAACGTTGATGTGTATATTTTCCAAAGTCCATGTGACCTTTTCACAAATTCAACTGCATCTGATACTAAGATTTCTATACCGTGATATCCGTCACACTGATAAACTTAGCCGGTTGGAAAACTTGAGTTTTGAATATGAACAAATGGCCCATCCTCGAGTATTGTCTGGTGAAAAGTGACAGACGTTTTGATGTTTCCATATGTAGGGATATGTACATCAGTGGCTGTAGGATTTACAACTGATCTAAACTGAATATAAGCCAAGGAATGGGACAACTTTTAAACAGGAATTAAATGACATTCTGTGCAATGTCTTCATTGATGGACCACGTTGTCTTCATTAAAGAACCATGTTTGATTGTACAAGTGTTTATGGAATGAATATTCAGGACCTGCTGGAATATTTCGCACCATAAAGAAAAAGTTGACTCCTGGAAAGTTGAAGCCATGACTCCTGTCAAACAGTCCTGTTGTGACGTCACGTGACATTCTCTCAGGACCCACGTGTTAATGTTGCTACTCACACAGTCCTGTTGTGACGTCACGTGACATTCTCTCAGGACCCTAGTGTTAATGTTGCTACTCACACAGTCCTGTTGTGACGTCACGTGACATTCTCTCAGGACCAACGTGTTAATGTTGCTACTCACACAGTCCTGTTGTGACGTCACGTGACATTCTCTCAGGACCCACGTGTTAATGTTGCTACTCACACAGTCCTGTTGTGACGTCACGTGACATTCTCTCAGGAGCCACGTGTTAATTTTGCTACTCACACAGTCCTGATGTGACGTCACATGACATTCTCTCAGGACCCACGTGTTAATGTTGCTACTCACAGTCCTGATGTGACGTCACATGACATTCTCTCAGGACCTACGCGTTAATGTTGCTACTCACAGTCCTGTTGTGACGTCACGTCACATTCTCTCAGGACCAACGTGTTAATGTTTGCTACTCACACAGTCCTGTTGTGACGTCACGTGACATTCTCTCAGGACCTACGTGTTAATGTTGCTACTCACACAGTCCTGTTGTGACGTCACGTCACATTCTCTCAGGAGCCACGTGTTAATTTTGCTACTCACACAGTCCTGATGCGACGTCACATGACATTCTCTCAGGACCCACGTGTTAATGTTGCTACTCACAGTCCCGATGTGACGTCACATGACATTCTCTCAGGACCTACGCGTTAATGTTGCTACTCACAGTCCTGTTGTGACGTCACGTGACATTCTCTCAGCACCCACGTGTTAATGTTGCTACTCACACAGTCCTGTTGTGACGTCACGTCAGATTCTCTCAGGACCCACGTGTTAATGTTGCTACTCACACAGTCCTGTTGTGACGTCACGTGACATTCTCTCAGGACCCACGTGTTAATGTTGCTACTCACACAGTCCTGTTGTGACGTCACGTGACATTCTCTCAGGAGCCACGTGTTAATTTTGCTACTCACACAGTCCTGATGTGACGTCACATGACATTCTCTCAGGACCCACGTGTTAATGTTGCTACTCACAGTCCTGATGTGACGTCACATGACATTCTCTCAGGACCTACGCGTTAATGTTGCTACTCACAGTCCTGATGTGACGTCACGTGACATTCTCTCAGGACCCACGTGTTAATGTTGCTACTCACACAGTCCTGTTGTGACGTCACGTCAGATTCTCTCAGGTCCCACGTGTTAATGTTGCTACTCACACAGTCCTGTTGTGACGTCACGTCACATTCTCTCAGGACCCACGTGTTAATGTTGCTACTCACACAGTCCTGATGTGACGTCACGTGACATTCTCTCCAGGACCCACGTGTTAATGTTGCTACTCACAGTCCTGTTGTGACGTCACGTGATGACATTCTCCTGGTCCCACGTGTTAATGTTGCTACTCACACAGTCCTGTTGTGACGTCACGTGACATTCTCTCAGGACCCACGTGTTAATGTTGCTACTCACACAGTCCTGTTGTGACGTCACGTGACATTCTCTCAGGACCCACGTGTTAATTTTGCTACTCACAGTCCTGATGTGACGTCACATGACATTCTCTCAGGACCCACGTGTTAATGTTGCTACTCACAGTCCTGATGTGACGTCACATGACATTTTCTCAGGACCTACGCGTTAATGTTGCTACTCACAGTCCTGATGTGACGTCACGTGACATTCTCTCAGGACCCACGTGTTAATGTTGCTACTCACACAGTCCTGTTGTGACGTCACGTCAGATTCTCTCAGGACCCACGTGTTAATGTTGCTACTCACACAGTCCTGTTGTGACGTCACGTCACATTCTCTCAGGACCTACGCGTTAATGTTGCTACTCACACAGTCCTGTTGTGACGTCACGTCACATTCTCTCAGGACCCACGTGTTAATGTTGCTACTGACCTTCTGTGCCCCTTCCACAGACTTATTTAGCTTGTCCACCACACCCAGCATCTCATCCTTCACATGTCCCAGAAGTCCCGCCTCCACACTGTGAACAAACATGCACAACACTTTCACAGAGGATATGTCATCACCAACACTGAGCATGAGTACAAATACTACACTACAACTGGTGTAGCTTGGCCAGTTTAACCTTTTCGTCCGACAACCACTGTTGGGTCGTTATCATAATGGATAATCCAATTATCTACATACAATGTTCGGGCCGTTGGAAGGGTGTGATCATTTAAGATGTCAACATATCGTTCCTTCATCAATTTTCCAGTGAAAATACACAACGGCGTCACTCCACGTGGTGATATCCCACCCTACATGTGAAATTTCGGGCTATGATTTGGGCGTTGGTAGATAGAATTCACGGTAGATAGGTTTCACGGTATTTTTTGTCCAAATTTTCACATAGTTCGGGAAAAAGCAAGACAGAACTTTCATCAGATAAGAAATCTTGATTTTTGTGAGTCCTATGTAGTTTAAAGAACCACTAAACTTTGTTTTTTGTTACTCTTTTAACCATTACATATGAAAGACTAGTTCATATACAGAGCATCTATTATTTGATCTGACATGACAATCTGGTAGTCAGTCAATGGGTCAGTTTTTATGTCATCAATGTCACGATGACTGGACTTAACACAAGGGTGTTTGACTCCATTAAAGAACCACTAAACTTTGTTTTTTGTTACTCTTTTAACCATTACATATGAAAGATGTGAGGTTAGTCTTATGCGGAACACCAAATTTATTCTTTAAAAACTTGTGGTTAATTAATACCGAGCGATTAAAAGTGGCCAAAAAGTCGCCTGCTTCCCTCTCGACCGCCAACGAAACCACAGACAGGTTACGTAACTCTGTCGCCAGAGAACTGCAGTGACGTCATATGAGGAACGATTTTCAGTTAGTTGTATAGAAAATGTGTAGCATGCTCATCATTTTGATGATTTCTCGACATCAACGACGACATGCCGAATCGTTGCTTTGTCGTCAATTGCTCCCTAGGGTCGGGCGATGGTGTCCCCAAAGCACAGATTTCCACAGGACCCCGCAGTTCGTGCTAAATGGGTTATGTTTGTGAGTGCGAAGCGAGCGTTGTGGAAGCCTGAAACGATATCTTACTTGTGTTCAGATCGCTTCACGGAAGTTAAAGAATCAAAACTACTTACTAGTTGTAGTAAAATATGCATATGATTGATGACCATAAAGATTTTCTATGACACAACTTGTAACATAACGATTTCTCCTCGGAAGTGAGGTTGTGGTCGAAGTAACAATAATATTGTAAGTAGTATTATATTGACACCCACCTCGCTGCCACGAGAGAAATTGTTATGATATACGCTATGTCATGCAAAATCCTATTGGCTTATCAATAAAATACATATTTTATTACCAGTAGAAAGTAGTTTTGATTTTAACAACTCGGTGAAAACAAACCTAAATACCATTTATCCTCAGACTGGCGGATGTTCCCGACAAGGGCGCCGCCATTTGTAAAAATAAAAATCTGTTAGAATTAATGAGATTATAGTTTGTTTTCATCAAGTTAGAAAATCAAGACTACTTTCTACTCGTTGTTAAATATGTATTGGAATCATAACCAAACGGATTTTGCATGACACAACTTATAACATAACGATTTCTTCCACGGAAGCGACGTGGGGGTCGAAGTCAATACTGCGCGATACATTTCTTGCTACATTCACATGGTTAATGTCCACTCACCAGTATGTAGATACTAGTCAATGTGCGTCTTTATATTTGGTCTTATAATCCTAATTAGTTTATTATCACACTTGTATGCATTTTGAAACTAAATAAAAAGCAGACGATCTGCTGATACTTATAGTGAATTTATAACAGAACTGTAATATCTAGACATTTTATAGTTTGCCAATGTGAATCATAATTCACACACACACCCTAGTGCATGTGGTCTGTCTCATTAGACTTCACGGCGAAAACAATGATTCTGTTGAATGCTACGACAAATGAATAAAAACAAAATGCGAATGTTAAAATTAAAACAGATTAAAGTTATAGGAACAATATCAGGCCATTACCTTGTTCGAGGAATGTATCCATCAATATCCACAAAACTGTTCCAAATGGTGTGTCTTTTAACAGTTTAATATACGAAAAAGTGATAAATCTTTTCAGGTATTGGTGTATAGTCTCATTGGTCACCCAAGATAGCACACCTGGCAACTAATTGCATAATGTCCGCCTTTCTTTAAAAACAGTAATTTAGTTAGCCAATAATGGGCAATCAATCAATGTATTGCCGGTTAATCCTTTGAAAGAAGGACGTTGTTTTTACGCAGACACCGACACGACAGAGTGTATTCAGTATAGATTAGTAAATCTACATACATAAACACTACCTTTTGACAATTCCGCTGTGTAAGATGAAAGTAATTAATCAATCAGCGTGTTATCGGTTAATCCTTTGATCGATGTTTGTAATGTTGAATATTTACTCCAGACACAAGAAATGCCAAATGGGAACCTTTGTCGGGTAATCTAAGTGTGTTACCGCTAATTATACCTGTTATAAATTCATTAACTTACAATCAAGTGAATGATGACAAATAACATGTGTAGGTTTATACCACCTAACACGGGTTACAACGAGGGAGTATTAATTGCTGTATTGCATGTGAAAACTTATGGGCCGACACTGTTTTGAGAATACAAACAGATTTTTACATGACATGATTAAATATCGAGGTAAAACAACACAGAAATGGGATCAATTTGGATCAGTCATTATACAAATAGGGCCTAACGACACCAATCGATTTTGACAGAATCGTCTATGAAAACAAGTTGTAACTCGGAAACTAGGCAAAGCAGGAGACAAAATTAAATGACAGTAGATTGTGAGAACATATAGCTTTCATTTTCCACAACAATTGTCACGATTTCAGGTTTATACAAGCCTGTAAACACGATAATTTACCCCCTAAAATGTAGATGAATTCTGCATCGGCCCTCAAAGCTGTTCCTCATATGACGTCACAGAGTCGCGCCGCTCTGATTGGTTGAAATTTCGTTCGCGGGTGAGAATTGTGCACTGTTGTCAAAAAGGTCGATTTAAGTCAATTAAAGGTCGAAATGAGTAGTTTTAATGACGGGGTTTCATTTATAACGATGCCAGTTAGTGATTTATGTATTTGTACCCCCAAGGGTTTATGTGACCTTTAAACGTTTTTCTGTTTGTGAATCTTTCATCAATGGGGAGTGACTTCCACGCTTTCTCACCCAGTTAAGTCTTCGTAATTCTTGTCTAAGGGTTTCATGACATACCTGTGGACCTCCTCGATTAATCATCTCATTTCTGATATTCTCAACGCTTTTAAATTTTCCCCTACTCACAATCTGACAAAGTCGCCGGCCATCCGCAATACGGAACTTCTTAAGCCTCCCCGCCCCTGTCTTGTGCTCAGTCCCAACTCCTGACAGAATATTCTTAAAATTATGTATACTGTAGACAGAGGAATGTCTACCAGCTAACTCTTTTGTACATGTCACACCCATTCTACTTCTTTCTCTTCTGCAGTCAAATCCGCCAAGTCAGGAAAGGAAGCCGACCGCTACACCATGGGAGATAACTCTTGACGTAGTAAGGTTCATTGTTAAGCCTACAAGAGTTGCCTCCCATATTGAATACCTCACTATATAATGTAACACCTATTTTAAAATTCTAGTATCAGCATTTGGAAACAAAGATTTTCTCAAAAACTTCTAAGAAAACTAGACATTTGTTAATGCAGAGAATAAAGAAAAAGTTTAGTCTCATTGGAACATAAAAACGTATTCCAACGAAAACACTTTTTGCGACCGCGACTATATTCATAAGATTATATATTCAAGCTTCACCACTCACATTCCACGCTTGCCAATACCAGAAAGAAGAGCGGGCATTGGTACTGGAACTAGAACGGGAAATAAGGGCAAATGTTGATAAAATGTAGAAAAATAGATAATACGAACTATAATGTAACATATGCTCCTGAGAGTTAATCTTTACCAGGCTCTTAAGTGTATATTTAAGGACACAACATGCTAACCTTGGAACGTAAACACCATACACCCTGGTGACTATTGTAGCTGTCAGCTTAGAATGATAAACAAAAGACAAAAACCTGTTTACTCACAGTCAATGCCGTTAAGAATATCTGTAAAGCAAAGTATAGGATTAACTTTCAGCAAAATTAGCATTGCCTGCATCATTGAAAAACGTCTGTAATGAACAAAGCTGCGTAGTATGTATTCATACATCATTTCTGTTTGATTCTCTCAGTAGTATTGATAATTACAAGACACATGCAAGTGCTGATAAAATAGAGAAAATTATATACTGAACCGCAAAATGAACGCACACCGATAGATGTTCCTTAAACCACAAACTTTAATTCGCTCTAATTAACAATCATAACGGAGGATTGAGTTCAAACTTGACAATTATGACACATTTTTGGGAATCACATTTAAAGTTTACATAAACAAATTCATCATAAATAGTACAACTAAGATAGCTCAAAGCCTCCATGGGCATCGGTGACGGCGTTGCGTCGCCTGTACATGGAATGAATTAGCTGGTCGATGAAGGCCATAGGCACTTGGGTCCGTACTCTGCGAAATGCCTGATCAAGTCCAGCCGGATTTGTCGGCCTTGGTTCGAAGTCATTCCGTCTTCTTTGACTCTCGTCCCTAAAAGTGTTCTTTTGGACTTAAATCCGGACTGATTTCAGGCCATCCGGACTGAGTGCAGGCTATTGTAGGGTTTGAATGACATGTTGTCTTAGGAAGTCCAGTGTTGCTCTGGCATTGTCACTGTACCTACGGCGATGCTGGTAATGCAGCATCCCAACATGGCGGCAGGTAACGTGCGTTACCAGCATCACCTTAGGTACAGTGAGTGTTTAAGCACGAGCGTTGTCTTGCTGGTGATTTCTGTAACGTCAAAAAATGTGGTACAGCGAGGTTATGACTTGGTCAGTATAGCGAGCTGCTGTCACGCCATTTCTGCTTCCTGGACCGTGATTCTGGAACACTATGGGCCCAACTCTCTGGTTGCACCCCACACCATGATGCTTGGACCACCCGACGAGTCTCTTTCAACAAACACGCATTGGAAAACCGTTCCCCGTGCCTTCGCCATACCCTCACTCAGCCATCGACAGTCGAAACACAACATCGGCTTCCATCAGATAAAAGCACAGTTCTCCATTTTCGATAGCGTCAATTTCGATGCTGAGTTGCCCATTGCAGTCGGTTTTGGTGGTAACGAGCGGTGATGCCAGAACCACCATATGGTCTGTGGCAGCAGACGTTTCTTTTGCTCAAACGTCGACGCACTGTATCGGGTCTTTTGTGAGTCCCAATGGTCTGGCGAGCAGTTTCCGTGGCTCTGGTGAAGCGCCCCTGCAGATGGTTGCGCACAATCTGTCGGTCTTGATGTTGTGATGTTACTGCAGGTCGTCCACTGCGTGGACGGTCTTGGATGCCGTTAGTGACCTGATACCGTTCCTGCAGTAGGTGGATTGTCCTAAAATGAACATTAAAATGATTGGCTACCCTCCGTGCAGCCTGGTCAACTTGCAACCTGGCTTGGTTCCTCTCATCTCTCGGAAGTGGTGATATGGCGATTTCAGGCGAGTTTGGGACTCGCGTTCATTTCTAGGGTTGTCACGATGCATTTTCAATTTTACGAATGTCATGAGGAACATTTTACCACGTCTTTCTTTTAGGTACGTTTGGTCGATATGCTTTTTCATCAGAAAACACACTGATGTTGGTAATAACTCTCAATTTGGATTGAAAAACATGTTAATATAAAATAATAAAAACACCACCTTATAAAAACAAAATTTTGCATTTAGTTTTGAAAAGTTTCTTTTGCTGTTCAGTATATATACTGAACAGAATGTAATACATGCTCCTAACAGTAATCTTGATCAGGCTCTTAATTGTGTATTCTTTGGTAAACACCATATGGACGTGTCAATATCCTGGTGACGGCCACCATTGTAGTGACACTCGTGAAGAGCTACCTCGACGTGGTGAGAGTTGGGTAACGCTAATAGCTCTTCCCCGTTTGGACGGTTAGGGCACCAGCACCCCATTGCTGGTTTCAGAAAGGCGACCGGATAAGGCAACCTGCTTGCCACGTGTTGTGTCCCTGTCGGTTGAGGAAGGGATTCTGGTGGTTGAGGGTACTGGTTCCAGGAATAACGTTCCTTAGCCCAATACACCACTTCTACCGTTACTTCACAAGAACGGTCAGTAAGATTCAGTCGGCTGGTCATGCAAAACCCTGTGCATTATTGTGTTGCACATGTAACTGTAAAATATTTTGTCAAACATATTGGTCAAATGATATTCCACTTGGATTTAAAACATAAAGCTTCTGTTTTGTAATTTGTCTGGAGTGTGCCGAGAAAGTGAAGGCTCGTCGGCTAATCTGGTGAGAGAAAAAATTATCATTTAGTTTTTCTACTAGAAAAGTAGTACTGCAAGTTGGAGATCCACTTGCTTCTAGCATTGTCTTTATAATACTCCAGGATGGGTTGGAAGCTCGGTTAATGAAACGTATGTACTAAACATGGATTTTGAAACAACCCTGAAATAAAACCCAGCAAAAAACAAATGTCCTCTTGACGTTGATCGTGACGATAATGAACAGAGACCCACCTAATCAATGGACTGATGAGACGACCCGTGAAAGTCCGGGTTAGAATATTGATCTTTAGTAACCCATGCTTGTCGTAAGAGGCGACTAACGGGATCGGGTGGTCAGGCTTACTGGCTTGGTTGACACATGTCATCGGTTCCCAATTGCGCAGATCGATGCTCTTGCTGTTGATCACTGGATTGTTAGGTCCAGACTCGATTATTTACAGACCGCCGCCATATAGCTGGAATATTGCTGACTGCGTAAGACTAAACTCACTCACTCACTCACTGATGAGACACCAATGAAGTTGAACCCTTTCATGGTATCTAAGGGCATACAAGACATGGCAGGTCATGTGAAAAAACATTAAACGCTTGCGTTCAGATGCTTTACTCATTGAATGTTTAAAAGACAGCAAGTTACAAACCTGATGGCGACTCTCGGTATGGGCATATCGGCGGGCCCTTTTCACACAGCTCTAAACACGAGAAGAGGAATTGATATCAATAGTTTGCAGACATGACGGAAATTGATATTGTTCCAGAGATGAAAGATGTCATTTAGGTTAAACGATTCACGACCCGTAGAACAAGAGAACCTTTTCAAGCATACGCTCTTCATATATCATTTCTGTTTGAACGGGATTTTCTCAGTAGTGTTGATAATTGCAAAATACATAACTATGAACGCAATCTAGATCCATATCTCACGTGTTTTTAGATGTGTACATATATTTAGGTAAGGTCTTATGATGGGTATTGAAGCCTCAGCAATATCCTCAACAGATACAATGCAGTATACTCACCCTTAAGCTCTTTAATAATATCTGTAAATTGAAGCAAAGGATTTACATTTAGCAAAATTAGCATTGCCTAAGTCAGCGAACACATCTATACTGAGCAAAACTGTGTAATATTTATTCATATATATTATTTCTGTTTGAAGGGGATTCTCTGAGTAGTACTTATAATTGCAAGATACATACACGAACGTCAAAAAAAGAACAGTGCACACCCTCCCAGCTGTATATCTGACATATGTAGGTGTTTAGATATATTGAGGTGAGTTCTGACCATGGTCACTAAAGCCAAACATTCTAAGTCCAAGTTCATGAGAATTCAATTGTTTTTCACATATTGGGTACCTTCGCCCATTCGTTTCAGTTCATCGAGGATGTTTCTGCGCTCGCTGAAATTTGGAATGGGAAATAAACATGTAAGTTGTAGGTTAACTAGTTTCGCGTGACTCATACATTGCTTAACTTAGACAAGAAGATATAATACATGAAATGGTATAATGAGTGCAATTATTTCTTCTTTAAATTGTGTTAACGCAGCTTTTAGGTCAGTGTTTAAAACATAATCCAGGCAGTGCAAATATTCACCCTGGGATGAATGATTCCTTTCTCACCACAAAGAAACGAAGCGAAAGAAATGTCATGAAAATATTATTCGAAATATTCACCAGAATAAAGGCAAAGTCAAAAGAATATGAAAATGTATTTCAGTGAAAAGACTTTTGACAATACTAACTGTATCATAAGCAGATACATCAGCTATTATATCACTCACATTTCACGTTTACCAATACCAGATAGAAGACCGGGCAAAGCACTCTCAATCACTTTCGGCGCTAGAACTGGAAATAAGGGTGAGTACTTATAAACCACACAAAGTATTGTAATATTGTGATACGTAACATATACTCCTGAGATTTGGTCTTACTCGGACTGTTAACTGAGTATTTAAGGACACTGAGTAGCGATACTACAATTCCACGAACGTTCTGTTTATATGAAATATGCACAGTTCTTTATGATTTCTATCCTGTGTAGCTTAAGTTTATCCACAACAGTAAATATATCCAGTATACTCACCCTCAACCTCCTTCAGAATACCTGTAAAATGAACAGATCAGGAAATATGGAGAACCAACTAGATCAGCAATACCCACCTAATCGAAAATGTCTTGTACTGAGAGATGCTGTGCAACACGTTTTTATATTATTTCTGGTTGGCTGGATTTATCTGCGTAATACTGAAAACTGCTCCATGGTAGAAACATACACGGAAGTCCAGATATAAAGAATGCCTACCTTCGGCGATTTTCTTTAGATCATCGAGGAAGCTTCTGCGATCTCTGAAATTTGGAATGGGACATAAACCTGTATGTAGTAGGGTTACTTGTTTTGTGTGGTTCATACATTGTATTTTCAACAATAGTAGATTTAATATATACAATGTTTTAATGAGTGTAATTATTTTATCATCAAGTATTGTAGTTCGTTTTGAAGTACCAGAATTCCACAGATTACGTTTAAAATGAATTCAACGATTTGGAAATATCCGCCCTTGCAATTGAGTGAATGCTTCCTCAACTTGTCTTTAAGACACAACCATGTCAATGATGAAAATTACAGAACTAGGAAAAGTAAACGTACATCCTTTCCACGGTTAATACTTACACGTCTCGTCTTCCAATGAGAGCAGTCAGCCCAGCACTGATTAGGCTTGGGGCAACCTCTGAAAGTAGGGATACTTATAGATATATATTGTAACTGGTGGTGGTGGTGGTGATGGTAGTAGTAGTAGTAGTAATAGTAGTAGTAGTGAGGTAGTGGTGTACATAGTGGTAGTGGTATAAGTGACAGATCAATGAATGCGGCAGGTGAACAAATGTTTGGTGTGTGTGTCGAGAGGCATATGAAGTTGCTGTGTGGGTGGAATGTATCGCAACCCCAATGATATCTTATCTCCATATATCAATTTATTTTCATATGATATTGTGTTAGTATGCAAGATTATTGTGACCCTTCGGGTGCATCATACGTAGATTGGGACACGCAGGTGCTACGACCAAAGACGGGCATCACCTGTGTGTTTAATGTGTGAACACAAGAATGAGACAGAGTATTTGTGAAGAAAGACATACAGAATTATCACCACACATAAGATTACGTATGTAGAAAACTCACTTGCAGGATCTGGTAGCACCTCTGAAACAAACGTTGGTAAGTTATCTCTGATTTAATTCACTTTGAACATAGAAGTGATATTCTAAATTTGTTTGAATACTCTCAATAGAACAAAAACCCACCCCCAACCCCAACCCCACCCCAGTTAGAAAAGTTTGTACATTTCTATATTCGTTAATATATCTATGAAATAGATTTTACATTTGACGCACACACATTTGGTCGGTTTAGCAAAAGCTCAACATTTATAGTTGGTGGAACGTGATCACATTTAGAGTGGGTCGAGCATGATCACATTTAGAGTGGGTGGAGCATGATCACACTTAGAGCAGGTGGAACATGATCACATTTAGAGTGGGTGGAGCATGATCACATTTAGAGTGAGTGGAACATGATCACATTTAGAGTGGGTGGAGCATGATCACATTTAGAGTGGGTGGAACATGATCACATTTAGAGCAGGTGGGATGGAGCATGATCACATTTAGAGTGGGTGGAGCATGATCACATTTAGAGTGGGTGGAACATGATCACATTTAGAGTGGGTGGAACATGATCACATTTAGAGTGGGTGGAACATGATCACATTTAGAGCAAGATGGAACACACATTTAGAGTGGGTGGAACATGATCACATTTAGAGTGGGTGGAACGTGATCACATTTAGAGTGGGTGGAGCATGATCACATTTAGAGTGGGTGGAGCATGATCACATTTAGAGTGGGTGGAACCTGATCACATTTAGAGTGGATGGAGCATAATCACATTTAGAGTGGGTGGAACCTGATCACATTTAGAGTGGATGGAGCATAATCACATTTAGAGTGGGTGGAGCATGATCACATTTAGAGTGGATGGAGCATAATCACATGTAGAGCGGGTTGAGCATGATCACATTTAGAGTGGGTGGAACATGATCACATTTAGAGAGTGGGTGGAACATGATCACACATTTAGAGTGGGTGGAGAGCATGATCACATTTAGAGTGGGTGGAACATGATCACACATTTAGAGTGCAGGTTGAACATGATCACATTTAGAGTGGGTGGAACATGATCACATTTTTTAGAGTGGGTGGAGCATGATCACATTTAGAGTGGGTGGAGCATGATCACATTTAGAGTGGGTGGAACATGATCACATTTTGGAGAGTGGGTGGAGCATGATCACATTTAGAGTGGGTGGAACACATGATCACATTTAGAGTGGGTGGAGCATGATCACATTTAGGAAACACATTTAAGAGTGGGTGGAACATGATCACATTTAGAGTGGGTGGAACATGATCACATTTAGAGTGGGTGGAACATGATCACATTTAGAGTGGGTGGAACATGATCACATTTAGAGTGGGTGGAACATGATCACATTTAGAGTGGGTGGAACATGATCACATTTAGAGTGGGTGGAACATGATCACATTTAGAGTGGAGTGGAAGCATGATCACATTTAGAGTGGGTGGAACATGATCACATTTAGAGTGGGTGGAACATGATCACATTTAGAGCATGGGTGAAGAACATGATCACATTTAGAGTGGGTGGAACATGATCACATTTAGAGTGGGTGGAGCATGATCACATTTAGAGTGGGTGGAGCATGATCACATTTAGAGTGGGTGGAACATGATCACATTTAGAGTGGGTGGAGCATGATCACATTTAGAGTGGGTGGAACATGATCACATTTAGAGTGGGTGGAACATGATCACATTTAGAGTGGATGGAGCATGATCACATTTAGAGTGGGTGGAGCATGATCACATTTAGAGTGGGTGGAACATGATCACATTTAGAGTGGGTGGAACATGATCACATTTAGAGTGGGTGGAACATGATCACATTTAGAGTGGGTGGAACATGATCACATTTAGAGCTGGTGGAACATGATCACATTTAGAGTGGGTGGAGCATGATCACATTTAGAGTGGGTGGAACATGATCACATTTAGAGTGGGTGGAACATGATCACATTTAGAGTGGGTGGAACCTGATCACATTTAGAGTGGGTGGAACATGATCACATTTAGAGCGGACGGAACATGATCACATTTAGAGCAGGGGTGGAACATGATCACATTTAGAGTGGGTGGAACATGATCACATTTTTGAGTGGATGGAAGATCACATTAAGAGCAGGTGATGGGACATTTGATCACATTTAGAGTGGGTGGAGCATGATCACATTTAGAGTGGGTGGAACATGATCACATTTAGAGTGGGTGGAACATGATCACATTTTTAGAGTGGGTGGAACATGATCACATTTTAGAGCAGGTGGAACATGATCACATTTAGAGTGGGTGGAACATGATCACATTTAGAGGTGGAGCATCTGATCACATGATCACATTTAGAGAGTGGGTGGAACATGATCACATTTAGAGTGGGTGAAACATGATCACATTTAGAGTGGGTGGAGCATGATCACATTTAGAGTGGGTGGAACCTGATCTCATTTAGAGTGGGTGGAACCTGATCTCATTTAGAGTGGGTGGAGCATGATCACATTTAGAGCACATGTATTTATGTCGAATGTCGTAGGTAGGTGGATTTCCGCTGCTGAGAAGTATTCTCCCACTCATAGAAATGTAAATATACTTACGTTTTCCAATCTCTTCCACAACGGGCAGACCGGCTAGAGAATGTAATATACAGTTTTCTAATTTGTATGATAATAATCAATCATAAAACAGACTACATTATATTTTATACATATACAGTGCCAGGTTATTGATTAACACATAAACCACACTGGCTGAGTGTTAACACATAAACCACACTGACTGTTAACACATAAACCACACTGACTGAGTGTTAACACATAAACCACACTGACTGAGTGTTAACACATAAACCACACTGACTGAGTGTTAACACATAAACCACACTGACTGAGTGTTAACACATAAACCACACTGACTGAGTGTTAACACATAAACAACACTGACTGAGTGTTAACACATAAACAACACTGACTATAAACCACACTGAGTGTTAACACATAAACCACACTGACTGAGTGTTAACACATAAACAACACTGACTGAGTGTTAACATATAAACCAACACTGACTGAGTGTTAACACATAACCACTGACTGAGTGTTTACACTATGACAGACGACACTGCATAAAGCACGCTGACATACCGGTTATGCTAGTCTAACGTACATACCCGTGTGGGATCAGAGTGGGCTCACGGCGGGTAGGTTAACCTAAATACTGCATATTTGGTAATTAGTTTCAGGATATTACCTGTAACATCCACTAAGACAGAGCAAGTCTCATACAGAACTTCTAAAATCCAAATAGACTATGCTCCTGTTATATATAGTGAGCCATAAAAGAAACGTCACACCGATAGAGGTTTCTTAAAGCACACATTAAGATAGTTTCTTAAAGTACCATTAAGATACCCCAAAGTCAGTATCGTGTGTGATCTCCATGGGCATCTATGAATTCGTTGCATCGTCTGTACATGGAATGAATTAACTGGAAGATGTGATTTCTGTGACATCAAAAATGTGGTACAACGTGGGGTCTTATGATATGACTTGGTCAATATAGCAAGCAGCTGTCACGTCATTTCCTCTTCCTTGCCCAAGATTCTGAAACACCATGGTGTCAACTATCTGGTTCAGACCGATTGCACCCCACACCATAATGCTTGGTCCACCTCACGAGTCTCTTTCAACAATGCACTCAAACAGTTCCCCAGGCCTTTGCCATATTCTCACTCTGCCATCGGCTGTAGAAACACAATGTCGGCTTTCATCAGAAAAAGGCACAGTTCTCCATTGTCAATAACGCCAATTTCGATACTGAGTTACCCATTGCAGTCGGTGTTGGCGGTAACGAGCGGTGAGGACAGCACCACGATATGGTCGGTGACAGCAGAGGTTTTCTCCGCGCAATCGTCGACGCTCTGTATCGGCACTAATGGGTCTGTTGTGAGTCCCAATGGTCTAGCGTGCTGTTTCCGTCACTCTGGGAAAGCGATCCTGCAGACGGTGGCGCACAATCTGTCGGTCTTGACGTTGTGATGTTACTGTAGGTCGTCCTCTGCGTGGACGGTTATGGATGCCGTTAGGGACCTCATACCGCTTCTGCCGTTGGTAGATTGTCCTAACATAAACAATAAAATGATTGGCTACCCTCCGTGCAGTCTGGCCAACTTGCGATCGTCCCGAGGGTTGTTTCCTCTGACCTCTCATAGGTCGTGGCATGGGGATTGTGTCATAACAAAAATTATTTCAGGCGAGTTTTGGACTCGCTTTCATTGGTAGGGTTGTCACAATATGCACGTGCATTTTCATTTTAACGAATGTCATACGGAACCTTTTACCACGTCTGCCATTTTAGGTGCGTTTGGTCGAGATGCCTTTTCATCAGACTACGCACTGATGTTGGTAATATCTGTCACTTTGGAGTGAAAAATATATTAACAAAACGGAGTAATCATGATAAAAACACCACCTTGTAAGAAAAAAAATTTGCATTTGGTTTTGAAAAGTGACGTTTCTTTTGTGGTTCAGTATATAATATGTGTTATGTGGCAGTATTATTCATTATGGAAAAATGTTCCAAGTGTAATACATTGCACCTTTTGACAAACAGTGTGGGAAAATGGCAGAAATTGCAACCCTTTAACATCCACTGGAATCCGCCCACAGACCACTCTCAACCATTAGTAACATGGTTTATTTTCGTTTACTGTGAAGATATCGTTTGTATGTACTTACTTTGATAGATGGGCGGGAAATCTATAATAAAACAAAACCAATACTGTCAGAAGCTGGTTAATGGACACGAAATAAGCATTTTCAGATTCTTGTTCAGATCCTTGATGTCAATACCATAATGTGTCTGTGTGTCCAGAGGTTCAGACGCTTCATGTCAATACCATAATGTCAATACCATAATGTGTCTGTGTGCCCAGAGGTTCAGACTCTTGATGTAGTTAATACCATAATGTGTCTGTGTGTCCAGAGGTTCAGACTCTTGTAGTTAATACCATAATGTGTCTGTGTGTCCAGAGGTTCAGACGTTTGATGTCAATACCATAATGTGTCTGTGTGTCCAGAGGTTCAGGCTCTTGTAGTTAATACCATAATGTGTCTGTGTGTCCAGAGGTTCACTATATTGTTGTCAATACCATAATGTGTCTGTGTGTCCAGAGGTTCAGACTCTTGTAGTTAATACCATAATGTGTCTGTGTGTCCAGAGGTTCACTATATTGTTGTCAATACCATAATGTGTCTGTGTGTCCAGAGGTTCAGACTCTTGATGTCAATACCATAATGTGTCTGTGTGTCCAGAGGTTCAGACTCTTGTAGTTAATACCATAATGTGTCTGTGTCCAGAGGTTCAGACGTTTGATGTCAATACCATAATGTGTCTGTATATCCAGAGGTTCAGACTCTTGATGTCAATACCATAATGTGTCTGTGTGTCCAGAGGTTCAGACTCTTGTAGTTAATACCATAATGTATCTGTATGTCCAGAGGTTCAGAAGTTTAATGTTACCATAATGTCAGAGGTTCAGACTCTTGTAGTTAATACCATGTATCTGTGTGTCCAGAGGTTCAGACCAATAATGTGTCTGTGTGTCCAGATGTTCAGACTCTTGTTGTCAATACCATAATGTGTCTCCAGAGGTAACTGTTAATACCATAATGTGTCTGTGTGTCCAGAGGTTCAGACTCTTGTAGTTAATACCATAATGTGTCTGTGTGTCCAGAGGTTCAGACGTTTAATGGCAATACCATAATGTGTATGTGTGTCCAGAGGTTCAGACTCTTGTAGTTAATACCATAATGTGTCTGTGTGTCCAGAGGTTCAGACGTTTGATGTCAATACCATAATGTGTCTGTGTGTCCAGAGGTTCAGACTCTTGTTAATACCATAATGTGTCTGTATTGTCAGACGTTTGATGTCAATACCATAATGTGTCTGTGTGTCCAGAGGTTCAGACGTTTGATGTCAATACCATAATGTATCTGTGTGTCCAGAGGTTCAGACTCTTGTAGTTAATACCATAATGTGTCTGTCTGTCCAGAGGTTCAGACGCTTGTAGTTAATACCATAATGTGTCTGTGTATCCAGAGGTTCAGACGTTTGATGTCAATACCATAATGTGTCTGTGTATCCAGAGGTTCAGACGCTTGATGTCAATACCTTAATGTGTCTGTCTGTCCAGAGGTTCAGACGCTTGATGTCAATACCATAATGTGTCTGTGTGTCCAGAGGTTCAGACACTTGTAGTTAATACCATAATGTGTCTGTGTGTCCAGAGGTTCAGACTCCTGTTGTTAATACCATAATGTTTATGTTTGTCCAGAGGTTCAGACTCTTGTACTTAATACCATAATGTGTCTGTGTGTCCAGAGGTTCAGACTCTTGTTGTTAATACCATAATGTGTCTGTGTGTCCAGAGGTTCAGACTCCTGTTGTTAATACCATAATGTGTCTGTGTGTCCAGAGGTTCAGACTCTTGTAGTTAATACCATAATGTATCTGTGTGTCCAGAGGTTCAGACTCTTGTAGTTAATACCATAATGTGTCTGTGTGTCCAGATGTTCAGACTCTTGTAGTTAATACCATAATATATATGTGTGTCCAGAGGTTCAGACTCTTGTAGTTATTACCATAATGTATATGTGTATCCAGAGGTTCAGACTCTTGTAGTTAATACCATAATGTATCTGTGTGTCCAGATGTTCAGACTCTTGTAGTTCATACCATAATGTATCTGTGTGTCCAAAGGTTCAGACGTTTGATGTCAATACCATAATGTATATGTGTATCCAGAGGTTCAGACTCTTGTAGTTAATACCATAATGTATATTTGTATCCAGAGGTTCAGACTCTTGTAGTTAATACCATAATGTATCTGTGTGTCCAGAGGTTCAGACTCTTGTAGTTCTTGTGTGTGTGTCCAGATGTGGACATTGTCATCAGCTGTAAGCTGGAAACCGAAACATTGACGCTGAGAAAATAGACTTACCGTTAACTGGAACATTAAATATTAGCTTTTTAACCTCCGACCACAGCATCCCTTTTACACCAGTCAGTATGTCCTTGTAGGTAAAGCATCATGACAGATGCGTATCTATCATAAGACAAAGTGACCATCCCCTGCACAATATATTAATATTCTATCAACTTTAGCACCAATACAAAATAACGGTCCACATCCAACAGCTGGGCAATTGATTTTCGATAACTATGAATTCAGTCCAGTAATGCTTCTATATCGCTGAAAGTTGAATCCGATTCAAACGCCGACAGACAGGGATGACGTCCTATTTGACGCAAACACCGGAAGTCGTTCTCAACATTCATATTTGCATAGTTATCGGTAAGTATCCCAAAAGGGTACAATTTTTGCCCGTCGGTTTAACCTGCCGAAAAACCTAATTATTTTTCATCATGTTCCTAATCAAGCCTTGCTTTAGTATAAGGTTATAACGTGTGAAACGTGTTCTCGGATCTTACATGAAGCTCTTCTGGTGCTCGCGAGAGTGGTTGACAGGAAAGATAAACTTACTTGGGGCGATGGGTGCGTAGTCTGAAATCAGAAATAGTAAAAACAAAATTCAATGTGGTTTGTTCTCCCGTATGGAAATTCAAATATTATAAATACTCGACATCATGGCAAAACATATACTGAACTGCAAAAGATACGCCACATCGATAAAGGTTTCTTAAAACACACACTTTAATTCGCTCTAATTAACAATCAAAACGGAGGATTGAGTTGAAACTTGACAATTATGGTTAACACATTTTCGGGAAGAACATTTAGGGTTTAGAGAACACAAACAAAATCACCAAAAATGGTACCATTAAGATACCCCAAAGTCAGTATCGTGTGTGGCCTGCATGGGCATCGATGGAAGCGTTGCATCGTCTGTATATGGAATGTCTTAGCCGGTTGATGAAGACTACAGGCACTTGGGTCCTTACTCAGCGAAATGCCCGATCGAGTCCAGGCGCAGTTGTCGGCCCTGGTTTGAAGTCATTCAGTCTTCTCTGAATCTGGCCCCAAAGGGGTTCTATTGAACCTAATTGCGGACTGAGTGCAGGCTATTGTTAGCTTAGGAAGTCCAATATTGTTCTGGCAGTGTGGGCATGTGCTGCTAGAAGATGTGATTTCTGTAATGTCCAAAATGTGGTACAACGTGGGGTCTTATGACTTGGTCAATACAGCGCCATTTCCTCGTCCTTGACCGAGGTTCATGGGCCATCTCTCTGGTTCAGACCGATAGCACCCCACACCATGATGCTTTGACCACCCCACGAGTCTCTTTCAACAATACACTCGCCATACTCTCACTCTGCCATCGGCAGTTGAAACACAATATCGGCTTTCATCCGAAAAAAAGCACAGTTCTCCATTGTCGATGACGCCAATTTCGATACTGAGTTTCCCATTGCAGTCGGTGTTGGCGGTGATGAGCGGTGAGGACAGGACCACGATATGGTCTGTGACAGCAGAGGTTTCTTCCGCGCAAACGTCGACGCACAGTATCGACACTAATGGTCGTTTGTGAGTTCCATTGGTCTGGCGTACGTTCAATCTGTCGGTCTTGACGTTGTGATGTTACTGAAGGTTGCCCACACGGTCTTGGATGCCGTTAGTGGCCTGATACCGCTCCTCGAGTTGGTAGAATGTCCTAACATGAACATTAAAATGATTGGCTACCATCAGTGCAGTCGGGCCAACTTGCAATCGTCTCGGGGCATGGTTCCTCTGATCTCTCGTAAGTCGTGGAATGGCGATTGTGTCAAAACAAAAATGATGTCAGGGTAGTTTGGGTCTCGCTTTCATTGGTAGGGTTGTCACGATATGCACGTGCATTTCAATTTTGACGAATGTCATACGGAACCTTTTACCACGTCTTTTTAGGAGCGTTTGGTCTATATGCTTTTTTCATCAGAAAACTGTCAATTTGGATTGAAAACCATGTTAACAAAACTGTACAATCATAATACAAACACCACATTGTAAGAGCAAAATTTTGCATTTGGTTTGAAATGTGACGTTTCTTTTTGCGGTTGAGTATACATCGATAATCTACATGTGTGAATTTATTTGACTCCCACTCATAGGGCCGTTATCAGACAAGTTGTTGGTGGAACTTCAGTTGATTTGGTTGTGTTTCAAGCAGTCAGTAAAACCCGACATCCTTTTTCTGTACATGGTTTGTTCCAGAAAACCTGTTTTTAATTTTTTCTTACCAATCTTGTCATATGGATTTTTCAGCGTGTCCAGGAAATTCCTCTTCTGGATAGAGTTGGCGATGGCCTCGAGCTGATTCGAGTTGCTGGCTGGAAGTAGATGTAATTGTATAACGCTATGAGTGAGTGAGTGAAAATGGTTTTATGTCGCTTTTATCAATATTCCAGCAATATCATCTCGGGGGACACCGGATATGGGTTTCACATATTGTACCTATGTAGGAAATCGAACCTGGATCTTCGGCGTAACCACTAAGCTACCCCACCGCCCCGCATTACGCTATATGAACCGTACATATGTTAACGCATGACAAATGTACAAGTGTTACTTTTTGACATACACGTGTTACCATGTGGCATATGTTCAGAAGTTACTCTATGACTGATGTACTGATGTGACTCTATCTCAAATGTTCAGATTTACAGATGTTACCCTATGTCAGGTGTACAGATGTTACTCTATGTCAGATGTACAGATGTTACTCTATGTCAGGTGTACAGATGCTACTCTATGTCAGATGTACAGAAATTTTTCTGTCAGGTGTACAGATGTTACTCTATGTCAGATGTACAGATGTTACTCTATGTCAGGTGTACAGATGCTACTCTATGTCAGATGTACAGATGTTACTCTATGTCAGGTGTACAGATGTTACTCTATGTCAGGTGTACAGATGCTACTCTATGTCAGATGTACAGATGCTACTCTATGTCAGGTGTACAGATGTTACTCTATGTCAGATGTACAGATGTTACTCTATGTCAGGTGTACAGATGTTACTCTATGTCAGGTGTACAGATGTTACTCTATGTCAGGTGTACAGAAATTTTTCTATGTCAGGTGTACAGATGCTACTCTATGTCAGGTGTACAGAAATGTTTCTATGTCAGGTGTACAGATGTTACTCTATGTCAGATGTACAGATGTTACTCTATGTCAGATGTACAGATGTTACTCTATGTCAGGTGTACAGATGTTACTCTATGTCAGGTGTACAGATGCTACTCTACGTCAGATGTACAGAAATATCTCTATGTCAGATGTACAGAAATTTCTTCATGTCAGGTGTACAGATGTTACTCTATGTCAGGTGTACAGGTGTTACTGTGTGTCAGGTGTACAGATGCTACTCTATGTCAGGTGTACAGATGTTACTCTATGTCAGGTGTACAGGTGTTACTCTATGTCAGGTGTACAGATGTTACTCTATGTCAGGTGTACAGATGTTACTCTATGTCAGGTGTACAGGTGTTACTCTATGTCAGGTGTACAGGTGTTACTCTATGTCAGATGTACAGATGTTACTCTATGTCAGGTGTACAGGTGTTACTGTGTGTCAGGTGTACAGATGTTACTCTATGTCAGGTGTACAGATGTTACTCTATGTCAGGTGTACAGATGTTACTCTATGTCAGATGTACAGATGTTACTCTATGTCAGGTGTACAGATGTTACTCTATGTCAGGTGTACAGATGTTACTCTATGTCAGGTGTACAGATGTTACTCTATGTCACATGTACAGATGCTACTCTATGTCAGATGTACAGATGCTACTCTATGTCAGATGTACAGATGTTACTCTATGTCAGATGTACAGATGTTACTCTATGTCAGGTGTACAGATGCTACTCTATGTCAGGTGTACAGATGTTACTCTATGTCAGGTGTACAGATGCTACTCTATGTCAGATGTACAGATGTTACTCTATGTCAGGTGTACAGAAATTTTTCTATGTCAGGTGTACAGATGTTACTCTATGTCAGGTGTACAGATGTTACTCTATGTCAGATGTACAGATGTTACTCTATGTCAGGTGTACAGATGTTACTCTATGTCAGGTGTACAGATGCTACTCTACGTCAGATGTACAGAAATGTCTCGATGTCAGATGTACAGAAATTTCTTCATGTCAGGTGTACAGATGTTACTCTATGTCAGGTGTACAGATGCTACTCTATGTCAGATGTACAGATGTTACTCTATGTCAGATGTACAGATGTTACTCTATGTCAGGTGTACAGATGTTACTCTATGTCAGGTGTACAGATGTTACTCTATGTCAGGTGTACAGATGTTACTCTATGTCAGGTGTACAGATGTTACTCTATGTCAGATGTACAGATGTTACTCTATGTCAGGTGTACAGAAATTTTTCTATGTCAGGTGTACAGATGTTACTCTATGTCAGATGTACAGATGTTACTCTATGTCAGATGTACAGATGTTACTCTATGTCAGATGTACAGATGTTACTCTATGTCAGGTGTACAGATGTTACTCTATGTCAGGTGTACAGATGCTACTACTCTACGTCAGATGTAACAGATGTTACTCTATGTCAGATGTACAGAAATTTCTTCATGTCAGGTGTACAGATGTTACTCTATGTCAGGTGTACAGGTGTTACTGTGTGTCAGGTGTACAGATGCTACTCTATGTCAGGTGTACAGATGTTACTCTATGTCAGGTGTACAGGTGTTACTCTATGTTACTCTATGTCAGGTGTACAGATGTTACTCTATGTCAGGTGTACAGGTGTTACTCTATGTCAGGTGTACAGGTGTTACTCTATGTCAGGTGTACAGGTGTTACTCTATGTCAGATGTACAGGTGTTACTGTGTGTCAGGTGTACAGGTGTTACTCTATGTCAGGTGTACAGATGTTACTCTATGTCAGGTGTACAGATGTTACTCTATGTCAGGTGTACAGATGTTACTCTATGTCAGATGTACAGATGTTACTCTATGTCAGGTGTACAGATGTTACTCTATGTCAGGTGTACAGATGTTACTCTATGTCAGGTGTACAGATGTTACTCTATGTCAGGTGTACAGATGCTACTCTATGTCAGATGTACAGATGTTACTCTATGTCAGGTGTACAGATGTTACTCTATGTCAGATGTACAGATGTTACTCTATGTCAGGTGTACAGATGTTACTCTATGTCAGGTGTACAGATGTTACTCTATGTCATGTCAGGTGTACAGATGTGTTACTCTATGTCAGGGTGTACAGATGTTACTCTATGTCAGGTGTACAGAAATTTTTCTATGTCAGGTGTACAGATGTTACTCTATGTCAGATGTACAGATGTTACTCTATGTCAGATGTACAGATGTTACTCTATGTCAGGTGTACAGATGTTACTCTATGTCAGGTGTACAGATGCTACTCTATGTCAGATGTACAGATGTCTCTTCTCTCAGATGTCAGGATGTTACTCTCATGTCAGATGTACAGATGTTACTCTATGTCAGGTGTACAGATGTTACTCTATGTCAGGTGTACAGATGTTACTCTATGTCAGGTGTACAGATGTTACTCTATGTCAGGTGTACAGATGTTACTCTATGTCAGGTGTACAGGTGTTACTCTATGTCAGGTGTACAGATGTTACTCTATGTCAGGTGTACAGATGTTACAGATGTCAGGTGTACAGATGTTACTCTATGTCAGATGTACAGATGTTACTCTATGTCAGGTGTACAGATGTTACTCTATGTCAGGTGTACAGATGTTACTCTATGTCAGGTGTACAGATGTTACTCTATGTCAGGTGTACAGGTGTTACTCTATGTCAGGTGTACAGGTGTTACTCTATGTCAGGTGTACAGATGTTACTCGTTGTCAGGTGTACAGATGCTACTCTACGTCAGATGTACAGAAATGTCTCTATGTCAGATGTACAGAAATTTCTTTCATGTCAGGTGTACAGATGTTACTCTATGTCAGGTGTACAGGTGTTACTGTGTGTCAGGTGTACAGGTGTTACTCTATGTCAGGTGTACAGATGTTACTCTATGTCAGGTGTACAGATGCTACTCTATGTCTGATGTACAGAAATGTTTCTATGTCAGATGTACAGAAATTTCTTCATGTCAGGTGTACAGATGTTACTCTATGTCAGGTGTACAGGTGTTACTGTGTGTCAGGTGTACAGATGTTACTCTATGTCAGGTGTACAGATGTTACTCTATGTCAGGTGTACAGATGCTACTCTACGTCAGATGTACAGAAATGTCTCTATGTCAGGTGTACAGAAATTTTTCTATGTCAGGTGTACAGATGTTACTCTATGTCAGATGTACAGATGTTACTCTATGTCAGATGTACAGATGTTACTCTATGTCAGGTGTACAGATGTTACTCTATGTCAGGTGTACAGATGCTACTCTACGTCAGATGTACAGAAATGTCTCTATGTCAGATGTACAGAAATTTCTTCATGTCAGGTGTACAGATGTTACTCTATGTCAGGTGTACAGGTGTTACTGTGTGTCAGGTGTACAGGTGTTACTCTATGTCAGGTGTACAGATGTTACTCTATGTCAGGTGTACAGGTGTTACTCTATGTCAGGTGTACAGGTGTTACTCTATGTCAGGTGTACAGATGTTACTCTATGTCAGGTGTACAGATGTTACTCTATGTCAGGTGTACAGATGTTACTCTATGTCAGGTGTACAGATGCTACTCTACTCAGATACAGATGTCAGTCAGATGTACAGAAATGTCTCTATGTCAGATGTACAGAAATTTCTTCATGTCAGGTGTACAGATGTTACTCTATGTCAGGTGTACAGGTGTTACTGTGTGTCAGGTGTACAGATGTTACTCTATGTCAGGTGTACAGATGTTACTCTATGTCAGGTGTACAGAAACTCTATACTCTATGTCAGGTGTACAGGTGTTACTGCGTCAGGTGTACAGATGTTACTCTATGTCAGGTGTACAGGTGTTACTCTATGTCAGGTGTACAGGTGTTACTCTATGTCAGGTGTACAGATGTTACTCTATGTCAGGTGTACAGGTGTTACTCTATGTCAGGTGTACAGGTGTTACTCTATGTCAGGTGTACAGATGTTACTCTATGTCAGGTGTACAGATGTTACTCTATGTCAGGTGTACAGATGTTACTCTATGTCAGGTGTACAGGTGTTACTCTATGTCAGGTGTACAGGTGTTACTGTGTGTCAGGTGTACAGGTGTTACTCTATGTTAGATATACAGGTGTTACTTCATGTTAGATATATGGGTTTTACTCTATGTCAGATGTACAGATGTTACCCTGCGTAACACACCTGCGTCCTTCTCCCTCTGGAGGATGTCATGCAGGAGGTCAGCTCGACTCACAGCCAGGATGCAGAGAACAAGGAACACCCTCATGATGCTGGATAAACAGACAAACAAACCTCACAAGTGGCCTCACAAACTTTCAGAATGTTGTTGTTGTATAGAACATTTAACACATATTATCTCTGTATATATAATATATAATAGAACAAGACTAAAAACATACATTCTTGGTCATAGTAGCAACAATGTTTTACTACAAACCGTGCAGATAATGTTTTGAACACGTAATCCTTACCTGAAACCGCGTGAATGAATTGTTGACCATAGTAAGAAGCCAAGTACCTCAACTCGCCATTATAAACCCATATATATTAGACACCACGTACATCATCTCTTGACTTTGGAGAGATACCAAGTATACCATTTCTTATCTGTACTGAAAAAACCAAGTCCATTATCTCGTGACTGTGGCGAATAACAACGTACATTATCTCGTGACTGTGGCGAATAACAATGTACATTATCTCGTGACTGTAGCAGAAACCATGTACGTTATCTCTCGACTGTTGCAAAAAACATGTACATAATCTCTTTAGTGAGAAACCAAGTGCACCTTTTCATCTCTTGACTGTGACGGAAAATCACGTATCTCATCTCTTGACTGAAGTGCTAAACCAAGTCTTGGCTGCATTAAAAAGGCAACGAACAAATGAACTGGGAAAGCAAGTACGTCATCTTTCGATCTTGGTGAGAAACCTCTCTTGACTGGAGTGAGAAGCCAAGTACACCTCTCTTGACTGGAGTGAGAAGCCAAGTGCATCTCTCTTGACTGTAGTGAGAAGCCAAGTGCACCTCTCTTGACTGGAGTGAGAATCCAAGTGCACCTCTCTTGACTGTAGTGAGAATCCAAGTGCACCTCTCTTGACTGTAATGAGAAGCCAAGTGCACCTCTCTTGACTGGAGTGAGAAGCCAAGTGCACCTCTCTTGACTGGAGTGAGAAGCCAAGTGCACCTCCAGTGAGAAGCCAAATTGCACCTCTCTCTTTACTGTAGTGAGAAGCCAAGTGCACCTCTCTTGACTGTAGTGAGAAGCCAAGTGCACCTCTCTTGACTGTAGTGAGAAGCCAAGTGCACCTCTCTTGACTGGACTGTAGTGAGAAGCCAAGTGCACCTCTCTTGACTGGGTGAGAATCCAAGTGCACCTCTCTTGACTGTAGTGAATCCAAGTGCACCTCTCTTGACTGGAGAGGAAGCCAATTGTGAAAAGAAAATGAGAAGCCAAGTGCACCTCTCTTGACTGTAGTGAGAAGCCAAGTGCACCTCTCTTGACTGGAGTGAGAAGCCAAGTGCACCTCTCTTGACTGTAGTGAGAAGCCAAGTGCACCTCTCTTGACTGTAGTGAGAAGCCAAGTGCACCTCTCTTGACTGTGCACCTCTCATGACTGGAGTGAGAAGCCAAGTGCACCTCTCTTGACTGTATTGAGAAGCCAAGTGCACCTATCATGACTGGAGTGAGAAGCCAAGTGCACTTCTCATGACTGGAGTGAGAAGCCAAGTGCACCTCTCTTGACTGTAGTGAGAAGCCAAGTGCACCTCTCTTGACTGTAGTCAGAAGCCAAGTGCACCTCTCTTGACTGGAGTGAGAAGCCAAGTGCACCTCTCTTGACTGTAGTGAGAAGCCAAGTGCACCTCTCTTGACTGTAGTGAGAAGCCAAGTGCACCTCTCTTGACTGTAGTAAGAAGCCAAGTGCACCTCTCTTGACTGTAGTGAGAAGCCAAGTGCACCTCTCTTGACTGTAGTGAGAAGAAAAGTGCACCTCTCTTGACTGGAGTGAGAAGCCAAGTGCACCTCTCTTTACTGTATTCAGAAGCCAAGTGCACCTCTCTTGACTAGAGTGAGAAGCCTTGAGCACTTCTCATTACTGGAGTGAGAAGCCAAGTGCACCTCTCTTGACTGGAGTGAGAAGTCAAATGCACCTCTCTTGACTAGAGTGAGAAGCCATGAGCACTTTTCATGACTGGAGTGAGAATCCAATGGCACCTCTCTTGACTGTAGTGAGAAGCAAAGTGCACCTCTCTTGACTGCAGTGAGAAGCCAAGTGCACCTCTCTTGACTAGAGGGAGAAGCCATGTGCACTTCTCATGACTGGAGTCAGAAGCCAAGTGCACCTCTCTTGACTGGAGTGAGAAGTCAAGTGTAACCTCTCTTGACTGGAGTGAGAAGCCAAGTGCACCTCTCTTGACTGTAGTGAGAAGCCAAGTGCACCTCTCTTGACTGGAGTGAGAAGCCAAGTGCACCTCTCTTGACTGTAGTGAGAAGCCAAGTGCACCTCTCTTGACTGGTCGAGTGAAGTGCAGCTCTCTTGACTGTAGTGAGAAGCCATCTCTCTTGACTGAGAGTGAGAAGCCAAGTGCACCTCTCTTGACTGGAGTGAAAAGCCAAGTGCTCTTCTCTTGACTGGGATGAGAAGCCAAATGCACCTCTCTTGACTGTAGTGACAAGCCAAGTGCACCTCTCTTGACTGAAGTAAGAAGCCAAGTGCACCTCTCTTGATTGCAGTGAGAATCCAAGTGCACCTCTCTTGACTGCATTAAAAAAACCAAATGCACCTCTCTTCACTGCAGTAAGAAGTTAAATGCACCTCTCTTCACTGCTGTAAGAAACCAAGTGCACCTCTCTTGATTTCAGTGACACGTAATACATAAAGGTTGACTGAATAGTCGATGTCGCAGTAGTCGCAATGTTTGTTTTGGAAGTTAAACAAAGTCATGGAGAAATTGTTCTCACACATGCGCTACTTCCAGTTGCTGGAGGAGTGGTACTGCGTTACAGTAAGTATATCACGGCTTGTTTCAGTCTTGATCAGCTTGACCAGTGAATCAAAACCTAATCAATGGCCCATGCTGCCGGAAACTACTCATGAGGATATGATGAGACGTCAGATATGCTACTTTCACATGAACAAATTGTAAGCCACGGTATAAATACATCCCAGTTGGTGTTAACAAAACGAATTTCATGTGAAGACATTAGAATACTGTAAACTCTAAACGCAGCACGTGACATCATGTCAATAAACACCAACTCCGCACAACCATATTAGAACATAATACCTAAACGTCCAACCTGGGAACAACCATCAGAAATATCATTTTAACAGCCACCCACAACACAACCAGGGGAATGTGCAATGTTTTAAATGTGTCCATGTGCACAACAGTTTTGGACCCGGTAACAATGGACCCGCTGCATTAACTGCACTCTCTGGTGCCAGGTGCTAATCTACGTACCTGGTGCGGCGTCTGGTCAGTGCAGGCACTGCATGCAGGTAGGTCAAACTTTATATAGCTGCTGCACAAGGAGTGGAGGGACATACGTGATCATGACAGTTGCTATATTCTCAGGGTTCCTTGTCTGTTGTGACGTCGGCCTCTGCAGAAAACATCCATGATACTGATATATACACCTGGAACTTAATTAAGCACCCCCCCTATTTTCTGGATGATGAGAAACAAAACTTGCTGTAACTTTCTCACTATTGCAAAGACAGTGGAACCTTAGCTATTGTGAAACATACGATCTATTGGCAAATGAAAAAACAAGACAATGATTCCAATTCGTGTTGTTTTAATAGCGTAACCAATGTGATTTGGTCACTATTGATTTTTGATGAAAATAGTCACTGAACAAATATGGTCGTAGCATTGTCAATGGCTGACTATTACAAGAAATGATGCACAAGGAATGTCACATGCTAACATCTGATGCGTCTGGCATCAGTATCGGGTGTATCCCCCACGTGCTTGGATGACAGCTTGAATCCTTCTCCTCATGCTACTGGTAAACCTTCTGATACGATCAAGTGGCAATTGCCGCCATTCTTCATACAAAGCAGCTTCCAGCTGTGCAAGATTCTGGAGAGGGGGTTCTCTCAACCTCACACGGCGTCCAAGAAAGTCCCAGATGTGCTCCAAAGATTCAAATCGAGGCTCATTGCTGGCCAAGGTAATGCCATGATAGCCTCATTCTGGGGATGTGCGGTCACAGCACGTGAACGATGCGGCCTGGCGTTGTCGTCCATGAATATCGGGTGAGTAGCCAACGGATGGTTGTCAAAGTGAGGCACGACAACTGGATGGAGAATATCCCGGATGTACTGCTGACCATTAAGATGTCCTCGGACAGTCACCATTTGAAGTTTACAGTAGTGTGAAAGACAAACCCAGATCATAACCGATCCTCCACCATGAGGAAACAGTAGGGTGGATATTCCTGGGCACGTAAGCAGTGTTTTATGCCCCACACTCCATTCGACCATCTGTAACATGGAGAAGGAACCTGCTCTCATCTGACCAGTGGACCCTCCTCCATGTCCTCAGGTTCCACTGCCGACGGGCCATACACCACTCCAGACGTCGTCTCTAAGGAGATCAGACAGAGCAGGACGTTTGATGACTCTTCTGAACCTCATACCAAGTGCCCTCAGGCGATTTCTGACGGTTCTGGTGGATAATTGTCTGTAGGGTAACCACAGGCGCTTCAAACCCGAACTTGTAGCAAGGGTTCTCGCCTTACCAGACGTGCCAGGCTGCGATCATCACGGGCCGTTGTCTTCCTGGGTTGTCAGGCCTTGAACGATCTCTCACATCTCCTGTCATCTGATGTTTCGGACAAGTCGGCTGATGACCGAGTGACTGAAGCCCAGTTGTCGTCCAATAGCTTTGAAGGACATGCCTGTTGCATGTATGCCTACAATTTGCCACCTGAGGGCTTCAGAAAGTCATCTCCTCGCCATTTCAGTATTTATTAATGGAGACAGTTACAAATTTGTCTGCTTTTATACCCATAAATTGCATATCAGAGAAACTGAATTTTTGGAAAAGTGTGGGTTGTATGCTTCACGTGCACAAGGGATGCGTTGTGACGAGTGCAAAGGAACTGAAACACCTTTTTAGACTACTAGAGATGTGTTGTAATACAGAGATATCATTCATGTTTAACGATGGTTAACAGTTGCTCTACTATCATGAAATATATCAGGGGGTGCTTAATTAAGTTCCAGGTGTATATATCTTATTCCACTCCAAAAATAAACCTGTTAATGATCATATCAGTGCGGTATGTATTGTAGCACTGTCTATAGTTCCTACACTATGAATGCAATACCATCCTACACTGTGAATGCAATACCATCCTACACTGTGAATGCAATACCATCCTACACTGTGAATGCAATACCATCCTACACTGTGAATGCAATACCATCCTACACTGTGAATGCAATACCATCCTACACTGTGAATGCAATACCATCCTACACTGTGAATCAATACCATCCTACACTGTGAATGCAATACCATCCTACACTGTGAATGCAATACCATCCTACACTGTGAATGCAATACCATCCTACACTGTGAATGCAATACCATCCTACACTGTGAATGCAATACCATCCTACACTGTGAATGCAATACCATCCTACACTGTGAATGCAATACCATCCTACACTGTGAATGCAATACCATCCTACACTGTGAATGCAATACCATCCTACACTGAATGAATGCAATACCATCCATACACTGTGAATGCAATACCATACCTACTACACTGTGAATGCAATACCATCCTACACTGTGAATGCAATACCATCCTACACCATGAATGCAATACCATCCTACACTGTGAATGCAATACCATCCTACACTGTGAATGCAATACCATCCTACACCGTGAATGCAATACCATCCTACACTGTGAATGCAATACCATCCTACACTGTGAATGCAATACCATCCTACACTGTGAATGCAATACCATCCTACACTGTGAATGCAATACCATCCTACACTCAATGCAATACCATCCTACACTGTGCAATACCAACACTGTGAATGCAATACCATCCTACACTGTGAATGCAATACCATCCTCATGAATGCAATACCATACACAATACCATCCTACACTGTGAATGCAATACCATCCTACACTGTGAATGCAATACCATCCTACACTGTGAAATACCAATACACTATGCAATACCATCCTACATGCAATATCCTACAATGCAATACCATCCTACACATGCAATACCATCCTACACTGCAATGCAATACCATCCTACACTGTGAATGCAATACCATCCTACACTGTGAATGCAATACCATCCTACACTGTGAATGCAATACCATCCTACACTGTGAATGCAATACCATCCTACACTGTGAATGCAATACCATCCTACACTGTGAATGCGATACCATCCTACACTGTAAATGCAATACCATCCTACACTGTGAATGCAATACCAGTCTACACTGTCCAATACCATCACGCACTGTCAATGCAATACCATCCTACACTGTGAATGTGATACCATCCTACACTGTGAATGCAATACTATCCTACACTGTAAATGCAATACCATCCTACGCTGTGAATGCAATACTATCCTACACTATGCATGCAATACCATCTTGCGTTGTTAAGGCGATAGCGGCCTACGTTGTAAATGCAATACCATCCTACGCTGTGAAAGCAACGTCATCCTTCACTGTGAATGCCTTGTGGTTTCACCTTACATTGTGAATGCTCTATCTTAATTTACCTGGGGAAACTCAATGTTTCCAATGTGTTTCCACCTACCTGCAAACTTCCGCCAATCAACAACTGGCATCTGTCCAGTAACCCCAGTTAGTTGTTGATTGATTCACTAAAACTCTGGGATCCAACCTGAACTGTCATGGTGTCTAACATTTCATGTTGTCCGCTGAGGACATTAACAAAAGGACGAGATAAGTCCAATTCCGGGGATGCACCTTGCTGATATATGTGTGCGTCATCCAACAGTGTATTAGAAATCATTATTTTGCTTCCATTTTCCAGAATTACTGTCTCTGTTCGCAGTGATATCAACGTTGACCTGCTGGAGGTAGATGAGGACAACTACATAGGACAGTGACTGCCATGCTGCTTTTCAACTTCCTTCTGTTGCGTGAAGAAACATACTGTGTGATGCAGCACAGTTACCTTTCAACAGGTGATTCCAGGATTGCAACTGTTACCACGCTGGTTAGTGCCCAGACATCTGAATCAAAGGTTCAATTGTTTATCTGCTTGCCATCTTCTGGCAATACTCATACACTTGAACTGTTAATAGTTCCTCATGTTGTTACAGTTTTTACACGGTACACACTGAGTATAATGTCCCATTGCCTAACTCTTCCAGTTTAACAGTATCTCTGAGAGACAAAGACTGGGTCTAACATGTCAGCGTACCACTCAATCTCTGACATATTGGTCTAAAGTTACATGCCTCGGTGAGTGAGACAGTGTGTGTGTGTGTGTGTGTGTGTGTGTGTGTGTGTGTGTGTGTGTGTGTGTGTGTGTGTGTGTGTGTGTGTGTGTGTGTGTGTGTGTGTGTGTGTGTGTGTGTGTGTGTGTGTGTGTGTGTGTGTGTGTGTGTGTGTGTGTGTGTGTGTGTGTGTGTGTGTGTGTTCCATATCTGTATGTATATGTTGGTGAGTAAATGCCTCTGAGAGAGTGACACGGTGTGCGCGTGTCTTCTACATCTGTATGTATATGTTGGTGACTAAATGTGTCGGTGAGAGTGACACTCTGTGTGGGTGTGGGTGTGTGTCCGTGCGTGCGTCCGTGCGTGCGTGCGTGCGTGTATGTGTTACAGTCAATGTGAATTGTTTAAATAGAGCAGGGTATGGTAAGCAGCAGGGATGTCCTCTGCTCTATTATATAATTCACATATGTATACCACTTACTAATCTCCATGTGCGACTTGGACAACAACGGGACGTACTGATAGTGACCCTGTAAAGTAGGGTGTCTCGTATTCATCAAGTGACGCACTTCTGTTTTGGTACTCGTGCTCGCATGATTTCTTGACGCATTAATTACATGACCTACAGTGCGTCACTTTCGCTGTGTTAGGAGTTGAACAACCTTGAGACATTTAGCCAGTTGTACCTCATTGGGCGTGCAGAAAGTTCTGCAAACACTTATCCAGTACACCTCGAGCGGACGTGAAGCCACACGATCACGGAACAAAGGTTTTTTTATATAACGGTCTCAACCACCCTTAACCTGTTAAACGTCGTTTGTATTACCACAACAATCTCGGCACCTGGATTAATTTACTTAGAAGTGGTTGAAAAAATGTAGGTCATGCGCATGACAGCTGTTTTGTTGGTATGTGGACTAGTCATCAAGGTTCACAAGGTCTCGTCCTGAGCTCAGTATGCACTAATGGGGCTATGGGGTAGCCTCGTGGTTAAAGCGTTCGCTCGTCACGCCGAAGACTCCGATTCGATTCCCCACATGGGTACAATGTGTGAAGCCCATTTCTGGTGTCTCCAGCCGTGATATTGCTGTAATATTGCTAAAAGCGGCGTAAAACTGAACTC